GGTATGCTTCTGAGCACTCGAAACATGGTGCAGTTTCAATCATAATTCCTGTTCATCTGTTTGCGTCTCTTTTCGTGATATGTATGTTTTCTTTTCCTTCAACCGAAGATTTGGGTTCTTGTTGATACGACAGCCAATCTAAAGCACATAAAGTTATATATTTGTTACCGTGACTATTCCCTTTCCGCTGTGCTCGGACGCGCGTCTAATATCGCATTTTAGTAAAAAGGGGTTGTGTGCGTTGATCTGCAAGGCACACGACGGAGTGGTCAAGGCAGAAATACATCCTTAAGATGTTTGTGATATTGCCCTGGGTTTCCCCTGGGTGAGTTACACATGGGGACAAGACAAAAACAAGATCCGCCGTGCCATCATTGCGGTTACACCGCTGCAATAAATAACTGGATCGACGCATCTGACCAATCCTCCATTGTCCGTAAGCTAAGTTCCGGTCCTTCGGTGTCAATAGTAGCTGCTGGAGTGTGTATTGCGAGCATTCAGGGGGGTAACAGACACCAATCTCCTCACATCACTCGAGATGAACAGGGGGGCTGAAAAATTCAAATTATCACCATCATTAACGTAATGCTTCATCTATTCATTACATGCATATGATATAGTTAAGTAGTATGGGTAATCACGCTAAATCCACCACATTCATCACGCTACTCCTCTCTTGCCCCTGGCCTAAACCACTCCTGCTCCCGCGTCGGCTTCCTCCAGACACCGACGTCGACGGAGACGCCAGCCCGGAGACCACTGTCGACGAGGACAGCAAAGACTGATCGTACCCCCTCCTGGTCGTAAAACTATTCCCACTCACGGAACCCTTATCATCCTCAGCAGTATGGGGCTCTCTCAGATTCGCCCAACGGCCGCCCTGCACCGCCGGCATGATCGATCTCGCCATGTACTCTTCCAGCTTCGGCTTTCTCAACCCCACGCCTCTAATCACACTGCTCATGACATCCAAACACTCCACCACCCATCCTAAAAACGCCGCGTGTCGCCTGCTCACTTCCAGCGTCCACCGGTACTCTCCCAACCGGCATCTGTAAAACTCCTCTTCCTCTCTCGTCTGCGCCGTGATACGCAATAACATTCCAAATGCCACGATGAGTGCGAAATTCGTCCGGGCAGCCGCCGGCCAGAAAGCGCGTAGATGGTTTGGACGCAGCCGATTGACAAAGTCCATGGCGGATATGAGGCGGGTTTTGGCGGCTGAGCGACAGATGTGGATGAGGTAGTCGTCGGTGTGGTTTGGGTTGATGGAGCGGATTATGCAGCGGTGGAGGGTGATCTCGGTGGCGAAATAGGCAAGGTGAAGCCCGCCGTTGGCCGCCGTGCTGGTGCTGGTGGTGGGGGCGGTGTCGATGGGGTTGAGAGAGGAGTCCATTTTGAGCTCGGGAGGTAGATTGGCGAACCAGTTCTTCAGGCGGAGCTGGATGGGTTTTGCACGCTCGAGGATGATGCGCGTGGATTGGTCGCCGGCGTGGGAGAAATCCTGGGTGGCGCGGAGCGTGTAGAATGTGTCGAGGATGTCGGAGAGGATGGTGGTGAGAGTGATGAGGCAAGAAAAGAGAAGAGGCCCGGCGTGCGTCGGCGGGTCGTTTGAATTGGGTCCCTTTGAATAGCAATTTTCAAAGTCATCAAGGGACAGCTCTTGCACAGTCCAGTTCTGGGTGAATATATGCGAGGGCTGTCCATGGGTCAGGGCACACCACTTATCCTGCACGTATAACGCCCAAGCCAGTCTTTTTCGAAGGCCTTTCTCCCAGCTCTCTATTCTCCATGTAGAGCAGTCCTGGTGCAGCCCAATATCAAATGCTGCTGTCACCAACTGAGATATCAGCCTCGGTGAAAAGAGCGCCGACTTTTGAGATAGAAGCAATCCAGCTTGGATGGCAGCCAAGTGTGGTCGCACAAACGAGTCATTTAGAAGCTTGAGCGCTGTAGATTCCAGACGAGCAGCGTCTGGCTTCCGTAATGTCTGTATCCCAGGACCCGGGTCCAGCCATTTCAGGGAAACGAGGTATATTGAGGCGAGAAGCACGGGTGGTACACTCCTCGACTGATACAGAGAGCGAAAGCTATCCTCCATCAGCACCGGGAAGGTTGGATGGATGTTCTGAAAGAATTTTTCAATTAACGAGGGACCAAACGGTGTAACCAGATTCTCGATCGCCTCGACGGAGATCGACGGCAGCTCAGGACCAGCGTGAGGCACATCGACCATTCGCATATACGTGCCATCGTCCGAGAACTTGCGGATCCGCGATGCTGCCAATTGGCCCTCGCAGTTCTGGTCCAGTGGAAGGTAGTCCAGGAGCAACGGCTCCAGCTCGGTCGTCATGCCGATATACTGAGTTGTCAGGGATGGGCTCCCTTGGCACTCCGTTTGGGTAAAATTGTGCGATTGTGCCTCCAATCTGCCTCCCGGAGCGGACACAGATTCGTCTGCTGCATGTCTAAAATGGTGTCAGAGGCCTCTCTGCTGCTGAAAACCCATAACTAGCGTGGTGGTAACCGTACCTCTTTATAGATTCATTTTCCAAGGTGGTCGTCGTTTCTTCGAGCTTCCTTTTCCCCAGTTGACTGCTCAAGGTAAAAGTACACTCTTGTCTGTGAAAATTGCAGGAATAGCATTTGTTTACTAATTCATTCATAGCGCAGCGGCTCTTCCTCTTATAGCATGCGTCGCAGGTGGCGGAACTCCCAGCACCATGCGGCTCAGTTACCAGACCGGGATTGTTCGCCAGCGAAGCAGAAGAAGACACGGACGCATTGGAGCTAGAGTTTCGGCGATTTATAGCCGGGCTCGCGGGCGCCTGGTGTTGTTCAGCAGGTCGATCGGCAGGAAGACTGGGCTTGGATTGCTGCTGGGGTTGGGAGGCCGCTGATCGAGGACGCAGCACCGGAGAGGCTTGTTGCTGGTTGATAGTGGCGGCAGCCGCCATGGCCGAATGCCTGCTAGATGCTTTGGTTCAGCTTGTTCTTTTTCTGGGCGATATGCACGACAAATTTCTCCGAAGATGATATCGAGGACGTCAAGAGGTCGCTTGATAGGAGCTTGCCGAGATTGCGACTGATAAGTACGGTTCAAAAGCAACGGGTGGATGGGACACAGCCTTTCGTTCTCAGGCTATCTTTCAAAGCTATGACTGCAAAAAGGGCGGAGAAAGTTACCCCCGGGCTGCAGTTCTCAGATAAGGCGCGCCCAGGGACGGTTCACCCCCGATTATCACCGCGACCCAAACAAGCGGGATTCAATTGACTATTAGCTCTTCTGAGGACGAACTAGTCAGCTAACTACTGGCTAAGAGAGGCGCGGCTTGGAGGATCCGGTTGGAGGCCCCTGATAAAGGGAACAAGGCAGGTTTACGCACGATGCGAGGCCTGGACGAGAAGACTAATAGCAACTCACAGTCAGGTTATGTACCTTTTTTTCTTTTTGATAAGAAGATCAGCCAGGTTGGCTTGCCACTTGATAGTGTTCACAGGGAGCTCCGCTTTTTCGAGGTCATCCACATCCACATGTTTGCCGGCTGAGAACGGAGCGGCGAGAAGAAGATAATGAAGCAAACAAAGGAAAAGGGAACATGAAGTAGAGGCGGGAAATATGCGCAACTAAAAATGTCAATAATAATAATTAATTAATAAAAAAAATAAGAAAAGAAAAAGGGCTCGTGAAGCTTGCTATTTTTTTTTTTTTCTTTTCTTCTGGAACAGATTAATAACAGATAGCTACCACAGGTCCCTCCCCCCCTCCCCCAATCCGCCCGTTCGTGAATCGGCTTGGGTTATTATGCACACACCCGCCCATCTCACTCGGCCATTTTAATTAGATTAGATATATTACGCAGGAAAGAGGCTTGGACGTACGGAGTACCTAGGACATAATACTCCGTACAGACATTCGGCTGCGCGACGCCACCCGGAGAACCAATCCTCGTCCCTTTTTCCTTTTCCTTATTTCATTTTGATTTTTTATTATATACATTTTTTTTGTTCCTTTCCACTATAACCCCCCCCCCTGTCGCCCATCCGTGGCCCGGGGAGCGAATTGGAAACTAAAGACACTGGGGAATGTTCCGTAAGGCTGCTTTCCCCTTTGTTGATTCCATATTCCCACACGTAAGAGCAACATCGGACGGGTCGATATCGCGGGCAGCCGCCCGCTCGGCTCGTCTAACCTGGCCTGGCGCATTCTCCGAGGCCGGGTCCCGGGCCAGACTATGGATGTACTTCGCTCGCCGGCCGCTCGGCCCCCTGCTTGAGGCTCTCCGAGGCCGGCACCGACGCGTCGTCGTTCGTCCTTTCCCGCGTGCTGGTTGTGCCTGCCGTCTCTTTGCACGTCTTCTTTCTTCGTTCCCTTTTTTGGGTTGGGAGGAAAACAAAAAATAAATAAAAAAGGGGGGGGAAGGTTTGCGCCTTCCACTTCCACACACACACGTACACACATATTGACACACACACACAACACAACACGCGACGTCCAACCGCAACTCAACCTCTTTCGTCCCATCCTGCAGCGCTGCATTACGTCACTGCCCCCACCGCCAAGCCTGTCCGATAAGCAACCTCGCGTTGATTCGCTGCGGCCGGCTGCTGCCCTTGCTCCCGATCGCCAATCCCGAAATGTCCCGATACATCTTATGTAATGCCAAGGCCCACTCATCAGCGATTCTGCCGGCCCTCGCCGCCCGTCAACTTGTTTCCAAATGCGAGACAAGGTTAACCCGCGACCCTGGTCAAGTTCAAGCGTTGCGTTCACCCAGCAAAAGAAGAAGCTCCGCCGGGGAATAAGGAGCTCGATCGCTGGGACCAATCAGCACCGGGATCCATTACATAAGGTTGCAGCTGTGCCGCGTGAGATCCAGGCTTGGCATTATGTAACCGGGCCCTTAGGTAATCGGAGCCTGAGCATGACTAATCGCGCCCGCGACCAGCCCAGACAGCATGAGCTGACCACCGGCGACAGGGAGCTGGATGACAAAAAAGCCAGATCGATCTACATGCCGGCTTGCATTTGTAGTAAATCTACTGTACATACATCCATACATACATAACATCCATACATGCTGACATGTGAGGTTCTCTCTCTGGCGCTGCTGCTCTCTGCCCTCCACGGGGCGTCGCGCTTGTTCTGCTGAGTCATGCATCGCTCGGTGTTCCGTTCAAAACGTCTGCGCGGCGGTTGATACTCCGTACTCCGTCCCTAGACACGGAATTCGACGTAAACATGAAGCCCGGCGCATTGAAAATCTTTTGCTGGCGCAACCGTCGGGCCAAGCCGTTTCAAACAGATATGCCATTACCTGATCGTGCCATCCTGCTCATAAACGAGGTTTGGAATCCTATCCCTCCTTTAATCTATCCCCCCTGGGCACCTTGCACCCCGGACTAGCCCTGTACTGCTGCCCGAGACCATCTGCCTCCATCACACCACAATAACAGGGTGGTGGCCTCATCTCATCGGATGATTCATCATTTGATTTCGATGCCAAATCAAAGGCATCCCTGTCTCGCTTCTAAAAACAGTAGATGAAGAGCACAAAACGGATCCACCGCACATGCAGACGGGGACCTGACATGCAGGGATATAGTGGCCTCGTCAGACCACCCCGGACGAAAGGGCAATGCAAACATACATGTGAGGCAAGAAAAGGAAAAGAAAGGAAAACAAAACATGTTAAAGCCGTGTTTTACCATCCAAACGCCAGTTGATCTGTCATACGATATATCTTCTTTTCTTTTTCTTTTTTCCTTTCTTCTCGCGAAAAACACAAAAACACAGGGGGACCATGCCGCCTGAAAACAAACATCGACGGGATATAATGGTGGTGATATAGAACATATGCGCCCGAGACACAACCTCCCCCCTCCTTCCCCAAGCTAGACAAGAAGGACACTATGCAAAACCGTAGTCAGAAAACGAATTCACCTTGGAGCTAAATCCTGAAAAAGAAAAGAGAGTGGGTAGATGATACTCACGCATTGACACATCCGTCGTTCTCACAATTATTTGTAATCTGAGCCCACTTGCCCCAGACCACCTTACCGCCGGCGGTCACCAATCCCAACTCCGACACATTGACTTCGATGATCGTCCCTTTCGTCAGCACCCCCAGCTGTGTATACATCGGGCTCTGCGGGTTTTTCTTCACGCTGATAATCGGCAGTTGCACGGTGACTCCCAATTCCGGATGCGTCACATTCGCCTTCTTGTACCTCAACCCCATCGGCCTGATAAACCGCTCGTACTTGACCGGTCTTCGGGTAAAGTCATTACCCACAAAAGTGGGCTTCGTAATCATCCTCTTCCAGCTCTTCTTCGACGTCTTCTTCCCCGTCTTAACAACCTTGAACATCTCCTCCTCACTGATGCCCTTCACCTTAGGCAGTGGAACCGAGAACTTGGCCGCCTTTTCCGCTCGCTTCTCTTTAATCGCGCTCGAAAGGGCCTTGGCATTGGTGGCCTGGGAGCGGTCGAGGAGATATTGTGGCAGAGGGGTCGTAGAGGGCTCGTTGGGCGCGGCGGACTTGACATCTCTTTCTTCTTGCGCCTTGATGCGTTTGCGCATCTGGATCTTTTCGGCATGGCGCTTCTTGTGGTAGAGTTTGGCCCGTAGGCCGCGGAGGGTCTGTGCATCTTGGGATTGTTTGTGCGATTCACGGGCTATCCGCTTCCGGGTACGCTCCTCGTGGTCGAGGCTGGACGTATATTATGTTAGCTGCAAGGTGCTCAAAACGTAAGGGAGAAGAGACCGTGAAAGGATCCCCATCCCCCGTGCCCAGACACCGGGAGTAGTCTTTCAGAGAGCGTGTCGACGTACCGCTTCCCGTGCTGCTTCTGCCATCTCTCGATATACCTATGTTTTGTATTAGCATTTTACTCAAACTCGGACTCGGATGCTTTGACTGACTCGTTCTGAGGCTGGATTTTAAGGAGGATGTTAGCAATGTATTCACCCACAGCTCATCCATAGAGCCAGTCCTCCCTGCGAAAAAGGGAATCACTCACCATGATGAACGGTATACCGATGGCTGCTGCGTCCTGGCTTCTCACAATTTTTGTTATCGCGGGCTATCAAAAATCGCCCGTTTTCGCTGTGATCAGATCACGTGAGCTGACAAAGACGATCTACGGCGGCCGCAGCGGCCACGAGACGAAAAACCAATCTCGAACGTCGAAAATCTGCAGATGTACGGATTTTCAGCACCCGACGGGCAGACAGCATCTCCCCACGACGCTTGCGGACCGGATGGTGACGCTTTAACGGCTTAAGACGACTATCCTATACCCATTGGACATAGACAGCTACCTATTTAGTCAACAATGCTGTCCAGACTACCCGTCCGAGCCGCGCTCGACCTGCGAGCCCGATCCACAGCTCTCCCCAGTTCGACCTTCGCAGCAAGAAGAGTATACCTCCACCAGGTTTCCCCAATAACCCAGTTCCGTGAGACGCACCCCGAGATCCCTCCGCAATCGGCACCAGCAGAACAGCCCGCCCGCCAATCCAAGTCTCAAACTCCCCGGACAGCATCACAGACACCCACCTCGCCCACGACTCCCAACCTCCCATCCGTTATCGAAACCACCATTCCAGCCCCCAAGCCCGCCGTCCCACCAACCTTCACCGAGCCCGTCACACTCACCGAATCCATCATCTCCCTCCTCCCACGCCTCACCACCCAATCTCCACACTACATAACCGCCCACATCCACGCCCGGCCCTACATCCTCACTGCAGGTGACACCCTCCGCCTCCCTTTCCTCATGCCAGACGTTCACTCCGGCGACATCATCCGCCTCAACCGCGCTTCGACGCTGGGATCCCGCGACTTCACTCTAAAAGGTGCTCCGTACATCGACGAGCGGCTGTTCGAGTGCCGACTGCGGGTGATGGGTGTGGAAGCGGAGCCATTGCGCGTCAAGGAGAAGACAAAGAGACGACAGAGACATATTCGGCGGGTTAAGAGCAAGCACAAGTATACGATTCTGAGGGTGATGGATGTGAAGGTGAAAACTCTAGAGGAGCTGATCGCCGAGGGGGCGCAGGTTGAGAAATGATCGGGGTGTGAGTGTACGGGTTTTTTGTTCTTTTTCAAGGTTTGAAAGCTTCAATCTGCCTTGCCAATATGTGCATGAGAGAGACGGAATGATGCGTATCAGCGGCTTGGGTATGAACTTTTGTTTTCAATTATGTATAAATAGAATTGTACTCGCTATAGAGTAGCTGGCGTCACAATCAAAAGGTTGGAAATTCATTACTTCTTGGACAAATTAGAAAGACAAGAGAGGGACTCGAAAGAGGAGTGTTGAAAGAGGAAAGTAAGGAAAAGATTGGTGCTGTCGAAGCTGAAAGCGCGCATCATAAGTGTGGATGTGCTGTCAAAACCGGAATTTTGTTTAGTCCAAACATGTCAAAAGGAAAAGATAACCGTCGCTCAAAAAAAATATATGTTTCCGTCCGTGCAGTGAGCAAACCCAAGCTGTAGAAAAATAAAAATTCTCAAATCAACACCTCAAAAAGATGGAATTCTAATCACCATCACGCCGAACAAGCGCCAATGATATAGGATCAAAATAGGTATCTTTCGCACAACACCCAGAAGCCAATGACGGGATAAAAATTTCCAAACTCCAAGAGGTAGTAACCCAAAACAAACGCCAAAATTTTGAAGGGCACAATTTTTGTCATCTATCCTCTTCCATGGCAGCTTTAATCTTTGTAAAGAACCCAGCCGGCCACCCCGCCAATTCTTGGGCTGTGGGAGGTCCTCGAGCACGGCAATGATTGACAACGTTAGTCAATATCCTGCCCAGCATCTCCTCGGTTATAGGAACCGTACCCTCCAAATGTGTCTCCGGATACAAGAACGGATCGTTAGGGCTGAGTAATTGCTTTATCGTTGGCCTAAGTGCCTGATCGCGTTGCAGACACTCCTTCAACGTTCGCAGAACGTTTGATGGCACGGATACGTTACCCACGCCGACTGGAGGATAATTGATCGGTACTCTAGGATTGGGAATAGCCATGATCCGTTCAAGGGGCTTGGCGATATGGGCAAAAGGCGCTTTGCCGTAGACCATCTGATAGAGTATGCACCCCAAGCTCCACACATCACTCGGTTTGCCCAATTTCATCATTTTTCCAGCAGTGGCAGGAAGACCAAGGGCAGCGTTGCAATCGATAAGAGCTTCAGGAGCCATGTAGTTCGGAGTTCCTATTTGCTGTTCGCGGTGCACATTGACAGTGTGGTCTTGGATAGTATTCGCAATCCCAAAATCGATAAGCTTGAGCCTGCCATGAACCAGGAGGAAATTCGCAGGTTTGAGATCGGAATGGACAATGTCAAAGTCGTGTACAGCTTGCACGCATTCCAGCATCTCTTTCCAGTAGAATCGAGCAAAGACCGGATCGAAAACAGCATCCTCGGTATTCAATTTGCGCGTAAGGATCCGATGGAGATCCGATTCTCCCATCTCCATAAGAACGCTTAGTGCATGTTTCTCCTCGTTGATCTCCCAATCGAACAGTTGAACGACGCGCCCGACATTCCGCAGCTTCTTCAAAAGATCGATTTCTCCTTTGTAGCCAGCCAATGCATGGGGATCGACATCCTCTAGGTGCACCCGCTTAAGCGCAAATATCTTACAGTTTTCAGCCATCACGCGGTAGACTCGTGAACTACCACCACGGCCTATGCAGTCTAGTCGTGTATAGACCTTTCGGTTGATAGATACTTGCGCTCGCTTTCTCTTAGATTGCGAGGAGCTGGCGGCCCCGGCAACGGCGGTAGCGGTTTCCAGCACACTCATTTTAGGTGGAGGAGGCGGAGCAGGTCGGCGAGGGGTATTGTTGCTGACTTTCCCTAGTGGCTTCCGTGGGGATACTGTCTCTGGCGCGGCCTTGATGGCGCCTTTGTCCTCCTCATGTAGAACTGAGAACTTCTCGATTTTGTTTAGCAGTCCAAACCCTTCAGGTTTACTCCTCTTAAATGTAGGCGGTGGACCATTCTCCTGATCATGTTTTGCCGGTAGCTCCGGCGGCGAAGGCACACGATATACTGGATTAATATCGACGTTTGGTGACCGGCGCTGCCGGGATCCAGACGAGGAATTGAGATGATGGGAACGAGGGGAGCCACTTTCCAACGCGCTCACACTCCCACTCCCACTGTTTCGGAGCGATCGTTGTCGGATTGGTATGGATTGAGGAGTTCGAGATAATGACGCGCCAACATTGTTGTCTGAAAATCGTGGAGATTCGCGCCGGCTCTCAAAGGACCGCTTATTCCGTAGCATAGAATCTTCCAATGGCGACGGTTCCTGAGATTCTTCATATCTGTTGCGAGATCCAGAATCAAGGAATGATTCTTCCTGATGCTCGGCGCGCGGCTCTTCCTCACTCTGGCGCCGGAGGACGCCTCTCCTTGCAGGACCATTAAGAAAGGAACCTGACAATTTGCCCACACGCTTCACTCGTAGAGAACCCTGAATTCCAGTCTCGACTTCCGCCCTTGTTCGGGGTACCGTTCCCATCCCAGCTCGAGCATAACTACGGTCGTCTTGGCCGCTCTTCATGCCATCCTCCAAAAAGGACCGCTCCTCAACCCTACTAGCATCGCTAGATGAGCCTCCATTGGCTGACGGTAGTGATGCTGACGGAGAGCGAGTCGTGCTCCTCGAACCTGTCGCAATCCTAACACTTCTTGTCCGCGGTGCCGGGGTGATAAAATCATCGCGATTCCCCTCAGGGACATGATACTCCCTCTCTCCTCTTCCTGACAAAATCGAGGCTTCTCCCCCAAGCGAACTCGGTGAGCGGCGCGACTCCGATCCAAGACGAACAATCCTCAGCGGGGGACTCGCGCTGGCCCGCTGATCTGGCGACGCAATTCTGACCTGCTTCACATGCTGTCTTCGACCGTCCGCCCTCTGATAAGGTTGATTTTCCGATCCGTCTCTGGTGCCTCTTCTCGGCGACGTGTCCAATCCCGACGCATCCTCCCCTAGCAACGCCTTCACCGACGCGCTGAACTTGATGGGCTCTGGAAAATCATCGTCGTCTGAGCTATCTCCCGCCGAAATCGCCCTCGATCGCGCTAAATCTTCAGCCATGTTCCCAATCTCCACCGAATTCCCATGTGGCGATCCGTTGCTGCCGATATGTCTTGATACCGTTCTGCGGTGGAGATCATGTAGTGATGCTGGCCGCTGGCGATTACTCGCACTCCTCTGGCCCGAAGGCAATGGCGTAGGGGAGGCAGTAAGGGTCATATTAGTCGGTCCTAAGGTGTATTATAATGCATGAAGCCCGGAGTACCGGTTGTCGACATCTGTAGCTGCGTCCAATTCGAGCGCTTCGCGGGTCTCAACCTCGCGGTGAGGACGCTTTGAAAGGGGCGGTGGACGCCACCAAGACCACCACGTGACCGGATCAACAAGCTGTTTCTACGGCAACGCAACCATGGACGGCGACGGTGAGGTCAAACTCGGACTGCTTCGACGGATCTTGCTGGGTGCGAGAGAGGCGAACTGATATCTCCGTACGGGGAATCCTCAGTTGGAAGGCACTACAATATACGCCACAGAGTGCCCCCCAAATATCTTCGTTGAGCACTGAGATTTGCTGTTTCTGCGGACGTGAGAAGTACAGCCGCTACTCCGTTGTTGTTCCTATGCTTTTACGGGATTGAATATGCTTCAGGGGAATGGGATTATCGCCACTCTCACATCAGATTGGTGTTCGATAGTAGCAGGTTTAGAACGTCAAAGTGAAAATCGTAAGAAAAGAACGAAGGAATAGCACTCTCATAATGGCCTGTTCCTTCGAGAATATCGACCTTCCAGCCGTTTACCACAAACAACCTCGTAGCTGCATCAGCCCTTATTCGGGCGATGTTTGGTTAATATGATGGCAATGATTATATTGACCCACCTCATCATCAACTGACTGATTCGTTCTCGACCCCTTGTTCAGTAAATCCACGCCAAAGCGGGGAATACGAGTGTTGCCCTCATTTCTCTACGTCCGAACCAGCTTTCTCTTCCCGGCGTTTTGCAGGTGATGAGGCTGGCGAGCTCTTGCGCCGCCGTCTCGCAGCAGGAGCATATCTTTCAATAGATTGATGCCTCTTTCGTTTAGTTCGGTCGCGACTGCGGCTCCGACTAGACAAGGGGGTTCGAGTGTGGGATCTGGTCCGGCTACGAGCGCGCCGTGGACTGCGATCCCGACGGTCTCTGCTTCGACTAAGAGAGCGATGGTCACGAGAATTAAGGTCCTTGGTAACATCAGCTCGTGTTTCTCTTCTATCATGCTTTGAAACGGTAGATGATGATCTTCGTAACCGACCTCCACCACCTCGACGTCCAGGACTGCCTGAGCGGGACCGCGACCGCGATAACGAGCGTCGTGGTGGCGATCGTGATCGGGAAGCGGAACGAGATACGGAGCGAGAAGGATATCTCTGCGACCGTTGGTTTCGGCGACGGCGTGGAGACGGTGAACGCGAAACGTTTCGCGAAGAAGAACTCAGGGATCTTCTCCGGTATCTTCTAGGAGAACGTGAGCGAGATGATTCAGAACGAGTGCGAGATCTTGATCGGTGGTCACTATAAACGGGGCTTTCCCTCCTTCTACGCTTGGCGTCCCGCCGGTCGCAGGAGGGAGATCTGCTTATCGAACGTTGCCAACGTCTACCGCGATCTCTTCTGGCCCGATATCCGCGGCGTGGCGGTGAAATCGAACGGGATGGGGAGCGTGCGACGGAGCGAGATGGTGAGCGTGAAAGCGATGGAGAACGCGATATCGATCTTGACGGACGGCGTCCTCGCCCATCCGCCCAGCGTGAGCCCCTTCCTCCCGACGGCGCATAAGTATCTCCTCTCGGGCGACGTCTATCGCGGTACCTATCTGGGCTTCGTCGTCTGGGAGGCGGAGAACGTGAATCTCGGAAATTTCGACGACCGTAGTCTCTTCGGTTCCTCCCGCCGCCGGCGCGCTCCTCTCTCTCGCGTCGCCTGATCGCCTCCATTTCCCGCTCACGCGCTAACTCTTCTTCTTTCCGTTGACGGGCTTCCTCGGCTGCCTTCTCAGCATCAAGCTATCCGAAGTCAGTATATAGCCAGGGGAATACATCGACAGACAAATGTGGCAACCTTTTCCTGTATAAGCTCCAGCTTCTTCGCTTCAAGCAGCTCCTTCGGCACACCCTGGGGGTTGCTTTGCGCGCTCAAGCATAGGTTCCATAGGTCCTTGCAGAATTTGGGCGTATCCTTGTCCAAGAATCCGGTAAGCTGGATCTGTAAGTGCTTGATATTTGGCTGCAAAAAATGCGTCAGTACACGCCGCTTTCCTTCTGATGTAAGGCACGAAATGGTAGGTTTGGGTGGGGGGAAGAAACGTACGAATCGCGAACCCTCGATCAGATTGAAGCACAGTTCAATGACGACATCATCTTCATTGCCCAGGATATCCGAGATCTTGCCTGCAATCCATCTGTCTCCGAGGTCAGTCTCCAAGCAGTGGCGAGCAAGCTCGGTAGCTGGGGCAGTGGCAGGGGGAATACGCCTCACTTTTTCATCACTTCGATGTTGACTTTGTTCATGTCGACCTTTGTATTGAACTCGGGAGGGAATTTCGTCTGCTTCAGCAGCTTCGCATCCACGTTAGCCGCCATGGCGGGCAACAAGCAGCGGCTGCCTTGAACAACGCGGCGTTCCTTGCGCACGGCAAAAACCTGGCCAGGTTGGAGGACGCAGCTCAACGGGGGGTCAAGAAGAAAGATTAGTTAGCCGCTGACAAAGCATCCAAAGCCAATCACCGAGCTCGCCGGTTGTTAGTTCCGCTGTCACATAGCGGAGCTTTAGTTGGCCAAATCCCGACTGACTCAGCAGGACTTCCGTTTAGCTTAATAGTTAGTATCAACATGAGAACAATGTCTTTTCGGGTTGATATTGGACTTCATAACCAGCTGCAAGAAAAGAGGAGAATATCAAACATTGTGATCTTTCAGGTAGCTCAATTTTATGGTGGCAAAACTTACTATCAATGTTAGGGTACAAAAAGAGATAGTTATATAGAATGATTACGCAAGGCGCTGGGCGACCTTAACCTGACCTTCTTCGGCGAGTGAAAGAACAAAACAGAGCCAAAGGTGAATGATCACTCAAGTTCTTAAATCTATTCTGGGATTGTCTGTCATAGAGTATATCTCTACCCACAGCCTTTTATGGCTTCTCCCGAATCTCGAGTATGTCATAAAAATGGCTTGTCGGTCTCTATTAGCCTTATTAAAACAATCAATAAAAGTCAACCTCGTTGAGTGTCTCGCGCGTAAATGGTGTACCTATCCTCCGCATGGAGTACGGGATAAGTTGCCCCGCGTCGATTTGACAAGAAGGGAAAATTGGCTCAATCGGGGTTTGGGCCCGCTTGACGACGATTGCAAAATCGTAGATATTGCTAGCGGGCAGTTGGAAGTGATTCCATCGAAGATCCAGCAACAGCTGAACATTTTCAGCTACCAGCAATACATTTGAAAACTGAAAACGAATAAGCCTGTTTAGCATCACACACGAACACGTTGCAAAAACACCACCAACGCCGTGCCCGAATGGTTCCCAGATTCCCAATCAAGGGTTAATACATAGAGCCGCTAATACAGCACGGATTCGCATCGCCCTTTATCTTCCTATACCTCCTCCAGCTCCCACAATACCCGGCTAACATCATCCCTCGCTTGTCGCAGGTCCTTGTCCACCAATCCCCCGTTCTGGTACCGTTGATGTCTCAGCTTCACCTCTTTATGCAAATCAATCAGGTCCTTTGCGCGCTGAAGGTCTGGATTCATGGACTGGGAGCTGGCGACGGCAGAGCTAGCATCCTGGGGATTAGCTGAACCTGGGGCTGTTTTGTCCACGTTCAGGAGAGCGACGGCATCTGCGTGTTCCTGGAAAACTGGTCAGTCGGACCATAGGGAGTCTAATTGCGAAGTCAATCGGTGAACATACACAGGCCCGAAGGGAGGTGAGGTCGGAGAGTATCTCAGCGACCTTCATTCTTCTCGCGTGCTGCTGGACCATCGATCGAATTGCCTGCTGGTCGGGTTCGGGAGAGGTGGAGATGATCCCGGCCGGGAAAATCTTCGGCAGCGAGCTTAAAACTAGCCAAAACTCAACCCCCACGGAGGTCTCCGCCGGGAGAAAATCAATGGTGTCGAGGAACACTTCCGCTGTTGCAACACCGATATTAATAATTGAGATCCATTGCGCGTGTCTATTATGTCTACAAGGGATCAATAATTCAGGACAATACTCTCTTCTTTAAGACACCCAAGCTCTGACTTTCAATTCGCAATGGCGTCGATCAGGGAAAACTGCCGAAAAATCATTTGCATCGGCCGGAACTATGCGTGCGTCCCGATGGCCTCCTGTCCACGCAACTCCCCGAACCAGCAAAGTTGCCTACGAGACCAAGTCGCTGACACTTTCTCCAATGCAGAGACCACATCGCTGAACTCAACAATACCCGCCCCAAGAAACCATTTTTCTTCCTGAAGCCCACAACTTCCCTTGTGACGCCCGGCTACCCGCACGTCTTCAGACCAAAGGGCGTAAACCTCCACTATGAAGTTGAGCTCGGCCTTATCATGGGCCGCCGCCTGAAAGACTCAGATCCAGCTGACGCAAAGGGAGCTTTGGATGCCATCTCCGGTATGCGATTGAACATATATTACTTCAAAAGAGAGACACACAGCCCCTTAAAAAAAAAGGAAAAAGGGACAAAAGAAAAAAACCATTGAGAAAACTTCTCCAAGACCAACCCGCTCATAACTTCTGCTCCAGGTTACGTCGTCGCCATTGACATGACCGCCCGTAACGTCCAAGAGTCCGCCAAACGCGCCGGCCTCCCCTGGTCCATCGCCAAGGGTTTCGACACCTTCTGTCCCATCAGCAACTTCATCCCCAAACAAGCCATTCCAGATCCCCATAACGCCAATCTACATCTTTCCGTGAACAACGAGATCCGCCAGAATGACAACACCGGCTTGATGCTGTATCGCATTCCTCAGATTCTAGCAGAGATCTCTATGGTCATGACGCTCGAGCCTGGTGATCTTGTCCTGACGGGTACACCGAAGGGAGTGGGCGAAGTGAAGCATGGAGATGTCATGAGGGCAGGAATCAGTGTAGATGGGAAGCCATTGCCGGAAGGGAATATCGAAGTTACAGTGAAGGATTCCGAGGGGAGGTTTACCTTTGGGGAGTTTTAGACGGCAAGGAAAGGTGAGATGAATGTACAGGACAATATTTGAGTATATATACACTACATACACCCCATCTCGAACAGAAATATGGATGATATTACTTTAAGATGAAAGGTTGAGGCTTAAGGGAGGAGTCACCTCCTAACTATACCCCATATACCCCGAAACATCTACCACCCCTTGGTCCCTATTCGAACGAACAATTGCTTATGGCTTTAGCCCCCCATCCGCCCATCTGAGCTAACCACTCATTTTCTTCCTCTTTTGTTGACCATACAATAGGGATAACCCTCTTCCTCTGTTTAGTGGTGTTCCTCCTGCGGTTTGCAGCATTCTGCTGCGCCCGCGACCGCTGCTTCTTCTTTTGCTCTATCAAATCCCTCACCGCACTCTGAAGTGCATTCCAACTCCACCCATCCCTCTCCAGTCCCACTTCCACGATGCTCTGATCATCCGGATCGTTAAATCCATTCCAGAACGCCTGCACGACTTTACTTTCGTCACGTCGCCTCGGAAATTTTGCCAGCACGGACCGTCCTAGCTCAAGATAGTTGGATAAAGAGAGCGCGTTTTGCTTTAGGGACCGGATGGGGTCCTCAGGCTGCGTCCCGCGGCTTGGTTGCTTTTGTTGTCCCATTAGAAAATCCTCAGACGGCGGGGCTGATATTGGTGACATTTGGGTAAAATCAAAGTCAACCATGGGCGCTGGTGATTCTGCAGGAGGCAATGGTAAGGATTCCGGTATCAGTTCCACGGATGGAGGGCGCTCTATGCGACGGAAACGGAAACTAGATGGTGTTTCCGATATCCTCGACAGAGCACGGGTGGACTTTCGGGCGCGCTTCGGCGCCTTTGGGGATGGTTGAGCGGCAGGCGGTTCTGATAAGGTTGAGTATCGCTGTGATGGCAAGCTTCCCGGTGTCCGCTTCGACTTCACTATTGTGCCTATACATTAGCCATATACATATCTCCTCTGCGTCTGAAGCCATGAGAGTGAGAGGGAAATGTAGCGAAATAACGAGCCAGGTCAACCCTACTCACCACACTCTTTTCTCAACTCATCTACTTCCTCCTTTAAACCCCTAACCTCTTCCATTAGCCTGTCCATCAAGCTCCTATTCTCTCGTGTCATGCCCCTCTCCCTCTCCGCCTCTTCTTCCAATCGCTTCCTCTCCTCCCAATCCAGTATCCGCTGTTCAACCAACCGCTCCACAGCAGCTTTCACTCCCCTGACATCGTCCCTCAATACATCCATTCCATCTCTCATCTCGCCAGCAGCCTTCTCCAAGCTAACAATTGTTTTATCCACCACGCCGGCCTTCCCATTCAGCCCACCTACTTCCTTCTTCGTTTTATCCACGCTCGACTCGAGCGCCGTGATCTGCCCCACGAGAGCCTTGTGCTCGCGGCGAAGTTGATGAGCCCAGAGGAGCGAGGCTGGCAATATACCTGAGCTATCAGGCGTAGGAAGAGACATCTTGAGTGACAGCCGTGCCTGAGGTTACTCTGCAAACGGTGGAAAAGGAGATGGTATAAAAGCAACGGAAAGGTGAGGTAGATGAGAAGAGTCACAGGCGGAGCCATTACCTTTTTGGGAGGATCTTGCTGATGAGGCTCTGTCCGCCCTTTTCGGGAGGAAGACAAGACACGGCCCGTGAGTTTGAGAACGTATCAAGAATAAGTTATATGTGAAAGCAAAAACCAGCGTCGCATTTTTAACTCTTATCTATCAAAAACTCGGAAAATCGCAAGCGCAGGGTTAAAAAAAAACAAGACCTCGCCGCCACCCATAAGAAGAATCAGGGCACACTCATCATTCGTGTATGCAAGTGGGTTGGAGGACCTCGTCTCATATCCCGTGCCGTCATCATTCATGACCAGAAACAAAACAGTGAGACAACATGGGAACTGGGCAAATGAAAAGATGAAAAAGGAAAAGAACAAAAAATATCAGGCAATTTTGCTATGTACCCATGGTCCTTTATTTTTTTCCCACCCTGATCACGCATGCTATGTGCATGCTTAACCAAGTGAAGAGATAAGAAAGAACCCAAGGCAACGATGGAGACTTACGAAGTCAAGAGATAAAAATGGAAGATGCAGATTTGAGACACTGGAATGTAGGGAATAAAATTGGACAATGACGCCCCTCTGAAAGTGCATACAAATATGAGAGAAACCTGAGAATATTTGGCATCGAAGCGACAGAGATGTACAGGATATATCTCATAAGCTTCCATGCCATTGCACCCAGAAAGAAATACATGCCATAAACAAACCCGCGGTACAACTTTTTAAAGAAACAAGCACTGCCAATATCATCCATTATTAAACCCTAAGTCGTAAACGGGTCTCGTGTCGTGAGCTTGAACAGAGTCTTTCCAACTCCACAGCCTTGGTATACCGATGACACGACAGAGAGTGAAGTTAATCAAATTAAATGAGATCTGCAGACAATTTAGTAAGCATATGTTTCAGAGGTGAGACTGAGAACGGATGTACATACCGGCAACGTTCATGGGCATTTCTTCGATTTGAGTGCTGTAGAACTGCTCGATTTCTCTCATCATACGGACATCATCAGCGGTGACGAAGTTGATAGCGACACCCTTACGACCGAAACGACCACCACGACCAATACGATGGATGTAGTTCTCGCGGTTAGCGGGGAGATCATAGTTGATAACCAAGGAGACTTGCTGAACGTCGATACCACGGGCAAGCAAGTCAGTGGCGATCAAAACACGGGAGGAACCAGAGCGGAACTCCTTCATAATGACGTCACGCTGGTTTTGCTCCATCTCACCGTGCATGGCAGAAACGGTGAAGTCACGAGCAATGAGCTTGTCGGTCAACCAGTCGACCTTTCTCCTGGTGTTGCAGAAGATGACAGCTTGAGTGATGGTGACGGTCTCATAGAGATCGGAAAGAGTGTCGAGTTTCCATTCCTCCTTCTCGACGGCAATGTAGAACTGCTTGATACCTTCGAGGGTAAGTTCGGCCTTCTTGACCAAGATGCGGACTGGGTCACGCATGAATTTGGTGGTTACATCCAAGACATCCTGTGGCATAGTGGCAGAGAGCAGGACGACTTGGGTGGACTGAGGCAAAAATTGGAAAATGTCGTAGATTTGCTCAGTGAATCCACGCTGGAGATCCAAGTTAGTCAACCCATCTAGTGGCGGCCGGGAGCAGGGGACATACAGAAAGCATTTCATCAGCCTCGTCGAGGACGAACATCTTCATCTGATCGGTCTTGAGGACACGACGCTGGATCATGTCGTGAACACGGCCGGGGGTGCCGACGACAACTTGGGGGCCGTCATTGAGGGCCTTTATATCTTCGCGGACATTGGTACCACCAATGCAGGCGTGGCACTCAACACTCATGAAATCGCCGATGGCAACGACGACCTTCTGGATTTGCTGAGCAAGCTCACGGGTAGGAGCAAGAATGAGAGCCTGGCAGGCCTTGAGGTTTGTGTCGACCTTCTGGAGAGCAGAGATCGAGAAGGTGGCAGTCTTTCCAGTTCCGGATTGAGCCTGGGCAATGACATCGGAACCTGTAACATGGATAAGCTTTCACGAAGAAGCATGAGGACAGGTAAAGCGCGACGTACCCTTGATAACTGGCATGATAGCGCGCTGCTGGATAGCAGACGGGCGCTCGAAACCATAAGCGTAGACACCTGGATAAAAGAGTTAGCAGCGGTGATAAGCCGGCCCCCCAACGTGGGGGTCGCTCTGAGGAACTAGCACACCTCGTAGCAATTCGGCACGAAGGTTCATAGCATCGAAAGAATCGGTGATCTCATCGTAGTTGGATTCGATCTGGTCTAGATAGTTTCAACCAGCAGTGTTAGCCATACTCTGCCCGCGTCGTAGACTCAGTGCGATGCTGGTGAGAGGGAGGGAGGTTGCCACATGACAACCCCAACTGTTCTCAAGCAGTTCAACCAGCAGGTGAAAAATCAGCAGCACTTACTATCTGGGATCTCTTCGAGACCCTTGTCATTAGAAGCCATGATTGCGGTTTAGAATAGAAACGACCACAAGCTCTGTGCTGTGGTCCGATGTGAATGAGGGGTTGTCTTGTTCAAGTAGCGAGGAAGAGCCACCAAGCGATCCTTGTAAGGAACTTCTCGTGGCAGATGAAAAGCGTCCAAGTGGTTAAATACCTGTGCTCTCTGGAAACAGGAGCACTGTACAACTCTAGGGTAGTAACCGTGTTGTTCTTGGAAGGGAGAGTTGATGACAGTAGATGTCAGTTGTTGTGGGAAAGATTTGAAAATCTTGGAGAGCGAGAAATTCTTTTTTTTTTTACCTCTTGGGCAGCAGAGGAACGGCACCAGCCGTGAAATTTTTAATCCTTAGCGTCATTCTGATGTTTCGCGTGTGGATGGTGCCGGCATGCTATAACTTAGCATCATCCTTATGTAACCATGGGGTGGGCATCCCACCACTTTGAAGTTTGGCCGCCCTGCTGAAAGACAAAAAACTGCGAAATTTTTTTAATTTTTTTCTTACCAGGATGCCGGGTCTTTTCTGCAAGTTAGAGCGCCAGCGATGGCTATTCTGTCTCTATATGATATATCTCACCTTCGTTGCTGTCTAGTCTGTTACGCCCAGAGGGAATTGCCACAGATCTTGCAAAAAAAATCCCCCTTATCCCACCATTTTCCCTTTCCATATCATTTCATGTGAAATCAATATCCTAAAAATGTCATGTTATTCTTGACAAAAACAATATCTACACTTCCTAGACCAAAGAATTGCATTATGATAACAGGTTGCCCCAAACTCCTCTGGCCAGAGGTGGAACGTGCCATGGCGTCGATGTCTTGTGAACTGGCTGGCAGAGACACAGTGTTTACAGCTGGATGCAACCCTTGCACTGCCCAAATTCATACAGCCTTTACCAGGAATGCACGATGGCTTTATGCTTTTACATCTTCTCTCTCCGTAAAAGATCACTAATGATTTTACAGCCACCTGCCATGATGCAGCAACACATTTCCTGACTGAAACAATGGCTCATCAAAATATGTCTTTTGACCGTCCTATTGCGTAGTCGCAAGCGTGGCTGGCCTCGCTGTGAGTGACTTAGACTATCAGTAGTCAAGACAAGCAAATTTTCGCTGCGTACCAGCCCACATTGCCATGACTGTATGTGCTTCAATGGTGCCAAAGGATGGGCGAGCAATTCCTGTATAGTAGTTTCATGGCGACCTGTTCGAGAGATAGGTAGTTAAGTAGGTTGGCTGGTTGATTGGGTTTCCTAAACTGCACCATTAATGTCCATTTTGGTGATATTACAGGACATATTTATTGCCCTGTATACTCTGCACATGAGGCCTAAATACAATCATATTTTATCTGTCCATATAGGTTTTCTATGTAATATTTACTATGCGCGGCACTAATGTCAAGTCGTGATGCTTCAGAACCAAACCAAAGAAAATTTTGTCCAAACTTTATCGCCAAATTCACGGCCAAACGCAACCAGCATTCTATCACCTAGATGCACCCATTGAGTTCTTCAGGCATATAAACAATGAATGGCGGCCACCCCTCAATATCACAGGCCAACGAGGCCTTTGATAACCCTGAAACAATCCCCTCCCACCCCCTCGGCGTCAAGCCGTCTGGGAACGGACTCACCGCCTCCTATAACCTCCGCTCCTCAATTGGGTATTTCGGCATCCTACCGGATGAACTGATTTCACTTCTGCTTGAATCCTTGGACGTGAAGGCGCTGAGAAGCTTAGGAGCAACGTGTAAGGCCCTGCACGCTTTTACTAGGAGCGAGGAGCTGTGGAAGGCAATTTTTATAGAGTACGTTCAATATTTAAGATATCGTTAGAACTGGCCCTGTGTGTTGTGTGTTTTGATTGAAAAGCATTTTTCTGTTATCATGGTATACATACATATCTGGCAATTCTCTTATCATGGGATGAGGTCAATAGGGGCATGGCACACGTTCCTTTTCAAAAAGGGATATTCTCTTCAATTGGGATCGCCACGCAGCTCCGTTTGAACATTGCCCCTCTCCCACCTATGTCGGTAGCATGCGATGATATCCGTACTAATAAAATCCAGGACACCACCTCAAAACTTCACCTGGCGAGGTACATGGCATTCCACATATCTAAACTTGCCAGAATCGAAAGTGGCTTCGCCCGACTGCTCGTATCTCTTTTCAGATGTTCTCCACCGGCCATTCTACTGCGCCCATGTCTCCCTATCGACCTACACTGAGAATATTCCCTCCAGAAACCAGATTTCCCGACTCAAGGACCTCTCGCCGGCTGAGTTTGAAGAGTCATGGACAGATCGTCCATTCATCCTGACAGAGCCCGTCAAGAGCTGGCCAGCATATAAGAACTGGTCCATCGAGACGCTCCTTAAGCAATATGGCGATGTGCTTTTCCGCGCGGAGGCTGTGGATTGGCCGCTAAGAACATACGTGGACTACATGAACAACAACTCCGACGAAAGCCCGCTGTACCTCTTCGATCGCAGCTTTGTGCAAAAGATGGGCCTTCCTACGCATGGCGAAAGTGCAGCATTCCAACCTCCTGCATGCTTTGGTGAAGACCTATTCGCGGTTCTGGGTGCTCAACGCCCTGACAAGGAGTGGCTGATCGTCGGCCCTGAAAGAAGCGGGAGTACCTTCCACAAGGACCCCAACGCGACAAGTGCGTGGAACGCGGTGCTCAGCGGGTCGAAATACTGGATCATGTTTCCCAGCTCATCTTCTCTACCGCCCCCGCCCGGTGTGTATGTCTCCGCCGACCAGAGCGAAGTCACCTCGCCGCTCAGCATCGCGGAATGGTTGCTGAACTTCCATGCCGCTGCGCGCAAGGTGCACGGATGTGTAGAGGGAATCTGCGGTGAAGGAGAGGTCCTCCATGTGCCTTCTGGATGGTGGCATTTGGTGGTTAATCTAAACCCATGCATCGCCATAACGCAGAATTTCGTTCCGCGGAAGCATCTCGGCGCGGCGCTTGAGTTTTTGAAGTACAAGGCTGACCAGGTGTCTGGGTTCAGAAAGGATGTGCTAGATCCGTATGGAATGTTTGTCGAGAAGATGCGGGAAACACATCCCGATTTGCTAGAGAAAGCGATGAAGGAAGTGGAGGGCAAAAAGAAGAGAAAATGGGACGAGATCGTCCATGGAAATGAGGATGATGCGACAGAAGCGTCAGCTGGAGCTTTCAGTTTTGGTTTTGGCGACGAGGGAAGTGATGTTGAAGTTCCATGATAGTGAAAAGCCCTCAAATTTTGAGGATTCAAAAAGTATTATAGATACAGCTTCCGTCAGATACTCGATCTCATCCAGCGAGAACATGCACACTCAATACACCCACAGCTTTATGTTTACATTGCCAGCATGTCAAACGAACGTCATTTCTCCTTTGTCAATATCTAGAAAAGCCAGTAAGCGTAGATCAGTGACACGACGCGGACTTTGCTGCCGAGGACGAGCCAAAGGTTAGATAACCCAAAAAAGCGCCGATTCCAACGGAGATCATGACCCAGCCATTATATGTCATAAAAAGGAGCCTATATACGCATTAGCATCTCCCATTTCTCAAGTGAAGTGGGGCCGGGATAGCAATATACATGATGAAGAAGCTGTAAAAGACCTGCACGCCATAGAGCGAGGCAATGACAATTTTCCTCCTCCGCCCGACGGGTTCACTGGTGTTAACATTCCTTGCTGGAAAAAGGAGTGAGCTTGATTCATCATCGCGATGATGATTTTCTGTCGGGCCATATGCTTCTTCTTAATTCAATTAAGAGTGAATGAGAAGACTTGTCCAAGATATACCATACGCAGGCATACAGCGAACATCGACCAAGAAAATGACATATATGTTGAATATAAAACAAAAATTCGAAGTCAAGTGAACATACCAGACCCCGGGGCCGGAATAGCCCCTTTAACGCCTCTCCCGCATACACCCTCGTATCTTCTCGTCAACTCCCTGACGGCTTCATATCCCGCAGTCAGGAGTATGACACCGACAAGAGAAAAGAGCAATGAGACGGGACCGGTAACGCGCCACTGGCGGAAGACCAGGCACAGGTTCTTCGTTGACCATGTAAATAGCATCTGTTGTGCAGATGTCAGCCGAATGGCCTCGCCGCTGGTCGGGAATGATCGGCTATATCAGCGACAAGGGGGAGTACTCACGTTCATGCTACACTGGTCGTGACCCATGTCCATATCGCCATGGCCGCTGTGATCCATGGTGATCGATTACTCGGAGACAACTGCTTGTAGTTCTTCTATAGAATGCATGGGCTTTCTGTGCCCTCTTCGATAGCCCGTGGTTCCTACTGACGCGGACGGTTCAAGGCTCCATATGACCTTTATAGTGACTTTTCAGGCCTGTTACACTTGTGCACGTGACCATGCAGCTGGTTTCGCGTCGGGTTTCTGCGAATCTAGTTACGTTTATGACTGTGAGGTAGGTAAAGGGAAATTCATCGGAAAGGCAATTGACAATGCCTTCTCTGTATATAAATTAAATCGTAGGGAAAAGTGGCGAACAACACGCTGTCGTATCGACGTTTCAACTTGATACTCTCGAATAGTAAATTATCACTTTGACTGATTTTTATTCCATTAGAATGGAATAAAGTAGTCCCGAGAGGGCGTTTGGTTTAGTGGTATAACATATCTTTCGCATAGATAGGGTCGCCGGTTCGATTCCGGCAACGTCCATTTCTTTTTTTAACCGCTTCGCAGGTTCGAGGCACCTCCCGTTCTCCCCAGTGAGATAAACACTATTAATTCCGTACTCATTACCGAGTATTGAACTCTTGAATGACAAAGGGGTGTGACTGGCGTAAGTACCTGGGCAAAAGGCGACCAACAAAGGAACCCTCTACCGTCGGTGAATTGGCGGCAATGCAAACAATGCAAACAGCATGATATCGGACTCCCGCGAAAGCTCCCAACGGCTTGCCGGACGACCACTCAATCCCAATCGAAAACAACGGCTGAGTTTCCTTTTCACCTTTGAAAGCCAGCACTACCCCCCACATCCATACGCAAGGTAGCGACAGGCCAATGACAGAGAACGTCCCTCCGTCCACCGCGCCCTCCGTGCCTGGCACAACCGCCGCGACTGGGCCAGGTGCAGCAGACCAAGCTCCTCCGACGCGCGGAGTACCATATTACGAGAAACTACGCAAAGAATTACGTGACACGCTCCAGAAGAAGAGGTTACTTGACAGAAATCTCGTACGTCTGCCTTCTCTCCACTTCCAACCGGCAGTTTCGGCCATCTATCACAACCTAGCCCATCCCGTCTCCTTTCGCCGACATTATGAAATAACCTCAAGCTAACCTATAACCCAATTCAATGCAATAGGCAACCCTAGAAGAATCAATCTACCGCTTCGAGCAATCCTACCTCGAAGAAACCGGCGCCGGAAATATAATCAAGGGTTTTGACAACTACATCAAAGGCTCCGCAGGAGCGTCCTCACTCGGCGCTGCAGGTGGACTTGGCTCCTCCTTCGCGGGTGGCACCTCTGGAGCGGGCGGCGGAGGGCCCACAACGAGAAGGAAAGCACAAGTGTCAGATCTAGACAGGGTGTTCTCCCGGAGTTCAGCGAGTTTCATGAGGGTGAGCTATCTTCCCCCCCAAACAGCTACACAACATGCACCGTGGAGATTAATATATATATATATATATATATATATATATATATCGTGCTAACTCTTGGATAACCGCAGGACTCTCCCGCTCCTTCGAGCGCACACACCACGCCTTCCCATGCCCCTACACCAACCTACTCCGGCTCCAGCGGCAAAGCCGACAGAGACGCCAAAGATTCATCTGCGCCAAACAGCGTGAAGGGCGCGGCGAGCAAAAACAAAAAGAAATCTGCCGGAGCCGCTCGCGAAAGAGAAGATGACGATGATGGTGGGGAGACGAAACCACCCGTGAAACGGCTGAAAATTACATATGGCAGGGGAGACTGAAAGGGAGAATGGCACTGGGCGGTTTTATGGTCGTTTCTCAGCTTCGCGACAATGACCCTGAGCAATAGACTCGCTGGTTCTGTCTGTGGAATCTATTCTAGAGGATCTGGATTGAGCTTTTATATCTTACTTGTTTAAAGGTTGCATAAGCGATGGTTGGTCTCGGGGAGTTCCATCGGTTGGTAGTTGCGGCGCAACAGTGTTGTTATTATATATGTGGTGAGGTGAGCGTTTTCTTTCCTTTTTTTTTTCCTTTTCCTTGTCTTTCAAACATGATCGGTCGAGTAAAGCCCTATATTGGATTCCGACATTATAAAGTATAGATACCTATTATGAGCTGTATGTACTATACATACATACTTACGTCCTATATGTCATGACATTAAACAGTCCCGGGTTTGGTAGCGAAACGGATCTAGAACGGTTCCATTTCAAAGACCACCAAGACCCCCAAGCAGGAAAGAGAAAAGAGCAGCCATTAAATATACAACAATATGAATAAACGCGAAAATTAACCTACCTCATATGACCCGAACAGCCTTCGGCGATGCTGATCAAAGCTGTAATCGATAGGTAGCAACCTCGAACGGCCTCAACTCGATATCAATCTTCAACCCATCTTGAGCTTTGTCGATATGCAAAGTTTCTAGGTCATCCTCTAGAACATTACATTTGTACGCTTTTCGGATGGGTAATTTCACCCCAAGAGTGCCGCGACTCTTGCCTCCCATCGAATCATAGATTCGGAGAATAATGCTCTTGCCTGGCCGTTGCTCAAGCTCGCCCCGAGACACGTCTTGATCGTCTTCGCCACGCTTGACCGTATCCAGTATCAGATTAGGCGAGCCGGTAAGCTGGATGGCCTTGAAAAGATCGTCGGCTTCTTTTCCCGAGAATGCTTGCACAATCAAGGGATTGTTGAAGTTGTAGCCAGCCCTGACAGTGCGATAATCAAGAGAGCCAGAATGAGGCATAATTGCATAGCGAATATGGTGGCGGCCGATATCCGCGTTGGCGTCGGGAGCCTTGGGAGCACGAAGGAGGGACAGGCGCATCAGGTTTCCGGCCGTGGCAAAACCGTACTTGGAGTCGTTCAATATGGAGACTCCGTAGTCGCTCTCAGACAAATCTGCCCATTTATGGCAGCAAACTTCGAATTTCGCCATGTCCCAGCTAAAAAAAAAAAAAAAAGAAAATATGCCAATAAGAGTCTGAACCACACGCTAAAAGGGGGGGCACTTCTTACCTTGTATTATAATGTGTTGGTCGCTTGGTGACCGCGAACTGCGTTTCATACGACGCTTCTGTATTCACAATGTCCACGGGAAATTCGACTTTGAGGAATTTCATGCTTTCATGCCATTCAACCTCGCAATCCATTTCAACATACGCGGGGAGATCTCCAACTGCCTCCTTTAGACTGATCGTGGTTTTAATCCAGCTTTCATTGCTGATCTTTGTTTCCGTGACCACGCTCACCCTATGGGGTCCAGTTTCTCCAATGCTGGTGGTCTCTGACTGCAGCTCCTTGCGGGATTCAATATGGTATACCTCGACGTCCCATGCTTGCCAGTAGAGTGGCTTGTCGTCAAAGATGACATACTGATTCGCTTTTCCACCCTTGGAGACGACCTCCCTACTGGCCTTGCGATCGAATAGCGACGTAATAACTCCGTTAGTCACCCGCAAAGTAAGTGCATCGTTCTGGAGTTGGAACACGCCTGGTTCAACCTCTTTCACACTAAGGGATGTACTCTGGGAAGAGCTCAGCGGCTCTGCAGATACCACACCGGTACTTCCTCTAACCAGGGCATATTGGGGCGTGGCAGCGGCGGATTTCGGCTGATCGATTGGCACAATTTCGGATCTATCCCAGGGTAAGGTGTTGATCGCTATCAGCTTCTGATTTGTGCTCTGCTCCGGAACAAAGCCGAGAACCTGCATCGCTTCCTCCTTCAGCCTACGGGCGGTTGCAAATACTTCTGCGTAGATCTTGTCCGAATCATCATAGCATATCTCGATCGAACTTCCCGGGAGACAATCGTGGAACTGGCATAGCAACACTGACTCCCACATATCATCCACTTCTTTCTTCGGGTACTTGTAGTTGGAACTTTTAAGAGTAGCAAGAGTTGCCAGAAGTTCGAGATCACGGAGGACAAATTCTGATTTGCGATTATTGCGCTTATTGTTCGCTTGGGTGGTGTATGTACCGCGGTGCAGCTCGAAATACAATTCACCGTACCAGGTAACGAAATCGGTTCCCTTGGCCGCTTTCTGTTCGAGCTGGGCGAAAAAGTCATCGACTGAACCGCCCATGGTAACTCGTGGAAGCAGGCCGACCTTGTCGCTGAGACCACGAAGACGTCGAAGCTTCTCGATGTGCTCAGGGGTAGGGCCACCGCCGCCGTCTCCCTTCCCAAACACTAGAAGGGACGTATTATCCTGGTCCATTGATTTATGCTGTGTGACGCTGCGTTTGACGTCTCCAAAGTGAGCATCGGAGGTGTATGTCTCTGCGGGCGTCATGTGGCAAAGAACCTGGGTGCCATCGGGGGAAACCCAGTTGAATGTCGTGTGCGGGAAGTTATTGATGTTATTCCAGCTCAGCTTCTGCGTGAAGAAACGGCTCATTCCCGCCAACCGACACAATTGAGGGAGCTGTGAAGAGTAGCCGAATGTATCGGGAAGCCAGAAGGTCGAGCATCGTTCGCCGAAACGGCTTTCGAAATACCGCTGCCCGTACAAGAATTGGCGGACCAGAGACTCGCCGCTAGGGAGGTTGGTATCGTGCTCTACCCAGCTGCCCCCGATCGGCTGGAAGTGGCCCTTCTTGACCCAGCTTTTAACCCTGTCGAAGGCATACGGGTAGTCTTGTTCCAGCCACTTGAACTGCTGTGCTTGGGAGCAGCAAAAGCGAAATTCAGGGTATCGCTCCATCAGGTCACACTGGGTGGACCAGGACCTGGCTACTTTCCGCTTTGTCTCGGCGAACGGCCAGAGCCAACAAGAATCGATATGGCAGTGTCCAATACCGAAGACGATGGGCTTTCCCTCGGTCTTGTAAACGTCCGGAGAGTTGACGAGGGTGCCTATATACTGTTCGGCAATTTTGCGAGCGGCCTTGATGGACTCTTGACTCCCATTTCCGGCAATGAATGCATCCATCATGGCATTTCCGATGCGCAGCGCTTCATGAGACTGCCACGAGTCACCTGGAAACTCTCTTGCAGCATCTACATGCCCAACTCCCCTTTTAGTGGAAAAAGGCCCCATTGAATACACAAAGTGAATGTAGCTCACCTCCGATCATCCAGAAATCATAATATAATGCGCGAGCTTCGAGATTGACAGCAGTAATTCTTGCGGTGTTAAGACGGTAGTACCTGTTTGGGTTTGGCGGCTGGATGATATCCCCGTCAGCATTTCCAAACAAGCCATTGCACGCCATCTCAATGTAAAACGTGTGCTGTTTCCCGTCTCTGAAGCTGTCTGGTAAGATCCATTCAATTCTGTCACCACCGGTCAGGCCCTGGAGGGGATGACCATCTTCGGACCAGACCATGCCCTCGTTACCGGCGTCCCAATGAAACTCCAGACGTTCCTTTGCGGTCAGGCTCGGGGGCACTGTCAGCTGGATCTTAAACCAATGAGTCGACCAGCTCGGACCGAAGACTTCGCCTCGCTTCGTAGGTTTGAACTGCTTGGAAACGACATCCTTGAAGGGCGGCCTCTGCAAGTCTGGAACGGAGTAGACGGAGAGCTTGACATGTTGCTCATCATCGACAATAGCCTCGTGATACTTGCTAAAGGCCGGAGAAGGCACAAGCAATTGCGAGGGCCTTGGTTAGCTGTGTGATTCTTTCTTTCTTACTTCTCTCTCTCACACACACACACACACACACGCACACTCTCTTCGCTCTCGCTCCAGCTGATCACAGTGGCAGACTGGATGATGGAAGAGGACAAGAACAAAATGAGATGAAGAATTCTAGATGACGTACGCGACCAGATTGTGCCCCTGGTACTGCCCCGTTGCTGTGAACTGGCGGAGGCGGTCCTTGTAGATGCTGGTGATCTTCTGGCCGACGGGCTTCTCCGCGAAGGTTGGGTAGTTGCTCGGAGCTCCTCTCGGGGCTTCCCCACCCATCGTTGCGGCAGTACGGAGTGAAGAGGGGCTTCTTTTCTCGGTGGTGATTTCAACAATGTTTATAAAAGCAACGGGGGCTGTGTCCTCCAATTGACCGAGTGAGTGTCTGTCAGGCTGCCAGAGCGTAAGAAGGGGAGGGGGAAGCGGCAAGGTTTATATAGTTTTGATGCGTTCTGGAAAAAAAAAATGCTGGACGGTCGAAAAGCGGGGTCAGGTTTGCTCGCGTTGCGGAATTCTCTAACGTCAAAGACTCTCCGCCGTCCAGCCATCCCGGCACGGACAGGGGCAGAAATGGGTGTCTCGAGACTGGCAGCCAGACGCATCAGCTGCAGCAATCAGCAGAGGCTGTCCAGCCCGTCCCTTGCATGCACCCGTTCCGGTCCGGTCCAGGCGTGAGAGTCAATTAAATGGTGATGGATGCGCAAAACGGGTGGTTCCTCCTACGTCCACCACTGCTCTTCCCCCCCCGTCTGCTAATTTTTTGAGAGCCGGTTTTAGCTGCTCCGTAACGCTACAGGCCGTTGTGAGGCTGATCTACGTGACATGCCTGGGGTCGTTGGTGGGGATGCCAAAACCCCCGGACACTTCATCATCTGGACCCATCGCGGTTGAAGCCAGAGCCACTTTTAGTCTTTTCTGGTGCTAGAGCGGTTGGAGCTCCAAATCCCTCCTCCCACACCCCCCGTCCAGACCCTCAGTGCAGGATTTATCCCTGGGCGCGTTCGCGTGTGGCTCTACGTATGATCAGGCACACGAGACAGAAAAATTTCTCCCACGGTCACTCGGCACTTCATGGATAACGGCATCTCGAGTTCGCATGAAGATGATTTAACTTGCTTAACCATGTCGGTCGTGACTTACGATCGGCTCCTGGAACCGTCGGATGGCAAGACCCGGGACAGTTTCAACTGATCACCGGAACAGAAGAGTTACGACTCGTTAGAATTGATCAAAGCAGGGGAAAAGGGGGTCTTTGGTGCCATCTACTCTGTACTCTGTATAGTTCGGTAGGTTTCCAACCGACCAACCGGCGGAGACAAGATACCTTGCGAACAAGGGAGATCCCCTTGTATGGATAACCAACCTTGTCGTGCAGTTTCCAGGCATGTTCCACCTGGTACTGCCCAGGCCAGTGACCTCGACGTGACTTGTTTGCCATCGAGTATGTCTTGTGCAACAGGGAAAAAAACGAGCACATGAATCATAAATCCCTGAGGCTGGTCGAGATCCCCTCTTTTTTTTTTTTTTTTTTTACAGGTAACAAACAGCGCTGGGGGACTCTGATGCAGCTGGTAAGGCCTGGGCGCAAGATTCCGCAGCTTGAAATCTGGGTCTGATGAGGCAAACCGACGTCCTTTGCATGGAGAGTGTGAGATTGGCAGGGGGTTTAACTAGCGGGACAAACCAGACAAGAAGAGCCTTTGAGCACAGCTTGTGCGTAAAACGTTGGTAACTCGCTCCAGAATATGGTGCTCGAGACGTGCGGGCCTTTGCCAGTTTCGCGTACGCTGCCCGGTGTGAACCTTGGATAGCTCTTCGTACCGGGATGCACTCGGTTCCCCGCCTGTGCAAATCAGAGAAGAACTTTTAAGAGTCTATTTATTGTGGACCCCCCACAAATCGTGCCCGGTTTCTGCTGGATGAACTTGTCACGATCCCTGGACGGCGTCGTGCCCTTCGACTAGAGTGGCTAACCAACTAGCTAGCTATTAGTTTACTCCATGCCCAACTATGAATCTATGATAGCCTTTTCTGTTTGGCACGCACAGGCAAGCTCCCTGGTCGCAGCACTCGCTGGCAATTCCTCCTGAATTAATCTCCGTCCCTGGAAAAAGTTTCACGCCGGAAAGTGTAAAATTCCAGAAAAAAAGAAGAAAAAGGCAAATGATCAAATCAAAATTTATTTCCTCACAAAGTGGCGATGGAGAAACGTTGATCCGCCGCGAAACTCAAACTCGCTGGCTTTCGAGTCGTTTTGTCTTTCGCAACTCGAACTTTTTGCTGCTGCTGCTGGCCGTCAGTTGCATCGCTGATATCCTGTTCCCCGGCTTGTGCTGCTGCTCTTTTCTATCTCCCTTCCAGATCTTGGCTACTATTTAAGCTTATCTTTTTTGTGGCAGTTCTTGCGGTCGTTCTCTTCTCGGCAGCCGAAATCTGTCAGCCCACACCAAACCCTGCCCAGGCAACTCTTCTCCCCTTAGCTCATTTCAAGTATGAGTTTGACCGCCGTTGCCCGCAATGCGGTGCCAACGCAAAGAGCCACCCTGCGTCGTATGGCACTCTTTCCTGCGAACTTTTTGCAGAAATCGCCAGCTGACCTGTCCTTTTTTTTTCTTTTTTTAGCCCTTTCCCGACTTGCCGCCAGCCGTCTATCCCACTCCGCCCTGAACGCCAGACTAACCGGCGGCGGACGTCTGCCCTCCCGCCTCCCCGCGCTGGCGATCTTGATCCCACAGCAGCGATGGTATGCCACGGAGCAATCTACAACCCACGGTCCGGGAGTTCCTCCCAACTTCCCGCCTCCGGGTTTCAACGCCGAACAGGCTAAGCGTCCTCTCCCGAAAGAAGAAGCCTCCCCAAAACCTGCTTCGAGCACGAAAGCACCGGATGCCGAGGCCTCACAAGCTGCAACACAAACCGAAAATGCCAATCCCTCCGAGCCCTCCAAAGTGATCTCTAAGCCCAAGGAGACGAACCTTGACGCGGAAGCGGCCGCAAAACAGGCCGTTGAAGAGCCAAAGGAGACCAAGAAGCTTACGCTCGGCCAGAAGATCAAGAAGGAGATCCAGCATTATTGGGATGGCACCAAGTTGCTGGCCACCGAAGTCAAGATCAGTACCAGATTAGCTGTCAAGATGGCTGCTGGGTATGAGCTCACCCGCAGAGAAAATAGGCAGGTTCGTTTTGCCAAAATTGCCCCCTCCCCTCCCAAAAAAGTGAACATTTTTTTTATTTTATTTATTTTACTTTCTTTTTGAATCGGTCTTTAGTTTAAATGATCGTCTGCTTATTCCATTACATAGCTCCAACGTACGGTCAAGGACCTGGGCCGTCTTGTGCCGTTCTCGGTGTTCGTGATCATCCCATTCGCGGAGCTGCTCATCCCCGTCGTCATTAAATTTTTCCCGAACTTTCTCCCAAGCACGTACGAAGGCCAGAAATCCAAAGATGCAAAGGCGGCAAGCCTGAGAGACACCCGAAAGGAGGTATCTTCATTCCTTCGCGACACCTTGAAAGAGACTGGTCTTCCTGTCAGCCCAACAAATGCAAAGAAAGAGGAATTTGCGGAGTTCTTCAGAAAGGTGCGAGCCACCGGTGAGGATCCAAGCGCAGAGGATGTCATCAAAGTATGCAAAATCTTCAAAGACGACGTCACCCTCGACAACCTTTCGCGACCGCAGCTCGTTGGAATGTGCAAATACATGAACCTAAACACATTCGGCACCGATGCAATGTTGAGATACAATATTCGCCACCGGATGAGGCAAATCAAACGTGACGACAAGGCCATATCCTTCGAAGGCGTTGACTCCCTCTTGGTGCCTGAACTCCAGACCGCCTGTGCATCCCGTGGTTTGAGAACTCACGGCGTTTCTCCCGCCCGCCTAAGGGAGGATCTCGGAATGTGGTTGGATCTTCGTCTTAAGCAGGGCGTTCCGTCAACGCTGCTCGTCTTGAGCAACGCCTACATGTACACCCAACAGTCCCAGGACTACGAAATTTCGTCACAGATTGATGCTCTCAAGGCAGTGTTGTCGAGCATCCCCGAAGAACTGTTCCACGAGATCGAACTCGAGGTTCACAATGCCGAGGGAGCGGCCACAAACAAGCAGCGTCTCGAGGTCATCAAGGAACAGGAAGAGTTGATCGAGGAGGAGAATGAGCAGAATACCGAAATCGAAGAGCAGGGAATGCCCGCCCCCAACGATAACCAAGATATCGACGAGAAAGAGGATAGAGTTGCCGCCAGTAGTGACTCTGCCGATGGTGCAAGCCAGCAACCCCAGGCATCAGAAGCCTCTGAAGCGGAGGCGGACCTGTCCAAGCAACAAAAGGAGCGCAAGGCGGAATAAGCCCTTTGACATTCCGAGCCTGGCAGACGGGGTTTTGAAATGGCCTCTCTCTCTCTCGCTCTCCTTTTTTTTTCTTTTTCTTTTTTTTTTTTTTTAAATTTGATTTTAATGATTTATTTACCCTTGCTGCTTGCATACGGTTTGTATTAGTTATTTTTATATGGCGACCATCGTCTCGCGATTGACCTCGGTTTTACTCCTGCTGTACACTCATACGCCACTGCTAGTTTTCCTCTCTCCATCCCTCTCTTTTTGCCGGGAAAGGGGTTCGCGTTTCTCGTCTATTTCGCCTCTTCTTCTTTTGTCTCCTTCTGTCTCCTTGGGGCGGGTACTGGGTATCGAAGGCATTGCTTTTTTGATCTGGTCGTGGCTGGCTCATAGACGGCGGTGTGGAAGTTGGACTATGCATTGGGTTTATTTGCCTTTTAGACGCTGGGCCTTTCCGCCCTGTAGATACCTCTCTAGATAGGCGTGATACCTCATCACAACATGAATGAATTTATACAGTTAAAATTGATTTTCCATTTTTAGATATTGTCTGCCTTTTTCAGCTGGGATATTTGCCCCGGTTGGAACCTTGCGTCCAGGGCGTGAATTTGCTGGCCAGTCTCACCTGGATGTGAACAGGCGAAGCGACGACAGCTGGAGAGACAGTGGACATGAAAACCTAATGGATACCATCATCATCACCATCATCATCATCATCATCATCATCATCATCATCATCCCTGCTCGCCCCCAGCAGCAGCAGCGGCGGCGGCGGCGGCTTAACCTCGGTAAGAATCCGCCCCAGAATCCGCCATCCTGACGGGTTTGACCAGGCCAGAAACACCAAAAAGTTCCCCCCCCAATCGATCGACCGTCGGGCTTTGTTTTAAGAATGGGCCTGCGCGCCAGTTAAGTCAGGCATGCATCGACAGCTGTTCGGATGCATCCCTGTCTCCTACGGCTGCGCGAGAGCAAATAATAAAATTATTCTGTCCTTGGTTTGCCCAAACTTCCTCCTGGCAACGAACACGCAGCGATCTATAAGGTTGCTGAGAACCATGGCGCCTCTGTCGTCTGCGTCGCAGGTTAGTTATGAAACTCTCTCCCTGCGCAGGGGAACAATCTTTGACCGAGCATTGCTGACGCCACCCCGTGCGGGAGGGAATTTTAACAGAAAGCGATTGAGCGTCTACGAGAATATGTCCCGCCGCCGACGAACTACTACTCCGTTCCACTGACGAGGCAGGCGTCGGTGCTGCTTCTGTTGTTCGCAGACAAGCGAGGAGATCTCCGGGTGATCCTGACCATCCGAGCCAACACCCTCAAGTCGTGTAGGTTTTTTTTTATTTTTTTATATTTATTTTTTTATTTATTTATTTATTTTTGGTTTGCGAGCGTCAACAAAGACAGGAGAGCTGGGGAGTTAAAAAAAAAAAAAAAAAGGCCGCTGCTAACGTCCCTGCAACAACCAGATCCCGGCCAGGCCGCACTCCCGGGCGGCAAAGCCGATTCCACCTCGGAAACGCCCTTCGAAACCGCAAGACGAGAAGCCCATGAAGAGATTGGCCTGCCGAACATCGACCAGAGCTTCCCGCCTCCCTTCCGCGTCGAGCATCTCTGCGAGCTACCCGCAAACCTCGCCAGAACAGAGCTCGTCGTCCGACCATGTGTCGCGCTGCTACACTCCTACGACGAAGTTACGGGTGAAGATGCAGATCCTGAAGAGGCGTTCATGCCCCAGCTAGACGCGAAAGAAGTGGCGGCCGTATTCACGGCGCCGTTCCATAACTTTTTAAAGATGCACGACGAGCCGCGGGGGGAGGAGGGTGAGCAGCTACCCGGTTCTCCAGAAGACTGGTACGAAGGGAGCTGGACGAATTGGAATACAACATGGTGGAGGAGTATGTCCTGGCCCTCCCCCCGCCCTGAAGCGTATTTTGCGGTGGCTAACTCGCAGTCTTTCCTCTTCTTTTTTTGGCCTCTGCAGTGCACCATTTCTTCGTCCCAATAACAAATCAGACCGTCACGAAGCCCCGACGGAAGAGTCAAGAGCAAGATGCCGCCATTGCCCAACTAGAAGAAGACGAGATCTCCATGGGTCTTGAGCGATACCGAGTCTTTGGCATGACGGCCCGGATCCTGGTCGACGCAGCCAGGGTGGCCTACGGCGAAGATCCCGAATTCGAGCATAACAGCCATTTCGGTGACGAAGACATGATCGGACGACTGAAACGCCTTGGTAGATTCAGCAGCGTTAAAAACCCCGATGACCCCCTAACGCAAGAGGTCTTCGAAAAGGCTTCTAAGCTCTCCTAGCCTGGTTGTCCACTCTCTTTCTTCCCTTCCCTTCCCCTCCCCCCTTTTTCCCACCCGCGTTTTCTCCTCTTCGACCCTTCATTTTCATCCCGACTGCAGATATTAGAATTATGATCTACTCTGTACTCCGTACATTACGTGTAGAAGATGTTGGCTAACGATGACTTCTCTGGTGTTTATTGGCTGTTTAGCTCGGCATTTGAGTGTTTTCATTCAGCCATCTTGGGGCCGGTGGCTGTTTTTTTTTCCTTTTTTTTTTCTTTGTCCCACGCGACTCGGATGTTGATGGCGACGATGCGCTCGAGCTAACTTCTAATTATTGTTGCATACAGAGTACTCCGTACATAGAAGTCTTTTATGGTGCTTCCCATTGTTATATATTTATATATCCTTGGAATGCTCTTTCTGATATTTCTGATATCCTTTTTTTTTGTCCCTCAAGGCTGTTTCAGCTCCATGAAACTGTCCACCTGCGGATGTATCGCAGTCTGCGTCCGGCGATTTTACCCCGTTCCTCCTAACGTGCGTCTCATGCTTCGGAGGTGAGCCAAAAGCAAAAATAAAAATGCCGCTGATTCTTTGTTACCGAAAACGCCATACGGAGCAAAACCTTCATCTAGAGCTCTCGATCGTCCCAGCCGGACTGATGTAAAGGAGTGTGTGTGCCTGGTACTAACTTTCTAGTTAAAGAACGATAAACAACTTTTTCACCCTGTCCCAGCAGCCGGGCTGCTTGATCGGCCATAAAGCTATGATTGTTTAGTTCCTTGAGCGCCACACATTTGCAGGATAAGAGGACTATATAGCCGGGAAGTGGACTCTCTTCTGCCATGCATCCAGCTTTCGGGAACGGGCGCAAACAACGACCGCATCTACTCCCTTCTGCATCGCTCGAGGGCCTGGAGAAATTTGTGCATCCGTCGCAGCCGTGGCCGGTGGACCAGAGTGACTCCTGGAAATATAAGCCTTTGCCCGAGCTGCCACGCCGGTCGTCAAGCGAATACAGCCGATCCGAAAAAAATCTTGAACACACTCCAAACACCTATCTCCGGAACGCACCCTCGTTGCGGAGTCGTGATGCGTCCAGGCGATACTATCGAGGTCTGTATCATCAAGAAAGCCGTGCGCGCCACCGCACACCTGGATCAAATCGCAGAGAGCAATCCCAACAAGCATCGATCGGCCACCGGGGACGGTGGATAATTCGTCAAACTTCGTCTCCAGTGCTCTCCCATGAACCTCTATGGGCGGACCCGAACTCCTACGCGGCGACAGAATGGTTCTGGATGCCCGAAGTCCCCGAGCACGGAGAGGGGGTAATTTTCCAGCACGCGAATGTCAGCGTCCCTGAAGTCCCGACAATCGTCCCTCCGCCGTCGCCAAAAACGATCGATTCAATCGACCCTTCGCTTATTCCCCGGCCTCTCGGGATCGAAACAGCCCTGGAGGAGACTGGGACAAAGCTCAAGGGGCAGTCATCCGTCGTGACAATCGCCAATCCTGATCATGACATTTGTCTTTGCCATTCGCCTCACCCGCGGCACAATAGAGTGGTGTCGATATCTCGCGTTGCGAAAGTCAGGTTGGCAGAGGAGAAGCTGTCGGAATCTGAAGAATCAGTGGACATTGTCTTCCCAACCGAAGATGAAGATGTGCAAGACGCAACGGCCCCTACAAGCCCTGAAGATGAAAAGGAAGAAGGGGTCAAGCGAAACAAGGCTGAAGACGACGATAGGAGGTCAGTTCGATCTGCGAGTCAAACCCTCACTAGACTTTACTCCTTCTCCTCCAGCACCAGTTGCGGACCCGTCGTTGAGAGGGAAGAAGCAGGGAGTTCTGGTACATCGGATATGGAGCGTAGTAGAGGGCCGTTCCAGTCCTCGCAGCTCTCCCGGTCTTCCTCACTTCCGTCACCATCTTTGCACCCCCGGCACCCGGCTCAAAAAAAGCAACTTGCCATCCCACCAACCGACTATCAAAAATTCGGGCCGGAAGCCTGGTTGAGAGACAAACCCAAATCCAAGGCTGCGGCTAGGCCCAAACCTAAGCTTAGAGACAATGACAATCACAAAAATAAGGATAGGGATGAAGACAAAAACCAAGATAGAGTCGGCCAAAGGCGACGTATCAGTAATCTACCACGTTTCATCCGAAGATTCCTCCCCAAGGCGTTCTCTTCTGAGCCTGTCGCCGATCCTCCATCACAGGCGCAACGGAGACAGCCGCTAAGACAGCCACAACAACAAAGACAACAACAACAACCGCCACGTCCTCCTCCACCGCCTCTTCCGCCATCTATAGCACGACCACAGGTACGCCCCCAGTCTCCCGCCAGTTACAACCCATTCACGACACCCTGGACTCCCCCGTCCACGCGCCCTTATATATCCCAATATCGCCCACGAAGCCATAGATCCCGCTCGATCCGGAGCTCCAAACCTACACCGGAGGAATGGCGTCCGCTCAAGGCTCCTATCAGCGGAAGCAGCTGGCGAACAAGCTTCAACAATACATCGCAAGAGAAGTTAGGATCTGCAGGGCCTGAACGGGCTAAAAGAAAATCCAAGGTCAAAGAGAAAGACCCGCTATTTGCGCCAGACCAGGTCCAAGAGAGGATCGTCATGATGCGACCCGGGCCGGTGCAGATTCGAGATGAGAATGGGGTGTATTGGTTGTGATGATGGGTGTTTTTTTTTCTCCCTGACTTCGCGGATTTGAGTGTATGGTTTTATATCCGGTGTCATTCGCCCTTTCGGTGAATTTTTTTTTCTTTTTCTCTTCTTTTCTCTTTTCTCTCTTATTTTTTATTTTTATTTTTTTTTTTTTTTTAATTAAGTATAGTATAGTGTAGTACATTTATACATGGTTAATAAAGCACAAGGCTGTAAGTGCTGGCGGGAGCAACACTCGCTCCGTGGACGGCTTGATAGTGGTCATGGTTTCGTATCTTTGGGGGGGTTACAGGCTCCCGCTGCGCGAGAGATGGGGATTAGTTGACAAAGACGTGGGAATTATATACAATCTGGTCGTGTCCTGAATATTGAAGGCGTCTAGTTGTGGAACTCATTGCATGGAATTAATGCCCACGATCTTTTTCTCGGCTAGCCATGGCATCATTACGAGAATCCTCTAACCGCTTTGTCGCGAAACGTTGAGGGAGAAGCTCAACGGTAAGAAATCATTGATAATACTGGAAACACGACGAATAAATTCATATCCATGGTCGACGTCATCTCGATCCCCTAAAGTACACGTAGAGGCACAGAGCAGGTATATATTAAATCAAAGCATAACAGGGTAAAACATGAAACAAACATAGAGTCGATTCACATTCAGCGATATTTTCGAAGCTACAAGGGCAGAGCACACGTTAGCACCAATCGCTCTACAAGACATAAAAGCAAAACCTGATTGGCCACTTACGTCTAAAGTCAGCGTCTTACTACTATTCGCACCCTGATCCCTGTAAATGCCCACCAATGCCTCGCTATTCTGGAACAAACCCGTCTTCAAACTGATAACGATAAACTGCATGCCCGGAGCTGCATGGTCGCGAATATAATTCGCGATGCGGGCCACGTTGGTATTGTCTAGAGCAGCATCGACTTCGTCAAGAACGAAGAAGGGCGAGGGCTGGTAAGAATGGATGGCGAATAAAAGGGCGAGCGCCGCCATGGTTTTCTCTCCGCCGGAAAGATGCTCCATATCTCGAAAGCGCTTGAGCGGGGGCATGGCATGGTATTTGATGCCATCGAGGTAGGGCTCCTCGGAGTCTTCGATGTCAAGGTATCTGAGTGCGAAGGTCAGAATAGCGGACAATGGATCCAGAGGGGGAAGAATGAATGAACAGTGGAATCGATGGATGGGTTCCTTACGCTTTACCTCCCATGGGATAACTTTCAGTCTTGGTCAGGTCGCGGTAAATAGGCTCGATCTGTTCAGAGATGTGCGAAAATGCCTTATTGAAAAGCTCTGAACGCTTCTGCATTACGTCTTCAAAGTCATCTCTGGCTCGACGAGCTCGTTTACGGGCCTCGTCAAAGTCTTTCTCAATGCTGCGAAGTTTGTTTTCTGTGCCTTCGAGGCGCTCCATGGCACGCATGTTTGGCGCCATTTTGTCTAGTTCGCTATTGAGGGTCCGAACTCGGTCTTGCAGTTCGTCTTCGAGTTTATCATCAGATTGCTATTTGAGTTAGACAATGTCGCAACCACAACAAAGCAGACGCTACTTACTTCCTTTAATGTATCTCCAAGGCTGCTAAAATCTACCTCTATACCGTAGTCCTGCACAGCTGGAGGTCGCGTAGTGCCTGTTGTAATATCTTCGTCAACCTCCATTGCATCGCGGTCCGTCTGAACAAGATCATCGATAGGAAGCTGGTCCAACTTGGCGGAATCCTTTTCCAAGGGAATGTCAACATCCTCCAATTTGCATCGTCGAAGTAGTGCGTATCTATCCGATGAGTGTCGCTGCATATCGCTCTCCAAAGCGCTGATGGCCTTAAGAGTACCTTCGACGTTCTTGCTTCTCTTTGTAGCTTCACGTCTCTGCTCATTCAGGTGCTCCGCTGATTGGGCAAAGAGAGCTTTCTGCTCTTCATATTTTTCTTTGAGAAGATCTAGTTCTGCCTCTAGCTCATCACGACGATTTTGAATTGTTTCTCTCTCGCCCTGAAGCTCTTCGATCATATCCTGATCACGGCTTTCTTGCGATTGAAGGCCCTTTATCCGGTCTTCAGTTGCCTGAAGTCGCTGCTTTTCAAAGCTCAGCTGGTTCTCAATCTTGCTCCGTTGAGTTGCGAACTCGAGCTTCTTTTGCGCGGCTTCTTGTTGAAGAGCGCCTTGCTGCAGCTCGTATTCACGGATATTTTTATATCTCAAACGGCTACAGAACTTCCGATAAATCTCATCTTCGACAGCACTAACAGACTCTTGAAGTTCCTCGATAGATCTGTCGAGCTCCTCGAGCGAATTCAATTTCTCCCGATATCTAGGCTGGACGCTCTTTACTTGACGTTTGGCGTGGTCCAGCTCGCTTGACTTGCTTTGTAAATTCCTCTCAAGGGCTTGTAGTTCATCACGCGCGTACGCAAGGCGTTGCTCTAAGCCGGCAAGCTGGCCTTGGAGAGTCTCTTCCTCGGCTCCTTTGCGGTGTGATTTTGGAAGATTGCTCAGGTCGCTCATGAGTTTGTCCTTTAGCTTGTGCAGGTTTGAAACTTCAGTATCTTCCCAGCGCTTAAAATGCTTCTGCGATGGACCGCGACCACCTGTCATGAGACCACCCTTGTGAATCACTGTACCATCTAGCGTCACGGCTTTTGCCTCTATACCCCGTTCATAGCACAGATACTTTGCAGTGTCCAAATCATCACATACAATAGCATTTCCGCAGGCGTAGATTATTGCTCTAGAGACAGAGTTGTCGTAATCAACGGTCTCAATCGCGGGGCGCATTCCCCGATGTAGCCCTTTAAGGTTTGAATTAAGCGCCTTGACCTGGATGGTCTCCAGTGGAATGAAAGTTGCCTGCCCAGCCCTCTGGTCACGAAGGTGCTGAATACATTCTTTTGCAGTCTTCTCATTGTCGACAACAATAGCATCAAAATGGCGGCCCAACACGGTGCTCACTGCCTCCGCATACTTCTTCTGCTTGGGCTGACATAGCTCGCTGATGCGGCCTTTGACGCCAGGAAAGATACGTTTCAAAGTTGAGATCATTTCCTTGGTACGTAATTCCTTTTCACTTTGTTGACGGCCATTGTCGGCTTCCAATAACTTCTTGAGAGCAACTTGAAGCTTTTCTTCGAGTTCTGTTCGCATCTGTGCCGCTCTCAGACGCTCTGAGGTGAGGTTGTTCAGCTCCTTCTTTTTCTGATCGATATCCTTGCTGGTAAGCTCGATGGTCTCAAGTATGCTACTTTTCCGCTCCAGAATATTGTTTATATCGGATTGAAGGTTCTTGGCTTGCCACTCAGAACTCTCAAAGTTGCTTTTTAAGCTGTTAACAGTCTCGGAATCGGTCTTTTTCTGGCGTTTCATGTTGTCGAGCTTGATCTGTGTCGCAGATGAGCGTTTGCTAACTTCTTCCTTGAGCTTATTGTACTCCTGAAGGTCAGCATCACTCAATTTCACTCCCTTGATGCTTGCAGCCTGCTGTAACTCTCTCTCCCACTGAGACTGAGCCTTTTCTACAATCTTGAGGTCCTTTTCAAGCTGCTTTACGGTTGCCGACTGAGATTCGGATTCTTTGGCGATTTCCGCAATCCTAGAGGTGTATCTCGCAATTTTTTTCGTGGTAATCTCGATCTTTTCGTCGACAGGGACCAGGGAGTTCGCGGTATCCTCAATTTCTCTCTCTTTCAGTTTGATAGACTTCTCGACTTTGGATACGTCTCTCCCAACTTGAGCATGGTTCTTTTTGGCGTCTTCCAATTTCCGCTCGTACTTTTCCACGCCGCGTCTGAAGTCCTTCAATTCATCTTGATGCTTTTGTATTTCGACGCTTGACTCCTGGATTAGACGCTGGAAATGAAAAAGTTTCCACAAGATGTGCGTTACAATAGCCTCATCGCGCTCTTCGGCTTTTCTGGCATAATTATCGGCTTCTCTCTTCTGTTCCTGGTACTGCTTAATTTCAGAGTTAATCCCTCTACGTCGGTTCAACTGGTAATTCAGGTTTTCCGAAGCTTCCTCCTGTTCTTGTTTCAACCTCTCATATTCGGCTTTGTATTCAAGACTGCCTGAGATCTGCTCTATTAATCGAGTCAAGTCCCTTGGAGACTGGGACGCGATGGATTCAACGTCACCCTGAAAGACGAGGAAGTTGCGGGCTCTGATAAGGATGTTTTCGGCTTCCAGGGCTTCATTGTACTGCTGTGCTGTCACAACACGGCTGTTGATACGATATTCGCTCACGCCTTGGCTCGTGATGGAGCGTTTCCAGTGTTGTTCTTCGCCGGCGTCATCTTCGTAGACAGCCATGACCCAGGCGGTCTTGGGATCGCTCCTTTCGGCCGGTTCGTCGGCCACACCGTCATGTTGCGTCCCGTCTACTTCGGGTTCTTCCGCGTCCTTTGATGCCGAGCCATCGTCGTTTATTTTCGAGTGGCGCAAAACGCGTCCGCGGTAAACGAGGTCACGAAGGTGAGTCGAACGGAGATGCGACGATTTGATTCCCAGGACAAAGGAGATAGCATCCATTCTGTTTTAAAATATCAGCAACATATCGACGATCGGGCAGGTAGCGCAACCAACGAATTTGATTTTCCGGAGCCATTCGGCCCAATGATGGAAGTAAAATAAGCATCGCCGAAAAGAAGGGTATGGTGGCCCTTGTAGGACTTGAAATCTGTATCGAGATCGGATCAGTGTCTGCATCTTTCACGAGGTGGAGGCAAGCTTACTGAAAAGCTCTAGGCGAATTAACTTCCCCATCCTGCTAATGCCGCCTATGCGGGGAGAAATATCGAGATGGCTAGACTAGGGAAAGCACTGGCGCATTGAAGGATGAAGGCAGCCCCCAGATCGATGTTGATTCCGGCGCAGCAGCAACGTGCGACGTGCGGATCTCGAGGCCGTCACTTCAACTGCGAACCTCTTCACCCCGAAAAGCGCGTCTTCCGGGAAAAGCGACGCGGTAGCGGACGATCACGTGGCAGAATTGCTTATATCATACCTCCTATCACATGACACTGTATCACGTGTGGATTTAGTGTCTTGGCATTTACTGAGCTCGAGTTCTGGGCTAGGCCCAAGACGGACTAGTGCTGTATCCTAGACGGGAAAAGCCAACCACGAGCTCGCACCTGTGCACGTCCCTCCCAGAAATTTATGCGTCTCACATGGAACACCGTAATATTTGACTGTAAATTCGCAGCTCGCCGACACCTTGTCCGCTATACTTTCGGGTGAATATGACTGTCTTATCTACTGAGATGCTGTGTTTCCTAATTCAACCCGAGACCACCCTATCTATGTAGGCCGGTCAAGCTCCTCTTCCCCTTGTGGTAGCTGTCCTTAAGCTTCGTGAGTGATGTCACCGTCCACTGACCAAACTTCAGAGAGGCTGACCTATCTGGTTTCGAAAGATGTCAACACGCTGCATCCAGCCTTGAAAAAGCAAACGGCTAGCTGCATATTACCTAACATTGAGATCCTATGGAAGAAACAACCTCCAACATGTCGGAGCCAGCTTCCGTTCCTAGAGGCAAACCCGACCCGGACGTTGGTGACGAGCATGCGGTGGTGGAGTCGGCAGATACTGTCCAGGCAATGTTGAAACGCCGTGCTGACGTGCGCAAGTCGTCCAATTCAAATGAGCTTACGCGAACTTCGTCGTCTTCGTCGGGGAGCAGCAATTCTTATCAAGAGGATTGGGAGCCGTTTCCTCCTCTGGACAAGCTTACGGTGCTCGACCTCCTCAGTAATCTGGCTCTTCCTCAGAAGCTCGAGAAATGGCAGAATACCCTGACGGCACAGAAGGAAAAGGTGAAGAGACAGCAAGAGAAGTTCAAATCTACGAGCCTGCAGGCGAAGGAGAGGGTGGTTGGCGAATGGCGGAAGAGAGTCCCGAATTCAGACGAGCAGTTGGAGAAATATCGAAGACGAATGAAGGACTCCGTTGAACGACTCGGCGCCCGATGGAACGACACCGCAACGGTGACCGCTCGCGAGAAACTCTCGTTCATCGCCGGTGTCCTCAACATCTTCATCAGCGGATACCTCATCGGAGCGTATCCAACCTATTTCCATTACTGGTTCACTCTCCAAATCCTTTATTTCATGCCGATCCGCTTCTATACCTACCACAAGAAGGGATATCATTATTTCTTGGCCGATCTCTGCTACTTTGTCAATCTTTTGACGGTCCTGAGTGTGTGGGTGTTTCCACGATCCAAGCGGCTATTCCTGAGCACGTACTGTCTGGCCTATGGTAACAACGCAGTCGCAATCGCGATGTGGAGGAACTCTATGGTATTTCATAGCCTGGACAAAGTCACAAGGTATTTTTCCTGCCCGCCATCTTCTCTGAGCCGGGCTAATTACCAGCTAGTCTGTTTATCCACATCATGCCTCCCGTGACCCTCCACTGTATAGTTCACCTGACACCACCTGGCACGCTGCTGAAACGGTTTCCCGCCGCGTATAATATCAAATTCAGCGCACCGGGCTCGCCAGAACACTACTCTCTTGGGGCCATGATGCTCTGGGCTTCCATTCCCTACGCAGTGTGGCAGCTGTCGTACCATTTTCTTATTACAGTGCGACGTCGAGAGAAGATTGCCGCCGGCCGGCCAACTAGCTTTACATGGTTACGCAAATCATACGCCAAAACATGGATCGGGAAGTTTGTTCTCAGCTTACCTGAAGCCCTACAAGAGCCAGCATTCATGCTGATTCAATATACTTATGCTCTTCTAACTTTGACCCCTTGTCCGCTGTGGTTTTGGTATCGCTGGGCTAGTGGGACGTTCCTGTTCGTCGTGTTTTCGTGGAGTATCTACAACGGAGCGACGTATTATATTGATGTTTTCGGTAAGCGATTCCAGAATGAACTGGAGCAGCTCAAGAAAGATGTCAGCAAATGGCAACCATCCAGCGACGGGACAATCACTCCTGATGGGAATGGTAGCATGCCTAAGAGTCTCGATGATTTAGTTGTGGGGATGCCGGATAACGCACGTAAAGCGGCTTCCGATGTATCGTCTAGGCTGGAAGGGCAGCTGGCTGCTACCCAAGAGGACGCAAGTACGTCGACGAGGGTGGATGCAAAGTCATGATTCTTGAAGCGTTCGATCGATTCAGTCTGAGATACCCCCCCCATAATGCCTGTTTCTTTTCTGTCTTTTCATTTTTTATTTTTATTTTTATTTTTATTTTATTTTATTTTATTTTTTTTTTTGCCCTTATATATTGGAACTGCAGATCCCTTTCGAAATTGTAAGGTTTCATATGTTCAGAGGAACACAGGACTCCAATAAGTGTCCCGGCTGCCCCTAGACAAAGGGATTACTGATATACTAGTTCCTAATCCGCCCGTTTCTCGGGCATTATATACCTAATGAAGTCTCTTTTCTATAATGTTGGCTGACTCTTCCTCTCCGACCTCCAATATCGACCTGGTCATGTCCTATCAGCGAAGGTCAAATCACCTGAGAATACGAACACTTAACTCTACGTCCTGATAAAGGAGAAGGAAGGAGCGTACATTTCCCGGTCAAGAGAGAGTAGATTAATGGGAGGAATCACCAACATTTGAGCGTACAGGAGGAGGGAGCTAATTGGATGCTTGAGCAATGGAGGAACAGTGGAACGAATGTTGGAACCTTGCGTTAGTTCTTGTTGTTAAATCAAGTACATCCTGGTCGATCAGTAATTGAGTTGATGGAACCATCTATCTTCCAGGAGCTGGCCGGCAGTTGGTCGGTCTCTGGGATCGAGCTTCATGATCTTCAGCACAAACTCTTTGTCTTCCTGATGAATTTCTTGCGTTGTGGTAAGACGGAAAGGTCTTAATTTCTCTGCGGGGCTGTTTTGCATGATCCATGCAAGCACTGCCAGTCTTTGTCGGTCCGCAATCTCTTCGTGAACAAAGTGAAGGCGGCAGCACAGGCCGTATCGATGCAGCGATGCCAGCGCTGGACCGTAGCGCTCCTGGAAAAACTCGAAGGAAAAAGCCTTGTACCACCGGGAACAAAGGCCCACTACGAGAGTCAAGTCGAGCCCTCGCGGGAGGAGCTGGCGGCAACGTCCAGCGCTTCTGCACTACCCTCGGGGGGTAGTGCCAGCGTTGGAAGCTGTGGAACCTGTGGTTCTGGGCCTACAAGTCAGGGGGGAAGCGCCTGAAGCCGAATAATGTTTTCGTCTAACTCATGGTCAAGAAGACGATAATGCGTGTGGAATCGAGGCCGGTCGGTGGTGAGGTTAAAGTTGTCAGAGATATGGTGAGGGGCGCGGTACATTGCGTGTCGGGTGATAATGGGGGTAAAGCGAAGGCAATGGAATTTGTGATGTGACGAGGCAGGAGACATTGCGCGGTGGACTGTTTTCGGTGCTTCTCTGTCTGTTTTCCTTTTGTTTTTGTTTTTGTCTTTTTTGTATTGCGTTATATTTGCTATCTTCCAAATGAAATTGATCTTAGTCCGTTGAATAGGCAATAATAACGGTATTTCCGGTCAGAACACGATTTCCTGCATGTGTAGCAGAACCGCATGCTCAAGGTGGTAAGGTCGTAGTATCTTCTCGACTGCGCCGTTTTTGATCCATCCGCTTTGCCAGTCAGGATGGTACATTGCTTTGATATATTCCCAATACGCAGGATAAAAGCCCGCCATTTCCCAATCCAAGATGGCAACGACCTTGTCGCCGCGAATGAGTATGTTTCGGGGAGAAAAATCGGCGTGGGTGAGCACGATCTTATGCTTGGGTAACGCCCTGACGAGCCTGGTCGCATGGTCGACCCAGGTGTTTTTTTGTGAAAGGTTCATCGCTCTGATGAGGCCTTCGTTGAATTCCGCTTCAGTTTTATAAGGACCAAACCCGCCAAGCTCAGCGCAGAAGACCGGGTCTTCGCAATACGTGCCGTCAAACAGAACCGATGAAGGTGCCGTTGATCGAGCGTAGCTCTACCATATAAGACTTCAATTGTAGTATGATTTTCTGTCGTTGGCCCTGACTTAAGTCATCCTAGACGTCTCGGAGGACCTGGCCTTCAATGTATTCCATGAGGATTACACCGCGATTGGTCTTTGTATCCGTGTATGCTGCGTATACCTCAGGGACTGGAATGGAAGTCTTTGCCCGAACAAGTCGTAACGCTTCAGCTTCAGCTACCCGGTGAGGGTCGGTCAGCTTTGCCACTGTCCGATCGTCAACACGGTAGACGGGTATAAGCTCGTCTTTCACTAAGCGATTTTTGTCGGTGAGAACCGACATATCAATCCGACGTGCCATCAGTTGGGTATAAAGGTCGGGAGAGAATATGTGACTTGTATCTGACGCAGCAGCTGGTTTGAATGCAGAGCGCCGGTGTTGGCACACCTTCTTTGTCGGGACGATGGGGAACGAAGGAGGAGGGTTGAAAGAGAAGTGGGCGAGGTTGTGAGAGGTGAACGAACGACAATGTATGTATGAGTAATTATTACCTACATCCAAGGCTACCTCGAATAAGGTAGTTCACCACCAAACGAGCCAAACCACCAAACGAGCCAAACCACCAAACGAGCCAAACCACCAAACGAGCCAAATTTCTTCCAATGTTCCATGCAACAAATTTATTAAATATCTCAACAACCACATCTTTATTATTAAACTAGCTATTAAATATCGAATGAGTGTGTCCTTTGAAGCATAGAAATTAGTGTGGCTAGGAAAATAAACAGGTGGACAGCCTAATATTGCAGCCAGAGTGAGAGATTTGGGGGGTAGATAGGAAAGAATTCAAAGGAATGTCAACAGTAGATTTCTTGGCTAGAGAGCCTAATGCCTTGCTAGGGAGGCTTGTAGAGCTCTTACTTCCCCTTTTGGAAGATTGTATACACTCTTCATGATGAGGCTCTTTAGTAGGGGAGTCCTTCCGACGGCGCTTTGAAGCTGGTGCTTAAAGCTCTGACTGCTGGCATTTAGCAGTACATTCAACTATCTGTTTTTTCTTCTCTGCTAGTTGTAAAGTCTTCTTCTCCTCACAAGCAACATGTTGTGCCTCTCTTTATCTAGCATATTTGATTTTTTCAGTTTTTCATTGCTTGCAGACATTCTTTCATTCAATCCATCTTTCTTCAGCATTTCTAGCAGTCTGTTTTTTCTTGGAGCTCCTGTTGAAGCTTTGCTTCTTGTGTTTGAGCAATTTTGTTGACTTTTTCAATCTCTATTTCATCCAGACATTTGTGAGCTTTGATGACTTTGATTGGACTCCAGAACTATCTCTAGCTAGAATTATCTTTATTAAGTAGATCTAAGGGCTTGTCTTGCTTGCAGTGTTGCTTCTCTGTCACTAAAGTTGATTTTAAATTGTGATTTCTCATACTTTAGCAGTTTATTACAAAAAGCAAATTGTTTACTGACTTGAATAATCCATTCAACACTCTGCAAATTTAAACTGTGCTAAAGATATATATTCTTACTCTCTTGACAGAGTTGATGCATATTACTAGAGATAACTGATTCAACTGATAATGTACGGAGTAGAAGCTTGCTAATTAGTAGTTTCAAATCAGCTTAGTTGACATTGAGAATCCAGAGGATAAATTCCAGTCTTTGCAAAGCTCGCATGTATATTATCATCTGCCTCGTTGGAGATCTCCAACAAGGGTCTGGCAGCTCTTTCGGACTGGCCATAACGCCTTTTGATTGGTGGATAATTATAGTGACAGACTGCTTGGTAGCGAGCTTGGCCTGAGATTCTTAGCACAGCATGGCATCAAGGGCTCAGCCTGAGAAGAATAGGGGTTCAACCCCCTACCCCTGTAACTAAAAAGTCAAGTCTTTATACTGTACTCCGTACGGAGTACGGAGTACTATTAGTGAGATATTACGGAGTAGATATCAGTGATAATCAGATTTTCAGTAGTTAGAATTCTGGCACTTTTCTACTATATATCTGAAATATTTTATTTCTCTGAGATTTGCTTGCTTTGTACATATTTAATCAAGAACTAGAAATAAATGATATCTGGAACCAGGATTACAGTAGTTAATTTCTGACAGTATTTTAACTGAATTTTTACTGATATTCTCAGTAACTCTGAGAATATTTCTCTTGTTCTGAAATCATTCTACTCCGTACTCCGTACAGTAATTAGAAATGTTTCTCAGACAGAGAAATCTTTAAAAATGAGAACTGTTTTCTATTCAGGAATAGTAAATATGCTATTCCTGCTGCAGGAATCTTTCAGGCACTGTTTACAGTGGGTTCATCAGGGTTCCATGGTTTTTCGTGCCTACGGAGTACAGAGTACGGGGTACAAAATTCTGATATGGACTGAAGCCAAGCCGGAACAACCCTTTTACCATAATCCTCACTTTGATTATCCATACCAGCACCTGTTCCCAGCAAGGTATCTTCTCTCCAGATACCATACATCATAACTTCCTAACAATTCTGCATTTTGTTCCTGTGTTTGCTTCCCATTCATCACATAAAATCAGCATACCAACCTGACTTTTCTCCCTTTACAATTCCTAGTTAACCTCGCACCAACTCAACGGTCTTTTATACCGCCAAATGGCGGAGCTTTCACAGGGAGATCGCAACATTATCAAGAACCATCCTCTAACTAACTCATTCAGTTATTTACGAGATGTGCTTCAGGAAGCTGAAAAAATCTATGAGTCGCGTCTAAGTTGCGATGGCTCTGAGGATAGCCTTGACCAACTCTATCGAAATGCGATTTCAAAACTCCTCTCTGCTTTACAGGGAGAGGATGCAGCTTACAGCCTTCGCTCGCGAATGAGTAACGGGGATATGGTGTCTGATCTAGCACACTTAGTCAAGCGTCTGCGAAATGCAAAAGGAAACTTCAAGTACGATGACTACCGGTCACTGGTATGCCTGGTCACCCAAAGGCCACCAGGCATTGAAATCCAGGACGTCGATGAATGGAACATCGACATCTGGAAAGCTGTATTTAGCCTCATTGACACCGTCCCTCGAACAACTCCTCCGGCGAGCGTACCACCCTCGTTCGATGGCACGCCGATCAGATCCACCTCGTCATCACAGAAAGGCTCCGAGCAGACGCGTGAGTTGGTGAATCCGAGAATCTTTGAGGAGATACGTGGCTGCACATTTCGAGACGTCGAGGGCTTCTTTGACAAATACTTTGAGGGAAAAAACTGGAGCGGCAAAGCAGATGCCATCTGTCGACGCGTACTGGCCCCAGACAGCGATGGTAATTGGGCCCAGTTTCCAAACCCTCCTACACAGGACGATGTCCTTGCCTGGTGGTTTCGTCTTCAAGAAGACCTTCTCTCGGAATCACGCGGCACCTACTACACCACGGCTAGCAAAGTGGATCTTACCGGTTCGAAGGCGGAACGGCAAGTTGATCTTCTTTTGAGAGCTAGGAGTGGGAGCCCCTCGCGAAACAAACACGACTGGAGAGACATCCTGGTAGTTGGCGAGCTCAAAAAGCCCAAGGAGGAGATCAGGACCAAAAGCACACTGCTGCAGATGGGCTGCTGCGTGCGCGAGGTCTTTGCTGCGCAGCCCACCCGGCGGTTCGTCCACGCATTCGCCGTCTGCGGGACCAAGATGGAGGCGTGGGTGTTCGACCGCTCGGGCCCCTACAGCTCGGGCATCATCGATGTCAATGAGGACTCGAGACGGTTCTTGCAGGTGCTTGTGGGCTACACCATGATGAGCGATGAGGAGCTGGGACTGGACACCTTTATTGCTAGGGATGAAGGCGGCAACAAATCAATAACTGTCAAAGGGCCTGGGAACTCAGAGGAAAAGGTGCTGCGGCTGGGTGAAATGCTTTCCTTTCAACCTGCCATCGTGTGTCGCGGAACCACATGTTTTCTCGCAAACAATGGACAAGTGGAGGGCGTAGCCAAATTCTCGTGGGTGTCGGACAAGCGGCGACCGGAGGCGGAACTCCTCGAGCTGGCCGGTCGGAAGAATGTCCGGGGGGTCGCCAGGATCATTGGCCATGGTGCCATCACTAGTATCGCCGACATGCGCCGCGGCCTGACCTTCAACAACAAGCGCCACAACTTCAAAAGCGCACCCCCCAGCACAGCCTCCTCGTTTCATCAATCTCAGCCGCTCACCGAGCCCTGTCGCTTAGATATCCGTCGAAAATCATCTTCCAGGAAACGCAGATCTCCGGACAAGGGGATGCAGGTATCCAAACGATCGCGTTCCATCCATCAACCGTCGAGGGACACCCAGCAGGAGGATGAACTAGCTTTCTCTGTTCAGTCGGCGCACAAGCCGAGCCTCTTCGACGGAAATGGCGAGGAACCCTACGACAACCGTGTCCTCCGCTGTCTGCTGATATCGCCCGCTGGCCGGCCGATCTACAAGTACGAATCACCCTTGGAGCTGCTCAAGGCGCTTCGCGATGCAATAAAGGCGCACCGGTCTCTTTACCTGGATGGGAACATCCTTCATCGAGATATTTCGGAGAACAATATAATTATTACGGATCCTGAAAAGGCGGGTGGTCACTCGGGCATGCTAATCGATCTGGATCTTGCCAAGGAAGTCGGCAGCGAGCGAAGCGGCGCACGGCACCAGACCGGCACGATGGAGTTCATGGCGATTGAGGTGCTGCTTAATATCGACCATACCTATCGGCATGACCTCGAGTCTTTCTTTTACGTGCTTATCTGGCAGTGCGCCCGTAATGGCTGGGGGAAGGATAACCATCCTAAGGATAGTAAACTGCGTGCCTGGTATACTGGTAACTATGAGGACATTGCAAACGCCAAGCTTGGCCATATGAGCAAAGCTGAAAACATGGGATTTGGATTCATTTTGAGGGAGTTCCCTCCAAAATTCCGTGGTGTTGTACCGCTTTGTCGGGTCCTACGGGACATTCTCTTTCCTTACAATGACAAAGGTCTCATTGTTGGCACTCCCCAAGACCCAAACCGCTTATATGATCCAATTATCAAGGCATATGATGACACAATCACCCAGTTTGAACTCGGAAACCTCACCCACAATAAATCTATTTAGTGTTCTCTCAGAGTTAAAGTAAGGTCCTGCCGATTTGTTGCTGCATTCACACTGGCTATTTTTGGGCGGAGGGATTTTGCCTTATTCATAATATCGTGTTCTGTAACAGGCCAGGATACCTTTAGCGGCTTGGTAAAGACTTTTCGACGGCTCAATCATGTAGATTTCATCCTTCATAATTGTCAAACATTGAAGATCCGCCCGTACAGTTTCTCCAACCAGCGTTCTAATCACCATCCAATACCGGAAAAATGAGCTTTTCGGGCAACTGTTGGAAAATGTTTATCTGACACAACCTGTTGAACCACGGATTGCAAGCTTGAAACTGTAGATCAACTACAGATTTACAATGCATATATAAAGGGTCCAAAATATATAGAATTCAGAATGTATGATGCACTAATTGAGGATTTTGAATCTGATTTAAAAGTTTTGATCACGTGCCGCGCCCGGATGGTCGTGGTGTTGGCCCTAGGCTTCCTATTGCGGACTAGCGCTCAGCACAGGCCTCAGCTGCCTGCATGCTAATAACAACCACTTATGACGTCCAACAACATGGCTGGCTCTTTCTTGGCGCATTATTATCAGGCGCTCAAAATGAATTCTCAACCGCCCTCGACTTGAAATCTGCACTCCTAGAGGAGCAATACCCCCATTTTCTAAAAGAGGTAAGTTTATTGCTTAACCCAACAACCAAAAGGATCACCTCCTAAGGCCAATATTCTCTTTGTCAGTATTCCCATCACCCTTCAAGATGACTTTAAAGAGATACATGTGTTATTTCCTACTGATAGCGGAGAACAGGGGTTTCAGTCAAGTCAATATGGTTAATCTGTTTGTCCGCAACAGAGGACGGCAATACCTCTGCTGTACTGCGCGAGAGCAGGATTTCCAACTTGTCACAACTGGGCCGCATGGAAGCTTGCACACTTCTTGGGGAGGAAGGCTTGAAGGTTTGATATTCAATGACTCTGCTTGTTGGGTTGTTTTCCTTTTTGCCAGGCCCATTGCTCCATCACAGCTTCCGGAGTCTTCCCATGGGCCCTTTGCGCGATTTCATACCCTGCCAATCGAAATTCACTACACAATTCTTGGTTTCCTCGATGTTCATGATATATTGCGCTTCGGTCTTACTTGTCGACACTTCTGGGGCATCTCCAAATCGATAATTACGAAATATTTTGCTAAGCTATTAGGCGTTTGGGCGGGGGCTTCGGTTACCTGTGTGGGTGGGGACGATCGATTACTCCTGGATGACTCTGAACATAACAAGCTGAGGATATTCAATGAAGAATGGGACGAGACAATTCTCATTAAGCGATCAAATCCAATGAACTCGCGTACACCTGAGTGGAATTTCAGTTTCCCGGATGTCTTGTCGAGGCATGTTTTTGGCTTGAAGTGTCGTTTCCCACAGGATCTACCCGAGGTAATAAATCCCAGACCTGCATCATTTTATCCGACCGATAAGCCGTGGGTTCTGCGTAATTTAACCACTCGCGAGTTTGTTTCTGCGCAAGCCATTGCACTGAAGCCGGAATATGTCCGAGGCCCGTTCATTGACATATTGGGATTTGGCAGTGTAATCATTGCTCGGACTTTCCGTACAACTCATTATACCTTACCTACAGTATGCGATGACCTTGAGAGGGGCACTCGCTGTCGAGGTGCTTGGGTAGGACACATGTTGGAGATCGTGCCTTTAGATTCCATCCACATGGACGGCTCCTGGAAGGACGTAAGCAATGAGGTAGCGAAGGAGCTTGCAGAGATATGCGAGGCGAAGTTTGGAGAAGATTGGCGCAATAAGCTGATCTCGCACAAATTCTAAGGAGTTTGGCTTGTCAGTCGGTTGTTTTGTTTGAATGTCCCCGGGTTGGGAGGTCTAATCATCAAGCCAACAATGATGTTTCCACCGCTCTGGCTAAAAAAAAGGAGAAAAAGGGTTTCTACCTCATCCTAATAGCTCTTGAGGATACCAGTGATAACCTGACGACACTTTGGACAGTGATCGCCAATGAGGGGACGAAGGCATTGAGTGATTCTATAGAGAGTCTTTTTAGAACCCCCATATAACCACTAGTTATCAAGGGGTTTAACTCAGGAAGAATGCAGTAGGATACATTATGCAAAATAATTACATTTTTTGCTGATAGAACCTGTCTTTGACCTATAGTTGGCTACTAAAGCTGATTAATTGTTATTGAATTTCTTGATTAAACTTCCGAAACAAATTCATTCAAAAAATCATTTCTGAACATCAGATATGCTCAGTATGCATGAACATTTTTAACTTTCACTACCAAGTAAGTAAGTACACTAAGAATTAAGATTATCCACCAGATTATACTGAATTAGGCAAATAGTGGAACGTTGAATGTTCAAGTCAATGTTGCTAAATACATCGAATAGATTTCTTCGTCACAGACCGAACAGCAGAACGCAGAAGCCCAAGGGAGATGGAGGTGAGATAGCGACCAATTGGCCTTCCTTTCTGACTACTAGTTGAGATGCAATACCCTTTTGACTGTGTGATTGACCTGTGCTGTCTGTAGCTGCTGTCTCAAAATGCTTCCCCGGACTCTCTCGCTGCGTGGTAGCCTTCACCCTTTCGCTCGCCTATTACGGAGGGACCCTTCCTCTAGCTGCAGGGTATTCCAAAGGCATTCATCGGGTAAACGGGATGTCCTTGCGTCTGCGAAGCCTGTCCCAACCCCTAAAGCTTCCGCCGCACTCCGATTGAAACCCGCATCCCCACCCTCGACACGATCCGATGAGCGATTCCGCAAGTTCAACTTCCAAATATCCCAGGCCTCCGGCCCTGTAGAGATTTTCAAAGCCCCTTCCCACCGCAGCTACATACTCGGAGCAGTGTCTGTCGCAACGTTTTGCTATTTGTATGCCGGTTACAATTTTTACACAACCTCCATCGATCCCCTTATGCAGGTTGCCAAATGGCAGGAATATACATTTGCTGGCATATGCGTAGTCATGGCGGCTATGGGCACCGTCTTCCTGCGGCGGGGAGGTAACCTTATTGCTTCAATCACGGCGTCACGACCACAGGGACAGCAGACCCAGCTCTCGATAAAAGTGCGCAGGATGGTTCCGTTTCCCAGGCAGCGAGAAATCATTGCGACGCCGGACCAGATTTCCTTCTCACGTCAGCTGGTCGTGCCTCATTCCCAAATGAGTGAAGAGGGCCGTGCTGCAGCTCAGAAGCGCTGGGAGTCCGAGCGCGCAGTTTCGCAGATGGCCTTTTTCAAGGCTCCGCTAAAGAAGACGAGCCACGCTTTTTGGAAGTTCTTCGTGAATTCGAGGAGGTTGTTTACTCAAGAACATTTTGCATACGTAAAGATTGAAGGGCAAACGGCGGATTTTAGACTGGACACATTGGGGACCTTCTCCTCAGAATTGCTTCTTTTGCAAAAAGTTGCGCTACAAAGTGCTTTATAAGGAGGTGACAAGTTGGCCTCTTCTCTTTAGCAGTCCCACAAGACGCGTGACTACTAAATTTTCTCTCTTGTATCTCTCCTACTCTTCTCTTGTTGTATTATAAAAGAAAGAAAAGAACGATCAGTTTTTAATAACAGGCTATGCCCCCCGGGATTCGTTGGTTTTCGCGTTGTTTAAATATCCTAGAGCTTTGTACTTTTGACTTTGACCTTTCCTTTCGAACTGTTGGGAAGTTGGGCCGGTGATGGCGTTTCAATTTGTTGCTGCGAGTACTCCGTACACCAATTTTCCCTCCGCCGCTACTCTTCAACAGACGATATGGTGAGCCGAACCGGAGATTTCGCCCTTTGGTGGACAGTCCACCTGTTGGAATTCAGCCATATTCAGAACAAAGCTTTGAGGAATGGCTGCTGGAGCAGAGATTACTCAGGTACGGAGTGTGCTGATGTATAAAAATACTTTCTCTGATTCCACTATTTTTTTATTGAATACTTTTCAAATTAATCAATATTTATAAGTAAAGAACCCTTTCCTACAAGGAAATCAGAGATCCACGATTTTGGTATGTTGCTAATTTAGATACAGTTGCTGAATAGTATCAATCGCGCTCATCCCTTCGAGCGCTGCCCAAGTGTGCCGGTTCTTACATCGGCAGAGTGATGCGCTGCCTAACCCCCGACTTATTCATGATATCTCCCTTGATTTCAAAAAATAGCCTTTGAAACCTGCCCCTTTCTCTTCAGACATCATTTTGCAGTATTTCCTACGTTGTTATGGTCTACTGTTTGGAGCTATATTTTGAGTGTCTTTAGCAGTACCAGTTCATTCCAATCCCAGCTAACAAGTTCAGACCGCAGAATAATAGCGAGTCCAAAAGGCGCCCTTCTGAACGCCACTATGATGGTTCCTTCGACGGGGAAGCAATATACGAGTATTTCGGTAACCGCGTTATGAAGGGCCACAACACCCTAGGTGGACGCCCTGTCACCGTTAAATTCAAAACCATGGGCTTTTTCTGGCAGTTGGAGGCGGATATGATTGCCTACACGCATTCTCAGAACCTCTTGGCTCCTACTGTCTGGGAATGCTGCCAAGTCGACCGCCATCAGATCACAATGATTGCTGACTTTGTGCCAAGTGATCCACTGGACAGGGCCTGGCCAACATTGAACAACCAACAACACACGTCAATCAGGGAACAGCTTGTAGACCATTTATTTCAGCTCATGCACCCAGCCATATATTGGACATGTCAATCACCAGCCTACCCGCAACCTGTACAAAGGTATCAGGACAAAGTTCATGGGACCATTCAATTTCAGAGGCCAAGTTCAATGAATGGTATCTTTCCCGTGTAAAGAACATGTCCGAAAAATGCAAGTGGAGAAGGACACTCACAGAATTATGAAGGAATAGTCAGTCAAAGTTTGTGCCCATGCACGGAGATCTCTTTCCATGGAATATCCTCATCAAAGACAGGAAGATAACAGGCATTGTGGACTGGGAGCATAGTGGGTTTTATCCTGACTATGTTGAGTACGGACTTGCCGCATGTTTGTATGACTATGGAGGAGAGGAGTGGTGGAAACCCTTACTGATGGAAGTCTTGACTTCTTGTATTCCAGAGCAACTAGCATTCCAGAGTTTGATATACAAACGAGGGTATTGAAAGCCATGCGAATTATGTTAAGCTTCTCGCTCCGGGCTGCGATGAATTATTGTCTAATTGGATACTTAGATACCCCCTATTCCCAACTCCGCATTCCTGGCCTGGAACGTCGAGAATCGTTTCTTGAAGTTCCAAGAAGCCCAGAAGACGAAATTATGCCTGTCAGAGGAAGAAAACTGTGTTTCCCGGTGGATCTCTCGCTTTTGTCTGCTCGTACGTGCCTATCTTCCGGGCGACTGCTTGCAAACAGCCAGCTTCAACAGGCTGGCGTTGTTCAAGATCTTCCAGACTGCCAAATGCAAGATTTTTACCACAGCGCAGGCTTCGTACATCGTCCCAAAGTACAACTAAGGCCAGCCCCCTGAGGAAACTAGTTGTTGATACCATCGCATATGCGATTCATTCTGGCATCCATTATCCTCCCTAGAAGCTGGAGAATCATGGAGGAACTTCACGATGAACTCTTCCAGCTTCCAGGTCATTCACAGAGAATTTTTAATCCAAAGCCTCTCAACATGAGTCTGGATTAGGGACCATGCTACATAGCTGATAATGCAAATACTCTCTACTGTTTCCTTTGTTGATGTTTTCCTTTTTATTATGTCCGACATGAGATATCTGCGCATCCTATCCCCACCTTCTCCCTTACTGGCAGAAAGCTTGTTTTCACTTAAGCTTTTTGCTTGATCGAACGGGAACTTTGTATATTTGGGCAGTCGAAGCCCGGACCAAAGTTCGAAAATTTCTTTCAGGGTATCCACGACAGAGATATGACATGATCTTCGAAGCAGCCAGCGTGTATACTCGATGCTCTTCCGTCGCATCCAACGAACGCCGGTGCGTGCGCCAGGGACACCTTTCCAACGAAGGAAGCGTCACTTTGACCTCATGCTTTGGTACCAAGTACACCAAACCTATTTTCGGACTTGGTCATATTCTGGTGTACATATTTTGTTGAACAATCGTTGACACACTGTCATGCGATGACTCCCTTTGTAAATCCGTAACTACGGATGACAGATGAGTCTCTGGGCTGATTCGCTATCGGGATACTGGCGTTCCTAAACAGCATCAAGGCGATTCTTTGGACCCCTCTGCCACCACCTATTCATTCCTTTGGTATATTTGAGTTACAATGTCGTCAAAATGACAGCAGCAGGAGAGAGTCATTATTTCTCTCCTTATATAAATCACACCTGCTCCTTGCTCCGTCTTCTTTTTCCCTTTCTTCTCCAACAGTATCCATTCTCACCTCGCTTCCCGCTCCCTTGATCTCACCTCATTCACCCGCCTACCGCAGCGCTTAAGTCACATCCTCATCAATCCGCCTGCACTACTCGTTCATTCTCTCACAGATAAGCACCCACCCGCCCCTCCCTTACGGATCCTAGCTTATGAGCTTGCATAGTCCATCATGCAGCTCAACAGATATCAGAGAACGAGGGAGCTGCTTTTGGAGCAAAACGTAGAACAAACCTCATGGCCGCGACCGATCATAACGCCGCCTGGTGTCCGACCAGGGGCACTATCTGTGCAGGGCATTAGGGGTGCAAACCGAAGTGTAGAAACGCCCCTCATAATATTAGAATATTATGATTTAGAAGTCCCCCCGGTAAGCGAAGAGCTAAAATAATGTTGAAATCCGTTGCCATTGACTAATTTTATGCATAGGAATTACTACTTCACTTAGTCCCCCCTGGAGTTGAATTTCCCGCCTGGCTCAACCTGCCACCATTTCCAAATGGTGGCGCTGGGCCTCTGATGCCTTTCGAAGATGCTTTTAGGGAACCTTCTCAAGGCTCCTCATACCACACACCAGAGCCAAGTTCAGCATCAGAGACTGACGGTACCGACTCAGACCAGGCGTCCGAGGTCGATACCAAGGAGCCTGGAGAAAACTCCGGAGACGGACTCTCAGAGACCAGTGATGGAGCCGATAACGAGTTCGAGGTTGATGCATTCATCACTCTCAATGAAGAGCAGTCGTCGGCGCAGGGTGTCGCCCCAATAACATGGCATCCCGCTAACCCATTACCCGACTTCAATCAGCTATGGGTTAGTGACATCGAACGCATGCGCAGTCAGCTTAGGATCTTCCCTGACGGAAGAATGATGCTGAACTTTGCGACGGGCAGCCCGCTCTGGGGCTTCCGACTGGAGTTGGCGCAGTTCATTCGGAACAGGTCGATCAATGAGAATGAACTTGGTGAGTCGGGGCGGGGGTCATGATTAAAAGTCTTTCTTCTCCCGTCCTTAAGTCTGAACGACTGTCATTGAGGGTGCCGACCAACTGTCTGTCCAAGACCTTAGTGGGGGCCTATCTCATCAGCTAAGTACCCGGGGAAGTCGAGAACACTTCTAAAACGGGCAAATCCCACGACATTAGGGGAGGAATTACGATTACCAACTATAAGCTTCCTCCGACTTTCTCCTCAAACAGCTCCTATCCCCTCACCGGGGTTGAAGAAGTTAATTCCACCCTTTACTTGATTGTCTTCAAGGAGAGTATAGCTCTATCTACTCTCTAAAATTACGAACCTCACGGAATACCTTGACTGTAAGCTTTGGTACATCAATGGAGAAATTAGTGACGTGCGTCACGGAGGTCTTTTCCCGAGCGAAGGACCTGACAAGCTGCCCGGAGAGGATAACCGATTGAAGGGCGGTCTTTTTGATATGCAAAATAAAGCGCTTGATGACGCGAGAGCTGCAACAATACGTTGCTCCGAGTCGAGATACGCACTTTGGCTTTTCTAAACGGCTTTCTTGCGTTCCCCAAGGACAATTCCCTGAATACGTACAGACATAGTGTGCCTAAGTGCACGGCTGCCACTGAGTCGAAGAAAATCACTTGGTGGTATAAACCAAATACATATTAATGCATACTGGTTTGAAAAAAAGAACTGTGGATGCTAAAGAAAACTAAAAAAAGATAACTTCCTCACGTTTTGGCCCCCTAACGACCTCCACCATCCAACTCTGGGGCGTCCAAATGTCAATTTTGCAGCTAGTGCCCCGAGGATTCAACCAGGGTTCTAGAGAAATCCAATGCCTCCCCCTTTATCCTTCATACAGAGTCAAATGGCAATTCAAAAAAAGGAGGGTAAGGTAGCTGCCGTGGTTGTTCTTGAGTAAAGGGAAAAAAAAAGGGGGAAGCTCATTCCATGTGTTCTAGATCACGGCATAGTCATATGCTAGGCTGGGAGCTTGGGTTAAGTTAGCCGGTAGAGAGGCACAGGGTTAAAAACTTTCCGTAAATCCTTTTCCTTGCCATTCTAGTTTTGGTCGATAGAATACAGGTAGACGATACTCGCACAGTTTTTTTTCTTTTTTTTGTTGTTGTTCTTCCTCTCCAAAAGGCTAACAGCGGTAATTTGAGGAAAGTTCATACACAAAGTCTAGAAGAAAAAATAATACTTAAGGGATAATACATGGAAAAGCTGGCAGGGTCATGTCTGAGGCTGACGCAAAAGGAGGGAAAAAAGAAAAAAAAAAAAGAAACCCAAAGGTCAACGGCCGGGGAGAAGCAAGATGTTTTTATCAAAAGAAGGGTAAAATCGTAGGAAATTTTCTTTTATAGGACAACCAGCTTTTCCGGCTCATCCTCCAGAACAGCCTGCATCCGCTCCAAGAAAGCTTGGCCCCTGAGCCTCTCGGATGCAGGGACAGTAAGGCTGAACACGCTTGACTTATAGTCGCTCTCGGTCACTGGTCTCTCTGCTGCCGTCCGCGAGCGACGAGCGCCATTAGAAGCGGGTGCTTTTCCGGAGAGAATGTCGATTATATCCGCTGCGGGGGCGGTGGGTTCTTCGGCCGCAGAGTCAAGCTCTGCCGCCGAGATGATGTCCGGGAAATAGTCTCCTCTCGACGTTGCAGGGAGATCGTCAGCCGCGGAGCTTCGGATGCCGATTACCTCGGCGAACAGCTGGTCGGCGATCTCCTGACGGGTGCGGGTGCGCGTGGAGGGCAGCTCGTCATTCGCGATGTCCGTTGCGCGGGCGATGAATGTCGAAAGAGGGATGGTCACTCCGATGGCGGAGCGGACTCTTTTTTGGACGCGGAGGACGCGGGACAGGGAGATCGGGAGGGCGAGGTTGGTTTCGAAGGGTTCTGCGGGGATTGGTTCCGGCGAGATGGCCGCTGGGGCTTCTGATGGCCTGCGCTGGTCCGCTTGGGATGCTGTTGGGGGTTGTTGCTGTTGTGATGGCGGCGACGACTCTGCGGGCCGGATGTTGCTCAGGTCAAGCTGTGCGCGTTCGGAGAGTTTGGAAGAGAGGCTTGATGGGTAGTCGGATGGGATGGCGCCGATGTAGGAGAGCACATCGCCTTTGAGGAGCCGCCCCTTGGGTCCAGTTGCGGGAATTTTGGATATGTCGGATTCCGGGATGTTGTTCTCACGGATGAGCTGGGCGACAGACGGATAGAGCGGCTGGGATTGCTCAGCGCATGCAGGGACACTGCTCTGGAAGTCTGATAAGAAAATCAAGTTAGCTGTGATTTCAGGATGACACAGTGCGATCTCCAGCATCCGGGCAGATGATACGTACGGCGGACGGAGCTACGGGCTCCTGGCAGGTATCGCGAGGAAATGCATCGTGACAGTCGTGCGGCCGAGTGACGCCCAGCCATTGCACCTAGCCGAGCCGTTTCACGAGCCAGTTGCGCGCACACCCGGTTGTCTGCTGTCTGCTGTCTGCTGTCGAAAGGGAGAGGGAGAGGTAGAGAGAGCGCAGCTTGTCCTCCTGTCCATCTGGCTGGCTGTCTGTCTGGCCGTTTCGTTCCCAAGGCTTGGCGTTGTTGAGCGCGCTTTCGCCGGATCGGGCCTAGCGCCGTTGGACGCTCTCGCAGCCGCAAATCCCATCATGATGATAGCTCTGTTTTTCTTTTTTTTCTTTTTTTTTTTTTTTTTTTTTGAATCGATGGATGGATGCGAGGAAATACTGAAATAATAATGTTTACGGGAGCACTCTCCTTGAACGGCAAGCTAGAGTGTAGAGAAAAGGCAGAATTGGTGTTTTATGTCGTGGTGGATTTCAAACAGCGTCATTTGCATGCTGAACTTCCGAGCAGCAAGCTGGCACAGATCTATCTTTTGCTGTAGAAGTCTAGCAGCGAAACTATTACTCCAATTTCCCATGCCACCAGCCTGCTTCAATTGTGAGGGGGGGGGGAGAAAGACGAAAAAAGCGAAAAAAAGAAAAAGAAAAAGAGAAAAAGGAGACAAACAACAGGCAAAATCGAGGAAAGACATGCATTGACGGGTTAGAAAAGCGAATACGCCCAGATCTCCGCCAACCGAGCCAGACGACACCATTATGCCTCAACCTCCAAGCCACTGAGTTCATAGATACACGGGCTAAACTCCAGTAACGCCAGGTGCTCCCTCCCACCGACCATCGCCAATGCTCAACACATGACGGATTTTGCATGCCTTGCTAGATTTAAAAAAAAAAAAAAAAAGAAAAAAAAGAAAAGAAAAGAAAAGAAAAGAAAAGAAAAGAGAAGAAAAGATGTCCAGTAAACACCGGCCCCGCAAAGAAAAAAAAAAAAAAAAAAAAGGCAGAGAAGAAAGATTAATGAATAGATCGTCACAAAATATTTATAGGAAACTCGTTAGACTTTGTTTGTTTCGCCATCCTTTTGTTGCTCCCAGGTGGGTTGCTCGAACGAAGGCATGCCAATCCCTGGGGGACGGCGGGCGCAGGACAGTTTTCGATAGGAGTGACCGGAAGAATGCACCTATCGAATCGTAGTCAACCCGGCCAGCTTGCTCTCGCGGCCGTGATCCTTTATCCCTTTCTTGTTGAATATCTTCCAGAACCGTAGAGTTTCATCTCCCGCCCCCGTTACCACAGTCTGCCCGTCTGGACTCATTGCCAGATATAGCACACGGAACGTGTGGCCCGTCAACGATGCAATTTGTTCCATGCGAGGGTATTTCCAGACTACAATCTGGTTCTGGCTGTAGCCGTGCGTGCTGACGATCTCGTCGGAATTTTTAGACCAAGCCAGATTGCAAACCTGGCTGCCCGTGTCCACTTCTTTGATGAGACTCCCGGTGGCGGTGTTCCAGAACTTGATGGTTCGGTCCGCAGTGCCTCCACCTGAGGCGAGCAAGGAATGTTGATGGGGCGACCATGCGATAGCTTTGACGGCCGCCGTATGGTCGGAAAAGCGGTACAGCGGAGTTTCACTCAGCTTATCCCAGACTAGCAACTTGTTGTCGTTGCCACCCGATGCAAGTTGGCCGTCCTCGGTGTTCCATTTGAGGCCACAGATCTCCTGCTTATGGCCCGTCAATCGACGGAGATATTGGTCGGGAGAACGAACATCACGATGATAGATTATTCGGTCGCGAGAGCCAGAAGTAAGAATGTGATCGTTCCAGGCAAGGGCCCCTACCCGAAGGGTATGTCCAGTCATGGTTCGCAAGCGCCGGCAATTTTCCGCGTCCCAGATTTGAACAAAGCCTCTACCTGTTCCAATAGCGAGATGGGTTCCCTTACTTAAAGTCAGTGACCGGCAACGGCAGACCGTTACGGGATGCAAAGGGACGATCTTACTCTTTGGATCCAGCTAACGCTGGTAACGGTATCTTCGTTAAGTTGGCATAGTTTTGTAACATTGCCATTGACGGAGTCCCACATATAGACAGCAGACCCCAATCCCACTCCGAGAATGTTCGTACTTCCCCAGTCTACGAGATTGAGATAGAAGTCATCAGCCAAATCGGGAGCATCCAGGACTTTGAATGGCACCTTATTCACATATCTTGGCTGCTTCCGCAGACTTTGCAGTATTCGCTGGCTATCAAACCGTATTGGGGACAGGCTGTAGATATCGGAATGAGCGTTGAAATTGGAGCCGCTGTGGGGAGTTCGAGACGGTGTAGGGTTTCCAGACACCTTTCTCGGTGAAGAGTAGGAGAAGAGGTTTTTGCTCGGAGTCGAAGGCGTGATGCTTGCTGGAGGTAAGGATGAGGCAGCCTTATGTGATGGAGGGGTGTGCGAACGGGTAGGATCAAGGGAGTTGCTGGCTCGCTCGGGTGAGAGCGTGTGCAGGTCTGACTGTGGAACGGTGTCGCCGAAGAATTCATTGCGAAGGACTCGAGAATATGTTCGGTTTGCTTCCTCCGCTACAACAGGCTTGTCAGACAGAATACCTTCGTTCAAATTGCAGACAGCACCCTTACTCTTTTGGAAATGAATTTCCCCGTGTGGAGGTCTTCTCTTCCCCTTGGACGGCGTAGAAGGACAGCCATCTTCATGCAACAGGCTGTAGCTTGCTTGTAGGTCTTGTCCTTCACGGTTGGGAATAAACCTGGACAGGGAAAGGGTTAGTTTTGCCAACGAACAGAGGTACCTGAGGAGCCGCAAAAACATGGCGAGGATATTGTCCGACACATGGCCGCAATCATGCAAACCAATGTTCTTCACGGAGACATGTTCTAGAATGAATCCTACCACCCAAAAAAAAAAAAAATAAAATAAAATAAAAAAAAAAAAAGGCCCACCAGCAAGAACATACCTATCGCCGTATACCCTCTGTCGCTTCCGACACGGACTACTACCAGGAGTTCTTTCCCTTTGGCGGCCAACATTTTCAAAGTCCTGAAGCGCCTTTGCAAGAGCGCCTGCATTTATTGGCTCTGAGCCATGGCGAGAGCGGAATCGAACGGGTTCGGAGGCGGAATGTAAAGCGTTTGACTTTGTACGGCCCGTTGGAGGAGTGTTTGAACCAGGCGGGGAGACGAGGTTTCCTGGCATGGTAGAGCGGTCGGATTTAGCTCTCGAGTGCGCAGATCTTATGCGATCACGGTCTCCTCGCCTTTCCGCCATGATATTCTTCTCCCTGGTCGCAGGAAACTCTTTCTGTTTCTCTTGTCTTTTTCTTTTCTCTTTTTCCCCCCGAAACAACAAAGTCAGTGGTTGGAGGGAACGTGGTGTGAAGCTTGCTATAAATCGCGAAGGGGGGAAGAATGACGAATGCGACCTTAGGCACAGCGAGATACCGAAAGAGATGTCTAAGCGCAAAGATGGGATCTAGAGCGACAAGGAAGATGGGTGTTCGCGGGAAACAACGATATCGTCGTCGAGGTGGTGTCGCGCCCCCAGCAACGAAGAAAGACAGGGGTGTCTCGGAGAGGAAGTGATTCTGGGTTGCGTGGAATGAAGTGATAAAAGCATTGGCGTTGGAAGAGTCGCAAGGTCCATGAAGGGGGAATGAAGACGGGTCGTACCGGGACAATCACCGCGAGCGACCGGCCGTGCTGTCGTCTGGCTGTCGTCTGGCCGTCGCCGTCGACCTGCTGAGTTGCTCGTCCGCTTTCTGCTTGCTGCTGGAAATTCAAACAACCGCCAAGCCTGCACGCTAGACCTGGTTGGGACAGGCGTGGCGGCGATACTTTCTTCCGCGCGCTCCGTTCGTGTCCGCGCTAAACCGCTTTGGGCCGGTCTGTCAACAAAGCGTTTCTTGGCGTTTTCTGCAGGGTTGCAGCTTCGCGTGGCCGCCGATGAGCTGCTGGGGATCGTCTGACCCGGTGAGGGGGAAGCTGAGTCAGTCTGCTGTCCAAGATTCCATAGTTATCTATATCTAGGCGGTGGGCTGACAGGCCCCTCTCACCAATACTAAGTAGAAGCTCTGTACGGAGTACGGAGTATGTATGAAGCCAGGGATGATGACATAATATCACGTGTTGAGATGTAACCTCTGAATCGAATGCGGAGAAACCAGGAGGCGGATCGGCCACCGGCGACGAGGGGTCTGCTTGAGATTTATAAAAAGAGATCTGCCCGCTGGCAATCCTCTCGGATGAGACTAAACATCCTAGAATCATCGGTACTGTTCAATTGCCGCACGCTGCGGTTTTCGTGCCTCTTCACACACTCCCAATCCTCTCATTCTAACATCTCTCAGCTTGCAAGGACAAGCCAACTCTCCCAGACCGCAATCCGGACAGCAACCAATCAACCCTACAGGGCCCATTCGACGATGACTGACTTTAAGGAGAAGGCACTGGACTTTTGCTCCTTTGTCAATGCATCCCCCACACGTAATTACCCGCCGAAATAAACCCGACTAGACTCATCATGTCGATCGTCATGATCATGGACTCACTTGGATTATTCTAGCTTTCCACGCCGTTGCCTCTGCCCGCACGCGCCTCGTCGATGCTGGCTTCAAAGAGATCAAGGTAGGCACTGGTGTCTACTCCTCTGCTCGTGCTTGAGGTATGCTGACTTTCTGGGTGTAGGAAAAGGACGCTTGGTCGTCCGTCTGCAAGCCGGGCGGGAAATACTACCTGACTCGAAATGGCTCAACCATCATCGCCTTCGCCGTCGGCCGCAAATGGAAGGTTTGTGCCGGCTGAATTTCCTATATTTCTCTTAACCAAAGTCATGAAAGAGAGACAGCATTATTGATCGAAGCTCACTATTTGAAAACAGCCCGGCAATTCCATCGCCATGCTCGGTGCCCACACCGACTCTCCATGCTTACGAGTCAAGCCTGTTTCTAAGAAACGTGCCGAAGGATTCATTCAAATTGGTGTCGAGACCTATGGAGGCGGTCTTTGGCATACATGTCCGCAAACCCTTCTCCAGAATTTTGGAAACGTAGAGAACTGAACCTAACTGAATTCTGGCTGTAGGGTTTGATCGTGACCTAGGAATTGCTGGCCGTGTAATGGCCAGGAACAATGATGGCTCTATCTCTGCCAGACTTCTCCGCATTGATCGTCCAAGTAGGCCTCTTTGCCCTAGGCGCCCATTGCTCTCTTCTGTTGGTAACAAGTTATAGTTCTCCGAATACCTACTCTCGCGATTCACTTTGAACGCCAGGAGACATTCTCTTTCAATAAAGAGACTCAGCTCTTCCCGATTGCCGGTTTGGTGGAGGCTGAGCTGTCCAGAGTTGGCGGCGACCACGCCTCAACGGAGCCGTCTAAGAGTGAAGACAAGACAGATGACGCCCCAACTGCACCTCTAAAAGTCATAACCGAACGTCACCACCCATACCTTATTGAGCTCATGGCATCTGAACTTGCACTCAAACCTGACGATATCGTTGACTTTGAGATCCTCCTCTACGACACCCAAAAGGCCTGTCTCGGTGGCCTCCTTGACGAGTTTATCTTCTCGGCGAGACTTGACAATCTCAATATGTCCTACTGTGCTACCATGGGCTTTATCGAATCTCTGTCCAACTCTTCCGCTCTCGACAATGAGACCTCGATCCGCCTGGTCGCTCTGTTTGACCACGAGGAAATCGGCAGCAAAACCGCCCAAGGTGCAGATTCGAACGCCCTGCCAGCGATCCTGCGCCGTCTTGCCGTCCTGCCCTCTTCGGGAAAGGAAGACACGTCTACCGCCTACGAGCAATCTCTATCGACTTCTTTCCTTCTTTCCGCCGACATGTCCCATTCCGTGAACCCCAACTACGCATTCAAATACGAACCGGATCACAAGCCCGAGATGAACAAGGGACCCGTGATCAAAATCAACGCGAACGCTCGCTACGCTACGAACTCTCCAGGAATCGTTCTCGTGCAAGAAGCCGCCCGCCTAGCCAAGAGCGGTAGCGACACCGCCAATACCGTCGGCGTGCCACTCCAGCTCTTTGTTGTGCGCAACGACTCGTTGTGCGGAAGTACCATTGGCCCAATGCTGTCGGCCGCATTGGGAACTCGGACCGTGGACTTGGGTAATGCACAGCTGAGCATGCATAGTATTCGAGAGACCGGGGGAACAAAGGATGTGGGCTATGCCGTGCGTTTGTTCAAGAGCTTTTTTGAGAATTTCTCGCAGTTATCGCAGAGAATCTTCGTCGATTGAGATCCAGGCCCATATATAAGGCCTCTCTACTCCGTACATGGAGGTATGAGCAGTTCCGGGTCTGATGTACTCCGTATTCTGTATACGACATAGATATATAGCTTTGATAATACCAAGCCGGAAAAGCGAATATCTTGAATCACTTCACCCTGTGAAAAATAGTATATAGGCACGAGATAGCAGTACATGTGCGGCCCATTTGGGCTGCTTTAAGATAGTATCTGGAGAAGTGCCTTGATCGTAACTGATCCCCAGTAACTCCCTTATTCTGCGGAATTTGGTCTGTGATAGCCCCTGGTTAAGTGTTTCTTGGCACAGGACAAGCTTCAGGGGCTAAACTCTAATTCCAACATCGTCAAGTTGTTTGGAAACCCTCCGTGCGCCCCTTTTCGCAGACACTAGCGATGTTCTGCTCTAATATCCTCGTGCAACTATGCGTGAGTTAGCAAGGACCCGCAAAGACCACGTAGGGAGTACCCCGTAGCCACACATGAAATGTCCCCCATCCTTGGGACGAGTTCCCGTGAGAGTGCTCAATGAGCATCTTTCACTCGAATGTCACAACTTAGAAGTCGAAAGCAGTTCGCCAAAGGTTGAGTATGCTTGAGGATACCTAGAGTTATCATTCCTATATGTCCCATTGACGTCCAGCTGATCTACTGCATCATCAACATATGTATGTAGTCGAAGCCAAGCTTTCCGAGCACCTTTTAGCATATAGTAACTACTACGTGCTCCAACATTGACGATGAAAGATAACAACAAGAGTCATGGCGAATTCGATTACGCCTTTTCATCAATATGCTGCACTTCTGTCTTCTCTCCCGCCTCTTCCATCTCACCACGCATAAGCTTATGCTCCAATCTAGCCCTCTCCTCTCCAATCTCCGCAAACGTCTTCCCTTCCATCTTCATCCTCTCAAGCTGCCGCGCCGCCTCTGCTTCCTCGTCTCTCTCTTCCTGTGACATCTCCGGCCCCAAAATTATAAACACAAAAATGAACACGAACACCGCGCCCATGAAGATTCCCATCACTTTCCCGTAATCAAACCGCTTCTTCCCACCTAGTCCGTCTTCAAGTGGGAATCGCTCGCCGATAATAGCCTGGATCGTAGCTGATGCGGAAGAACCAAGATTACCAAGCTGATAGGTTAGACCGACGAGAAGGCCACGGAGAGCCGGGGGTGAAAGCTCAGACAGATATATGGGAATAGGTCCCCAAACACCTCCGACAAAGAATTGTTGGAAGAAGCTGGCGGCCATCAAAGAACTGGGTTCCCGAGGGAAAATATATGCTGGAATAATCGCGCCACCGAAGACGCAGCAGATCAACATGGTGAGGCGGCGGCCGAGCACTGTGCTTACGTACCCGATAACCGGGCCGGAGAGGAGAGCTGCGATCGGGCCGAGACATGCGATTACAGTGACAGGCGTTGGGCCGAGCCCGACTTGCTCCTTGAGGAATGTAGGGTAGAAGTCTTGGCTGCCGTGCGAGCAGGAGTTGAAACCGACCATGATCACAACGAGGTAGATGAGGAGAACCCAGTTCTCCTTGATGCCCTTGCCGGCGTCTTGAAGGAAGGCACGTAAGCCGGAGGCTTTGGCCGATGTCCTTCCCTCCTCGGCTTGGATCTTCAGACGAGCTTCACGCTCCGCCTTCATGGCCTCAAAATGATGGGTCTCGGGAAGATAGTAGCGGAAAATCATAATAGGAATGGGGGGGACAGATCCGAACCAGAATAGACTTCGCCATGAGTGTGAAGTGGTGGGAACTAGGGCCCGGTAGAATATCGCTGCGAGGAGATAGCCGAGGGCATAGCCTTCTTCAAACAATCCCGAGAGGATACCACGCGCGTCGTAAGGTAGATCTTCCATTGCCGTAGCAGCCGCAGGACCAAACAACCCTAAGCGAAATAGATTAGGGACACTCCATAATCAAACAAACGAGTAAAGGTTCACAAGGGTTACTTACCACCCATGGCTATTCCATAAAGCGAACGGACAGCCAAGAATTGGGTCAAGTTTGTAGTAAAGGCTGATCCTAGTTCGAGGACCACAAACAATCCCAGGTTTATGATCATGGGCCACTTTCTTCCGTACCGATCTGAGAATATTCCAAAGATGAGAGCGCCGACCGACCGAAGCATGAGAGTAACAGTCACCCCCTGGTAAACCCGTAGGTGTGAGTATTCCACACGTAAAATGAATATGGCACATTGTCAAAAACTCACCCATGAGACGTCCGCGTTAGACACACCGAAATCAGTAGCGATCTCAGTAAGACACATTGTAACTGTGAAAAAGTCGAATGCGTCCCAGGTCCACCCCAAAAAGCCCACGGTGAACATGAGCCATTGATGTCTGTTCACTTCGCGCATAATATGCCATGGATTGGTCAATTTCGTCTTGCATGACAGTTAGCAAAGGACCGAGGGACTGCCAGGCTTTCAAAGCCTCTACACATAGGAAAGAGCATCTACCCTAGGTGGCTTGAGACTCGAGATTCGAGTCGCAAAGTAGCGCTTTATCTGGCTGGGGGAGTAGAACCACCCCGCTGCCATATGATTTCTCATGTTGGCGGCGAGATTAAAACTGATCCAACTGACACAGAAGGCAAGCAAACATTGAGGGTCAAGCAGACCTGGAATTTGTAGACGGTATGGATCAGGAAACAACTGACAGGGTCCGATCAAGTGCGGCGACACTCATAAATTATAGATTTCCGGTTGAGGTAGAGTTCGGCTGCAGCGAGGCGGGATATGCCCCCTCCATTTCCACGTTTCTGGTACTAGAGGTAGCAGTATACTCCAGCATGAACCACGAAAATGGGGGTTGGGTGCCCCGAAGCACAAAGCGCAGCAATCAGAGTTTGGAGTTCGCTATCTCTGGGGAAATGGCCATCTCAGCGGGGTTGAAAGCAGAGCTGGAAGCTTCGATAGCCAATAGCTAGCAAATACCAGATAATCTCGGTAATTGCTGATGATCACAGCATTACTCTCGCCATCGGCGAAGGCGATGGTAGCCAGTCATGTTCAAGCATTAGCACCGGCCGTTGACCACGAGTTGACCAGGAATCTTCTCGCCAGTAACGCTCTAACGAAGTGAACCATGACCCTGGATCTGCGCGATGAGAAAACATGCTGATTACTCGGACAAGACGGTATCTCAATGGACGGACTTTAGCCTCCGACGTCGCAATTCATTTTGCGGAGGTATCTTAGCATGGGGTAAAGCTAGTTCTCGAAGGTTGATCAATCCGGGGGTTTCAATTCCAAGTCCGGCCCAAATAGCGGGATGTGGGACGGAGAGCGTCGCCATACCACACCATATTTTGTGGGGTCAACGTGCTTTTCACGAGGGGACGCCGCAAAGCAGGTTTGCGGAGATGTGGAGTCAACTAGCGATATGGACTCAAGCTTCGAGCGGACTCATAAGCGGAATTTGATGCGCTGTGGCTGGAAGCTTGGTCCAGCTCCAACATCTGCGAGCCAGGACAATTGTGCAAGAGTCCTTGGCAACAATCCTCCAGAGGATGTTGAAAGCAGCCATATCTCACAAAAATAGAAACGACGTCGAAGCCAAGGTGAAAATAACGGGCCCGTCAAGTAGGGCAAATGATTACCCTGCGAAGGAAATACGATCAGACCCAAAGCCAAAGCCATATCCATTTAATATCAAGGTCGAATACTCCGTAGATGCTTTGGCATGATCTGCATTGTCGAGACCGGCCATCAGTGAACTCTCCGCTGCCAAGGTTCGGAGTTGAGACATTATAATCACCCCGTATCTGGATCGCGTTTTGGAAGGATGCCCAACCATCCATGCGACCACCAACTAGCGGACCAAACTGGGTACGTGGTTAGAGAGGGTCACGATGCCCAACCCGATAGGTAGTTGATACTCTGTTGTTGTCTGTTGCGATCGGAATCACGTACGAGCAGCGGAAACCACGGCGGACCTCGGCAAAACCCTCTACCCGTAACTATGTTTGATAGCCCGTCAAATATTACAAACAGCGCAAACAGACTTCTTGGCTCGTCGGGCCGGAAAATAGAATGTTCCAGGCTGACCCCACGCTGAGGCTGAGGCGGGGAGTTTGCGTTCAGCTGGCGGATGGTACGGTGACAGCGACGTTGATGGTGATGGCGGCCGCCATGTTCTGCTGATGTTTAATTTTGCCATCTTGTACAGTTTAGCTCGAGCTTGTTTGACAGATTCATAGAAAGAAATTCTTTATTGCGCTTGGATTCGCAACCAACATGGCGCCGAAATACCTCACCGGCGACAGCCAGGCGATCAAGGACTTTATCGACAAGTTTGATGTGAGTTTCTTGTCTTAACCTCATTGCAGCCTGTGCATCCTCTCGCTCTTTATGCGCACTTGCTAACTGGCCGGTTTAGGTCTTTCTTTTTGACTGCGATGGTCGGTAATCCTCTGCGTAACGCGGCTTAGACAATGACAAGTCACCTACTTCTTGTCGGTGTAAGCGCAATGCTGACATTATCAGGGACATATATACAGGAGTATTATGGTCTGGTGATATTGTCTTCAAGGGAACCGTCGAGACCCTAGAAATGTTGAGGAGCAAAGGTACGGCTTGTACTATGTACATATGCGCTAATCGCCCACGATCGACGGTAGGACATTGCTAATCAAAATCTTCGTAGGAAAGCAGGTTGTTTTTGTTACCAACAATAGTACCAAATCGCGACTTGATTACAAGAAGAAACTAGACAAATTGGGCGTTCCTGCTACTCATGTATGAATGCGAAAACCCCGTCCATCCATATACAAACGTCAGCTCATCCATAACTACAGGAAGAGATCTTTTCTTCGTCCTACAGCGCCGCTGTTTATATTTCTCGAATCCTGAACCTACCCCCCAACAAACGGAAAGTCTTCGCCATTGGGGAAACCGGTATCGAACAGGAACTCCAGGCGGAAAACATTCAGTACATCGGCGCCACAGATCCCGCTTACCGCCGTGACATCACTCCTGAAGACTACAGCAAAATCGCCGCCGGCGACTCTTCTCTTCTGGACCCAGAGGTCGGCGTTGTCCTCGTCGGGCTAGACTTTCATATCAATTACCTCAAAATCTCCCTCGCATATCACTACATCCGGCGCGGCGCGATTTTTCTAGCCACCAACATCGACAGCACGCTTCCAAATGCGGGAAGCCTGTTCCCTGGTGCAGGCACAATTAGCGCTCCCCTGATCCGCATGCTGGGTGGCATCGAGCCGACATCCCTGGGTAAGCCGAGTCCCGAGATGATGATGGCGGTTGAGGGGAAGTTTAAATTCGATCGACGTCGAGCATGCATGGTGGGTGATCGGTTGGACACCGATATCAGATTTGGAATCGAGGGGGGACTAGGTGGAACTCTGGGGGTTTTGACTGGTGTTTGTTCCAAGGCCGACTTTGAAACTGCGACTCTGCCGCCAATGGCGTATGTGGATACGCTAGGAGATTTGCTTAACGGAACAGCATAGGCGGTCTCTGCTATGCAATTCTGGGGTTCATTCCTACCTATTCATTACATCCATGCATATGTTTTGGATGAGACCATATCCTACTCGATTGATTCTATGGATACATATGTACATATGGTGTGAGACCTGATGTTTCATGGTTCCCCGTTCATTATAGAGCTTTGCTAGATATAGAAATGATTTCTATGGCAATAAAAGATAAATATAGATTCCGTCATCCGTCCGAAATACGAGAAGATGTCGAAAGCCGGAAGAGCATTGTGGGAATGCCCTTCGGAAGGGAGATTATATCTAGGCACCGGCGTATCCAGAGGATACGGGGGTTTGGTCCTCTCAAGCATATTTGCTTTCAATTATTTTGGCTATCAAGAAATACCGCTCATCATAATGTACACGTGGGAACCTGTCTCTAACTAGTTCCAATAGTAACATACGAATGTAGTCTCCAGAGACCCTGCATCGTATAAATAGTTTTATCACCCGAAGGCCTAAACAGCACAGCGTCTTTTGTGAAGAATTCATGGTGATCTCGAAGCTCCTGCAAATTCTCTTCCGAGAGGAGCCTTGGAAGATAGAAGATAGGGATCTGGGTCCCCTGAAGCGGGAGCTTTACAAGCTCTGGTATAGATGGGCTACCATCGAGCGTGCTGCCCTCTGGCTGAGGTTTGAGCAGCAGGACGGCACCGCATTTTATATTCTTCAAGTTCCCCAGTGATTTCAGTCCATTTTCCAGGTTGTCTATCAGCGTGGATTTGGGATCAATCTCCAGCACACTCCACCGGTGGTCTTTTCCAACGATGCAGCTGACTTTAAGCCCCCTAACAACATTTTTTCTCATATGGGTCAGCACAAATTCTGGTAGATCTTCCCGCCAAATGACGCTATCATTCTCTTTCTTAGTGAGGAACCCATTGGGATATTTCCATCTATATGGTAGCAGAGAGCGAGTGGCATGTGTATTTGCCCCTTTCGCTATTCGGGAGAGCAGTGCGGGATTATTCGCTATACGAATCACCGGGAGACGCTGAGGTCTGCTTTTCCGTCGTGGAGGCTCTGTTGAGTCTTGTAGCTCTTCCGACGGCCCGGCTTCCTCTTGTTCCTGGCTTTTCTCTCCCTCCTCACTTTCATGCGCTCTCCGTTCGGGGCCTAATGCCATGCTCCGAATCTCATCCCCCAATAGCCGCACCGGCATCATCCACGGTGATCCGGACTGTGGATGTTCTACGAGCCCATAATCGCCAAGGAAGTCTTTGGGAACCCGTGCTTGTGTCGCGGCGCACATGCGCAACGGGCTTGCCAGTGCCCGGGCCCATGGGTTGCGTTTCAAGACATCAAAGTCTGTTTTGCGGGGGATTTTCTCGTGGAGCTTTGTGCGGGCAGCTTTACGGAGGAGGACGGGGGATTGGACAACTGTTGTCTGGAGCGAGGGCGGACGTTCAAAGTTTTCGGGAGAGACGGTGTTTGGTGAGCTGTTGCAACTAAGGGAAGCGGACTTATTCGTAAAGTCATTTTTTATTTCGTCAGATTCGCGGTCTGCAGGGAGATCGGGGTTCTCGCCCGTGTTTGCTTGGGCCGCTGTGGATTGGAATCTCCGGCGACGGGGTTGGAATGGGTCAACTGAGCACGCGGAAAGCCTGTAAAGTAAGGCGCGTAGAGGAGACGGGCCGGACAAAGGGAATGCCACAGGGCATCTTGTCGTCATTGCTCTTCAGAGGCTATTGTTCCTCATCGGAATGGAAATCGCGGGTTGAATGGCAATTGAGCGACGCTAATTTTGGCGCTTCATCATATCGTAGCCAGTTACAAGTGGACCGCTACTCCGTAAAGCTTCTTCGACCTTTATCCGCTATCAACACAACCACTGCGTCTCATTCAGCACTGAACCGGTGTTAATTGCACAATTGATCTGACTGCCTTGCACGGAATAAGCATAGCGGGTTCTGCAGAACCCAATACACGCCCATCCATGAACTCCTCCCGGCTTTTCTCGCTGGCGGCTCGCCATGTCTTCCGCTCTCCGGTCCGCAGCTATTCCAGCGCGTCCAACTTTATTCCCCCGCGCGGATGGACGCCAACACCGTTTGTAACTGAGACACTGGTATGCTTTGACGCGCCTCGGTTATGTACTTTTGGGCGGGCATGATATTAAGCTAATTGATCAGGGAGGTGCCTGGCACACATGTACGCGTTCCGTCCATTCAAAACAGCATTGATCGATTGAGCGTGCGGCTGGGCTGACGTTTAGGTATTGAGAAGACGATATATTCTCCAGATTATTAAAGGCAAGAGATATACTCTTTTCTAGACAGCTGAACCATTGCTCATGTGTGATTACTATAGGAGCGCATAGTATGCCTCAATGGCGAAGTCGACGAGACAGTTTCGGCCTCCATAGTAGCCCAACTTCTCTTTCTCGAAGCAGATAATCCAGAAAAGCAAATCAGTCTCTACATAAACTCCCCTGGAGGCTCAGTCACAGCCGGTACGCTCTCCATCACGAATGTCTAGCCGCTTGTTGGCGCACCGCTAATCTCCATCTCAATCTTCCTATAGGACTCGCCATCTACGACACGATGACCTACATCCAGTCTCCCGTGAGCACAATCTGCATCGGTCAAGCGGCCTCGATGGGTTCTCTCCTCCTCTGTGGCGGCGAGCCGGGAAAGCGCTTCTGTCTCCCGCACTCCTCGGTCATGGTCCACCAGCCGTCGGGAGGCTACTTTGGACAAGCGACAGATATTGCGATCCACGCCAAGGAAATCTTGCGAGTCCGTAAACAATTGAATGAGATCTATAGGAGACATCTGACCAAGGACATGTCCCTTGAGGAGATCGAGAAGTTGATGGAGAGAGATTACTTTATGGGCGCAAAGGAGGCGTTGGATATGGGAATTGTAGATGGGATTATGGATCGCAGAATGAAACCGAAGGAAGAAGGTCCGAGCTGATTTAGTGAATATCTGCGATAAGGCTTTCAAGGTGTTTATTATGGGCGTTTGATGGTTATGACGACTAAGGCTCTCCCCTATACCTCTGGAATCTATTATCTGTACTCTTATGAAATAGAATGAATAAATGCATTAAAATGGCGAAAAGGTGCCCAGCAACCGTCTCCAGTGATATTTATACATCATGGCGTTAGCTACTCCGTATTCTATTACATGGAACCCGGTAACGCCCAGCCTCATGGTACCTCGGGGGTGGATATATGCAACCCGTTTAAATATCATACGTCGTTAAAAAGGGGTATGTTTCAAGACTTATCGTACAGAAAAAGAAAAGAAAAAGCCTGCTTAAAAGCCTGCACCAAAATGAGCCCCGAACCGTCGTCGAAAATAAACGCGGGGGGAAATGCTTGTCGACGAGCCGGAGGATTCAGCGGGTGTACTAGTCCTTGTATTGCGCCGCCATTGATCGCGAAAGGTTTTGTAGATGTCCAATTCCATAATCACCGAATCCCCCGTAAGGAATTCATCGCGAGGATGCATGGAGTTATCGAAGTGATCCGCTGCGCCGGGAGTGGCATCAGATAACAGACGGTGCCGCTCGTGATCCCTTTCTTCATTTCTTTCATCGTGAATATTATTTTGCGCATCTGAGGGTTGCAAATTTTGCAGCTCAATGCCATCAGCGCCTGGCGCCTCAGTCTCCCTAGAACGACGTACACCGCGCTCTTCCGAGTCGATATCCTGGGAGGCACGCGAGTCGGACGTAGGCGAGTGACTCCCCGATGCAGAATTAGACGATTCACGGGGCGAGGTGGCCTTGACCTTTTCCTTTTCCAATATGACCCCCATCATAATAATTTGCAGGATCATAACTAGGATGTCCATGACGATCAGACGAACTTTTGAAATCGGGCCCTTCTGTCCGATAAAATCAATGAAGAGTCCTCCGTGGAGGTAGCCCCGTGAGACTTCGCCGGCAATAGGCGCGGCGGATATGCAATGAAGGAACATGCAGAGCAGATTGCTGGTGAGAATAGCTCCGATGTAGGGCTGATTTTCAGGAGGCTCGAAGGTAGGTTTGGGAGTGAGATAACCGAATTGGATGACTGCCCGGATGGCGAAGTGGAAGATAGAGCAGCTGAATGTTCGCACGAAAGACAATTTCATCAGCAAAAATGCATAAAGAGCATGGCATGCTTCAATGTGCGCTTGATATGTGGCTTACTCCATGTAATACAGCGAAGAGAGCTGGCAGTATATCAGGAGATCGAAGTCATGCAGGAGGCGATTGAGGAGAACGGTTTTCGCCTTTGACCGGATATCCTTTCTGGAGTCCAGCAGCTGCGACGACATCTGGTGTTCGTCATCATTGTCGTGCGAAAAATTGGAGATGTCAGCGATGTGTTCCGCATCTCGGAGTGCATCTGGGGTTGTCATAGAGCAGACATTGGGCCTTCGCGGAGATAGGATAGGCGGGAGGCAAGCAACCGGCTGGTCAAGCAGCCAGTTATTTAGCGTGGTGGATGGAGATGGAGGATGAAGAGACCGCTGCTTTTCAGTCACAGGTGATGCCCAATTTTGAATTTAGTTAACTATGCCAGTAGCTATCATCCAAGTGCCAGTCTACCTCTTTTTCTCTCCAGCTTGCTTGCCTCCGCAGCGATGACCAGCCAAGTTGCCCGGCTGCTGAGTCATCCCGCAGCCTCCTCCGGCCTCACCATCCAAGCAGCTCATCCGGGCCATCAACTCAGCTTTTTCGAGTTCTTCGAGTTCTTCGTCGGCTTCCTCTTCACGCCCTTCATCATCCTCATCATCGTCACCTACTTCTTCTTCTTCTTCAAGTTCCAAGTCTCCTGCGTCATATGCCCCTTCATGACCTTCTGTTGTCAACTCTAGCTCTTCTTCTACGTCTTCATACGTAAACTTCGCTCAAGCGAATGGTTTTCCTTCCTTGCCAATCCGCGCAGCGAACTCGACTTCGCTGCTCTCCGCTTTTACCTTGTGTCCAATTTGAACCTGCAACACCTTATTCTTCTGCCTGCTGCTTCTTTTGATATAATCCGAAAAGTCCAATTGGATCGTACCGAGAATCTGGACCCCTGATATCAAAGTAAGCTTGCGATCTCAATACCCTACACTGGTGACAGCGTACCCTCAGTAACAGTCCCTGGTGGATCTTTCTCTTTGCATTGATAAAGCGTGAGCTAGCCGCTTAAACTACCTTTATTGCTCAGCGGAATATACCCCTCCAGCCATTTAAACTTCTTCGGTACTATCTGGCCCTGTTGAGTCCTGTCAGCTAGCCCACCCCAGGCTCTGCTCGATCGCCTTTAATGAGGTGTTCACAATACCGGTTTGATATGCCATGCCAAATTGCCTCTGGTTCTCTTTTCATAGATCGGACACTCGAACGTCTCGAGTCCATCGTCTTCTCCGGGCACAAACTTCCTGTGCTGGGAGATACCATAACTCCAGCGACATACGTGGTTTTTGTTACCATCGCCTTACGCTTCATTCTAGACAAAGCCGCACCCCTGGCTATTGCCGACCAGGACTGAGACGGTACTATTACGACTGCCTTGTCTCCAAGCTCCGATTTGCAGAATTGCTGGATCCTCTTGAAAACATGTACGTTTCCACCAAGGCCACCACAAAGCACTACGGCCTGTTTGTCTCGCGCAAACTTGTCACTGAAATGATTCTTCTCAAAATGAGCGGAACGATCGCTTACCTGGACTGGATTCTGGTTTTGCTTTTTCAACTGCGAAATTTGTTGTGATATCTTGTCAATCGAGGGTTTGATTACTTGATCAAACATCGCTATAATCTCCTCGCTTTTATAAATCTATGTTAGTCACTTCACTTATTATACGTGCTGCGGGATACAAAATCCCGTACCTCGTCAGTGTTATGGTTCCCGTCTCGGCGTCATACCCACTCCCGCTCTCTCTATTCATCCAAAGAAGAAGTCGGTAGTGGCAGCCTGGTTCACGCTTGAGCCTGCAATTTATGTCCTCGAATTCTTTCATGAAATCGCTTCCTTGACTGATACTTTTCGCTGATTTTCCGAGAAAATCATTTCCGTACTTTTCCCCCATGAGCTTGTGGAGCTCGCGATCGATTGTGGTTCCACCACACATTGCGCCTACTCCAGCCATTAGTTCGCGATGGAGAATATTCATGTTTAACCTTACTGGTACCAGCACAGGCTTCAGTCACTCTAAGTGGACTCCTGGATTTGATTTCATAAGTGATGAGGTCCTGGCCCCCTCTTATTTTGTGTTCCCAATATCCCAGTGTAAGAGATATCCTTACCACAGTTCCCCCGCCCATATCAACAACCATTACATTTTTCTTGCTCTAGGCGACACGTTTGTTAGCATGCCCCATTTATAAAATTTACTATTCAAATTAGACCGTTATCGCACCTAGAACAGTGGCCTGACATGCTTCTTATCCAGGTAACATTCGAATGCTAACAGGGCTGCAGCTTCTGGCTCGTCAATAAACGAGATTTTGTCCTTAAGCCGGGACCTAAAACCGGCGCTTTCAGCTGCCTTTTTCAAATTTCCCGTATATTCTTTTCCGTATTCGGCCGGGGCCGAAAACACAAAGTCGACGGGGGTGGTTTCGATTATGCCTGAATATTCCTTGTTGACAGCATTCATGATGTGGGCGTGTAGATGTTTGAGGAATTCCTTACACAGGGACTGGGGCGTGTGTCCATCCGGGATGCGCATCAAACCCTTGCCGACCGCTTGTTGCAATAATGGATCATCTTTAGGGGTCGCACATAGCTTTGGCGCCATGCCAATTTTAAACCACGCTGAGGAGGACATTCCAGTCTTTACTTCTGCGCCCCACAGTGTTTCTCGGTTGCCATGATCACCCGCAACGGCAATGATAGTAGGGACCTTCTCCCGGTAGTCCCATGTTCCTGGCGAATTCATAAGCTGGGCCACCGTACTTGGTGACTCTGCGGAGAATACATGGCTCACTCCTTATCTTCTGTCAGTGAACATTTTCTAATATCAAAATGACGGTTAGCGTTACTAGTGTATGTCGTGCCGAAATCGATAGTAACAATTAATTGATCTTCTGAGACGGTCTTCTTGACTCGTCTACTTTTAATACTAGGAGGATTTTCCTCTATTGTTCACATTAGCCTACCCATTTTCCAGTTTACCTTTACGCATACTTTGCCTTTTGCGACTTTCTGCTTTTTCGCTCCCTTCTTTGGTGTTGACGTTGGCTTGCGCCGCTTTGTGCCAGCGACAAGATATCAACTGCAGAACGCACCAATCATGTTCCTTTGGATTGGACAAACCCTCAGTCTGCTCCACGGAGATGAAGCGGATAGTCTTCATTGCAACCACCAGGTGACTGCCCGCGGAAGCAGTACTATCTAGACATAGCTTCCCTTTTTTAGACAGCCCAGCGAAGCTCCTTTTAAGGGATACTGAATGTTCAAAGCAGCAAAACATTCGAAAGGCGGAGCTTGATCGAATTTTTTGGACAGCAGGGTGTATTACTTCGATGCTTTGGAAGCAACAGGCTTACTTCACATGTCTTTCTGGGGGCTCATATGAGCTTGTTAAAAATGGGTTCCAGAACAGATCAGCTCTGATGAAACCAGAGCATGCCATGAAAATTTACCCAGCAAATGCCTCATGGAAAAATGCGATTTCTTGTGTTATTACTCCAGCCATCGTCACATAGCATGATGTTAACATACCAAACGGAGGGTACAGTGTGTGGTGTCAAGCGGTGGTATGGGTTCAGGGATCAGAGCATATCCAAAATAATTCTAACGGTAATTTCTCTACAAAGGTAAGATTGTCCTCTAAAGTCCACAGTTTGAATAGAGACATTGCTTTCTAATGGACTATACAGGGGATGACCAGTTCTTTGAAGACTCTACCCGCGGATACTCCCCAGGCCCTAGCTGAAGCTACATCAGGGGGCTCGCCGAGTGATAAGGTTGCGGAGAGTTCTGTTGACGACGAGGCCATCAAGTCTGAACAAGCCAAGACTCTGCAGAAGCATGCGTTGGACACACCAAACGGTACATAGAAGGTTACCATTGCAGTACCGGGGATTCAAGCCCCCAATGCCTCGCAAAACGAGTTGAAGGTACATCCTTCGACACCCGATTCAGGCCCCCACCAAAGCGAATGCAAAAAACTGATCGATGATCCCTCAGACTCAACGACCGAGACGCAGTAAGTCAAGGAAAGTACCTAGAGTCGAAGTGGATATCTAACCTGAGCGGCCTTTTTGGGTTCCAGCTATCTGAATCGGAGGTAGCAATAAGCGTTCTCAAAGCTAAGTAAATCCCAATCGACTGGGAGGAGGATATAACATATTTGGCGTTTCCGATCCATGGGCAGACTACATGCTATCATTTATCCCAAGGTAAAGATAGTTTATGCGCTGAAGTCAAGCGACTTGCGCGTTCCATATGGACTTCTATTATCAACTTGGTGACATTTATTTTACATTGGGCAGATGGAATGACATTTAGATATTGGGACTGATAGCTAGCTCCTTTCCTTTTTTTTTTTTTTTTTTTTTTTCCCCCTTTATGTCATCGTCAGACTGTCTATTGAATCATATTAGTCTTCGAGAGTGCAGATAACCCGGGAATGCTGCTGGATTCGGACGATATGGATGGACGAACATTTACCATTATTCTTCCTTCATTTCACTCCGATTTATGCATTCTATGGCTATTGTAGAAGTGTATTTACCTTCCTTTTCATCCGGAGATCCTTACCACACGACCATGGAGTGCCATAATCACGGTAGCTATGCAATCGAGAGAAAGTCTCCATACATAGTATCACTCATTTTCAATCTAACGAAAACAAAGGACAAGAAAACTCGAATGGAAAGCCGTATTGGATCATTTATGAGTAGCTACCTAGCACCTGGGTATCTGATAATAACCATAAGCCTACGGCTCCGTAAGCTACCTTATCGCTTGCTTCAGGTACTCACTATACCCACCAGAGTCCCAGGACCACCTGCTAACAAAAGATCTTAGTCGAACCATCTCATACATCTAGTCAGTCATACTGTAAGGCGACTCTTCCGTGCCACGGCGCCTTGCTTCTGATGAAAACGCAGTAGTCCTTTCAAATGTTCCCTCGATATCGAATGCTGACTACCTGTAGCAGCAAGATACAAGCTGCAGCAATGATAAAGGTTTGCTGGATGGTATGTACTCCCCTGGCAAGCTGCACATTGAGCTTACGAATAGCATTTTTCACGGATACAAACGACACCCTCTCCACCCAGGGGTTGATAGCATTGGGATTCAAAAGTGAGCCGTACCATGGCGGAATCCAGCGAGTTAGTGCCGTGGGGGGGATTTCATAACGGGTATTTTCATCTCTTAACCGAATTCGAACTTCATGATCGGCCTAATATCGCAGAGATCCTCAAAGCCAAGTCAAGTATAGATAGTTGTTCATCTGCACCATCGATAAGACGCTTATCGTACTCGGAGAATACCAGAACAATATCGTTCTTCTGAATGTCAGGTATTGACTCGTTGAAAACAATTGCTTGGTACATCTTTGCAAAGTGAGTTAGTTGAAATTTAGGATTGGTCCAAGGGGAAAATTAGGGAGCTTTACCTGTGAGAGCATCTGGCCGGCACTCCAGCCATCAGCCACAATATCAGTAACGACTCTTGCAACTCCTTCGTACACCGAGCCGCCTTTCTTTGGCTGCATGGCGTCTATTAACCGATTCACTACCTTGTCCGGGACAACACCCGCGATCTCCTCAACCGTTTGCACCGTAATGACGCCTGATTGATCGGCATCAGTCATGACTTCATCGCCACTTTCATCTTTCCCGCTCTTCCCCGATAACCCAGATCCAACTAGCCTTGCCGCACTCTGCATATATGTAATCGCTCTTCTCAAATCTCCTTCACTACACCGAATCAGTGCATCAACCACGCCATTGTCGAGCCTTAATTTTTCCGTCTTGGCAATCTCTTCCAATCGAGTTCCTGCTGCGGAACCATCTAACGACTTAAACCGAAATTTACTACATCGACTCGCCAGAGGGTCAATTATCCTTGTGACATAATTGCACACGAGACAAAAGCGCGTGATCCTCGAAAATCTCTCCATTGTGCGTCGCAGTGCAGACTGCGCATCTTGCGTCATACTATCTGCTTCGTCCAAGATGATAATCTTAAATGGCGGACATGGATATTGTTTTCTATACTCCGAATCGTGCGCAGGGGGATGTGAGAGTTGAATGCGGGCGAAATCCTTGATTTTCTCGCGGACTATATTGATACCTCGCTCATCGGAGGCGTTTAGTTCGAGGATGCGTGAGCGGTAGAGTTTGGGGCCGAAAAGGGACTTGGCGAGGGCGAGAATGGTAGAAGTTTTTCCCGTACCGGGAGGGCCGTAGAAGAGCATATGTGGGAGCTATACTCGCATGAATATATCAGCATATACTGCTCAAACCAAGCGCTGCAGGAACCCTACGTTTGAAGCCTGGAGCGTCCGCTGTAGGACTGTGACGGTATGATCTTGAGCAGCTACATCATCAAGCGTCTTCGGCCGACTAGGAAGCAAGTCAGATTCTCGGTCTCAGTTCTCTGCAGTGAGGTTGGAACGTACTATTTCTCCACCCAAGGCTGAAGTTTTGACTTGTCTGCTTCGTCCGCGGTGGATTTTGACTTGGAGGCGGTAGCATTGGCAGCAGCAGCAGCGCGGGCTTTGTTGCTAAAGAAATTGGCCGCCATGATTATGGGAATTCTTGAGGTTGGAGCAATTGTGGTTGGAATGAAAAGCACAGCCAGCATATCCGTTGTCTTCTCAGCTCGATAGAGTCGCGAAACGAAGGTCGACGCGTCCGTCACGTGTTGTTATCGCGAACTCAATTAGCCCTGACATGCCACCCATCTGGGTATTTCAGTCAATCAGGACTCAGGGGTCGGTACAAAGAATGGCACCTCAGGACGGAATATTTTTAGCGGGATAGTCATTACATTGCGTATTTCGTTAATTTAATATGATAGTTTATAGCTCATCTTTCTTTGATGCTTTGTCAATATTCTCTTCCCACATCCTTTTCTTCGGATTTCGTGGCATTTCCTCCTGACGTTTCCTCTCTTCCGGGGAGATGTCATCAACATTTGTGCCGCCGCTCTGTCGGTGTTGATCTTCTTCCTTTTCTCTTTCGCTCACCATTTTCACTATTTCCTCTGATATACTTTCGGACTCCGTTGCCGGTATCGCCGATGCAGTTTGACTGCTCTCCGAAGAATCAGCTTCGGCAAGCGTCCTCGCAGAAGGAATAACCGTTGCCATTGATGTGGCCGATAATACAGAAGTTACTGAATGTCTTACACTAGTGACACTCTTCTGCGCCCCTCCAGATAAGCCCACCAAACCAAAGATCGCGAGCATTGACCTGTAAATCATTTTCAGGGGTAACCACAACAACCACCAAAGCGGACCATAAAATATTCGTCGAAACAAAAGCCATATTATAGTTCCGAGCAGTATATAGAATGCAGTTTCTAGGTACCAGGTATCCGATTTTTGCGAACGGAGAAGAGAGCTCACCAGCGAGCGCGACGAAGCGAGGAGGGTATCAAGGTTACTATATGATTCCGACAGGGAGTTCAAAGCTGCTGTCGATTGCTCTAGTTCAAATTCACGTCAGCTAAATATTCTTCACCGCAAGCCTTGACCTGAGTGCGATTACCTAATGTCTGCTGTGCAAACTGGCTTCTCGATAGCTCTGACTGCATGAGCTGATGTGTACGCCTTAACGCAGCAGTGACATCATTCGAAGCGTCGACCACCAAATCGTCATGTGTGAGTTTTGGAGAAGCCTTTCTTTGCGGCATGCCGTCCTCGCCGATGCCGGAGAATAACAATTGTCGTTCCTTCTGCTTAGCTATATCTGCATTGCGTTTGGCGTGTATTTGCGCTTTTCGAAATTGTGTTCGAACACTATGTAGGCAGTTGAACGTCAGCAAATAATCGGAACAGATGCACCCTGTGCTTCGCGCAATCGTAAATCATTTGGAATAATAAACGAATCCGGATCTCCGCACCTTTTAATATTAACTTCTAACTTTCTCGCCATGATCACTATTCTTTCTCTCTCCGCTTCTTTATCTTCGTTGTCCCGCCTCCTGCCACTGCCCGCTTCTAGCTGATCAATCTCAACTCCCAGTAGCTCCATTTCATCTTCCATCTCCTTGAGTCGGAGATGGATCTCTGTACCGAGCTCAACGCGCGCTTCATCGCCTTGTCCTGGAGTAGCGGACCAGTTCTGTAATCGTTGGATCAAAGGGATGGTTTGCTTATTCGTGACCGAGAGAGCTGTGAGACGTTGCTGGAGGCCGGAAGCCATGATGCAGATTTAGGACGGGGTGTTTGGGCTGTCCAGCGTTTATATTTTCGGGAGAGAAATCAAGAACACCATATTTAGAGGATGCCAAAGTAAATTTTGATGCCTGATAACACTGTGTCCACTGGACGCTGTCCAAGGAGCGTCCTCGTCGTCGATGTTGCCGGTTGACAAGCTGGCTGCAGGCATGTTTGACAGAGTTGCAAACACCGGCACGCCGAACTGCTCTCTGATGTCAAAGTTTATTCACACTTGCCTAGACAATTGAGCTTCGCAACAACCGACTTCTCTCACGCTCTTTCGATCGCAGCTTAACGAGTGCGTTGCGCTTCGTTTCGACTGTGCCATTTACCTCCGCAATAGCCACGGTTTTCTCTCCAGCCCGCTCCGTAGCGAACCATTTTTATCACTGGAGACCAGACTCGAAATCAGCGGGCTTCCGAGGTCCTTCAATTGCCAGCGACTTACACCCTAAAGCTCCCGCACTAGGTATAAAAATCAATCTCAATCATTCTACTCTCAAACAAGCCCGCTAACCGCCATCCCTTTAGCTCCGCTCTCCTCCACGCGCCGTCCCACGCTCCGTTCCAAGTCACAATGTCTCTCCCTCTCTCCACCATCTCCTCCTTCCGCACCTCCTTCTCTCCCTTCTCCCCACTCTCCAAACCCTGCCGACTCGTTCTCTCCCTTCTCCAGACACCCACAACTACCCCAGCCTCCAGCGCCTCACACATCAAGATCTCCGTCACAAGGTTACCCCGAAACAGCCCGCAGCTCCCAGAGATGACCATCGGATTCCGTAACGGAAAGGAGCTGAAGTTCGAGGTGGGCAAAAATAAAATGGCGATCGGCGATATATTGGAAGAGTTAGGACGTGTGGGCAGAGTGATTGAGAGAGAGGAGAGTTTGAAAGGCTGATCAACTTGCTCCTTTTTTCCTTTTTTTTTGGTTCTAGAAGATTTGCTGAGAAGAGTGTACCTGTTGGAATATTGAGGATATACGCGTAATCTGTACAATATGGAAAGATAGAGAGGTATTTTGTAAAAGAGAGATGAATCATGACCCAATTGGAATTTCCTTCTGGTGGTAGTAAAATGAGTCCGCTCGTAAACCCGAACTCTAGCCCGGTAAAACTCTTTGTCCAATTGTCCTCCTTTTCTTTTTGCGGTAGTCATCTTCACCGAAAAGAGCCGTAAAACACTTTCCATGAGTATGCCGGATACCTATGTGACTTCGGGTCTGCGATGGATGAGGCATGCAGTATTGCTACGATGGATTCAAGCACCAGATCTACTGCCAAAAATATGTCGACAATACCCCACCAATAAGTGCGCATCTCAGTTGATACGACAAAGTCTCCTAATCATAGCCTACACGTCAAACCGTTTACATCATGCCTTACCTCTAGAGATAATGAAAAAGCGTTGCCTTCATTACACATGAAAAGGAAGCCTATGTGGAGGTTTCGGGTATTGTAGAACAGTGTAGGTATGCTTGGTATTCCAATACCTGTTTATCACAGCCACATGCCTAATATCTAGGTATAAACATGACCGAAATCAAAAAGATCAATTGCCGGACATGCCACCGTTCAAGAAAGAAAATATCCTTGTTGTTCTTTGTTTTTTTTTTTTTTTTTTTTTTTGCAAATTTCCTTATTGTGAGAAACTGCTGCAGTTCTCTAGATAACCCCTTCTAATGCACTCGACAGTCTCGTGTACCTTTGTCGGCCATTGAGAGTGGGGATGGGAGGATCTTTTAGATCAGAATGGCTGTCTGACCGAAAGACGCGAATATGTTGACTGCGTACTGATTACACCGCAGCACCAGAGATGAAGAACCACTTGTCAACACTGCCTTCAATGGGGGCAGGGGCAAGGTCTTGACCAGCTGGGATAGACTCAATCTTGCTGGCATCAACACGGTCAGGAGAGCCCTCAATGGTGGTGTTAGCACTGAAATTTAACATGTTAGCGACTAGCAATAGTACAAAAGTAGGAGGGGTTGTGGAGGACGCACATAGACATGCCACCTCGCTGGGACTTGCCGGCCATGAGTCTGTCCCAGGCGTCGGCGCATTCATGAACGATTTCCATCGCGTATCTGTCGTCGAGGTCAGTATATGTTTTGAGCGACGTGATAAAATATGTCCGGGATTTTAACTCACTTCTTGTTCTTGCATTCACCAGAGAAAGCAAACTGGTTCTCAGGCTTGCCATCTGGGATCTTGTAAATGCGGAACCATTCATTGGTGGCTCTCATAAGGCCTGGGAGATGGCGCTCGACATCCTCAATGTCGTGGAGCTTGTTGGCAAGGGGATCGTTCACGTCGATGACGATGACCTTCCAGTCTGTCTCCTCCTCGTCGAGAAGGGCCATCACGCCGAGAACCTTGACCTGCTTGACCTGGCCAGTATAGCCGACCAGCTCTCCAACCTCGCAGACATCGAGCGGATCGTTGTCACCCTTGGCCTTTGTCTCAGGGTGCACAACATTGGGGTCTTCCCAGGTCTGTTGACCAAAAAAATCTGATCAGCACGTGATGGCATTGACAAATATTGCCCAAACTGGGTAGACCGGCGTGTTGGAAGACACAGGCAAAAAGGGGGAACAAAATTTAAATAAATAACACAACTTACACGTGGGAATGCACCATAGTTCCACAGATAACCCTTGTGTGGGAAGCAGTTGCGCACATATCGCAACTTGCCCTTCTTGACATCCTGCTTGATGGGGTTGAGGAATTCCTCCTTGCAGATCTATAGAAACAAAAAAGGGACACATCAGTGAGATTTTCTCGTCGAGATGAGGGGCAATGTGTGTGCGGAAGACAAACATACCTCCAGCTTCGCATTGGTCCAGCGCGGAATCTCAACAACCATGTTCAAGATTGTCTTCTGCTCGTTGGCATAGAGAGGGATGTCATGGAATGGAGAGACCGGGACGCCATCCTTCTCGATATAGGCGCGGTAGTCCAAAGTGTTTGGCTGGCCGACCTTGCGGACGGTGTACTCAGAGGGTTTTCCGGCAGACATGGTGAGGTCGCTTTGCGGTGAGGGGCAGTGAATTGAAGAGGAGAAGTGGCGGGTGAGAAGAGCAGCACGGTTCACAGTTGAAGCTGCTGGCCGGGGATGGTGGGAAGATAAAGAGACGGAATGATGAGAGGGAGAGGAAGTGAAACGGAGAGTGTGAGAAGGCAGAGCGGCGGAAGAGAAGGAGGAGGGGCACGGAGGGCGAATTGCGTGAGAGTTGGTGGGGGGAGCCAGCTTAGTCGTCGTCGTCCCAAGAAGTGGCTTCCCGTGCAGCGATGCACCATGAACAGGGGCAGAGGAGGGCGCCAGGGCTGCAGGGTGACAGGCAGTGCTCAGTCCAGCAGTGAAACAGGGAATTGCTTGACAAAGACGTGAACTGCGCAGGACGGCCTGGTTCCCGGTGCGGGATCGGGCCAGAGCTGAGGGTGGCAGTGATGGAACCTTGGTCAGCGAGCACTCTAGAAGATTCACTGCCCGGGAAAATAGCGACATTGGTCTATCTTGGCCACTTGTCTGCAGCTTCGCAGAGAGAAATTGGAGGTGAGAAAGAAGGTTTCAATTAAGTAGCCAGGTGGCTGTTATTACTCTGCGTCGAGCTAGCTCTGATGATTGATGTTTAACCGTCGGCCCACGCTTCTTTTCCGAGACTCTCCCTTAAGCCCGCTGCTGATGCCGTCTGGTTCTGCTTCAAAAATAATGTTTTCGTTGGTGATGGCTAAAATTCAGCCTGCCCAGGCTTGATTGGCCCACGCTTAAACCGAGGTTCCTTCAACCAAGAATCATACTGAGAACATTTCACTTTCACAAAGAAGGGTTGCGTCCCCGTGGTCTCGGCGAGACACCCGTGGCTGTCGAAATTAAAGGGTGCTACCACATGAACCGGTTAACTGGTTCACTATAACTACCTTCCCGGGCGGTGTTTTAATGACTACCTACTGTGTATACGCATTCGGGGATCGACCTGAGCAATTGAAGTCTCTGACTACGTCCAAACCGGGAATGCCGTTGCCGAACGGCCAAGGAATCATCACAGCGGGCGTTCTCAATCGGCATTGTTTCAGTTCGACTTCCACTCCCGGCCGGCTTTGAATAATTATCATAAGGAGTACTCATAATACGTTGCGCTAGGGGGAAGAGGAGCCCCTGTTAATGTCAAGGATGTCCGTTGTCGATCTTCTAGGTTTATACGATTCCAAAATTGATGTCGCATCGTGAGATGGGCCTTCAATTGGGAGCGTCAGGGTCAGTGAACATATATCATTTCATTCAGCGCCCTCTTATGCACCTGAAGAGGTCAAGATAAAGGCACTTCACCACTTTTGCGGGCCGAAAATGCGATGCGAAGATCGTCCTTCCACCCGCCAGCATCATGCGCCAAGTCTTGGCGAAACGTGTTTGCAACTTCATGCAGATTTCAGGCATCGGGTTTCAAGTGTTGTAACCGATATCAACATACTGGAACAGGCCCTGATTCTAGTCCTAGTGCGTGGAAGAGATGAAGTGGCCATCGCCGACACAGCTGATTGATGTTATTCTTATGTTCATCTGAATATGAATGCGACATATGCTGCCTGATCTCTCTCTCCCTCTTTCAACTGAGCACCCTTCTAGGTGTCAGGATACCATGGCTTTGAAAAGCAAACCCAATCCCTCCTTCTGATCTTTGGCAGTTCCAGCAGAAGTATCCTGACAAATGACACTTTGCGCACCTTGGACTCTCATCTTCCTTCAATTGCGCGAACCATAAGTCCCATATGCATTATTCATTTGTATGGCCCTTGGAGGTTGCTGGATTCCCTTGTTTGTGGTTACACTGCTTGCCATCACTTTTGAATTGTTTCCAGAAGCCCTAGAGGGTCATTATTGCTTTCACCATGCATCTAATGCTAACGTAACGTGAGATGACAGTGTTTAATGATAATACCTACCCCATTAAACGTAAATTCGTTTCTCAAGTACTTAGTCCCTGCCAATAAATAAACGTCATAATTGCTCTCCTCCTCGACTCCGGACTCGTCTTCCAAATGCAACGTGTCTACAAGGATCCCTCCAAGTCAACATGATCACCGCTGACATTCTGTACTCTCTCTCCATTCGGCTAGATCACCCTAATCTAATCTGATGGGATCGTCTTAGTCAGCAAAAAAATTTATCAGCGGTTTATCGCCACGTGATCCCAACTTTCCCGATCGGGCGATGCGAACCACCACAGCGCATCTTCGCCGGCTCGCCATCTCGTCTGCTGTCCTTCGAACTCCTCCTCTCTCTCCGCGTCTTCCTCGCCGTGTTTCCCTCTTCCTCCCTCTCTCCCGAGGTCTGGTGTCTTTGTCAACAATGACATGTTTCGTTTTCTCCGAGCAGTCATGACGTCTTTCACAGAGGCAGCACCCCACGTTCCCATCCCCAAGAACGGGGTGGACTATCGAGGCAAGATCGTGCTTGCACCGATGGTCCGCTCCGGAGAGACTCCATCACGTATCGTTTCCCTCAAGTATGGCGCAGACCTGGTATGGGGTCCGGAGACCGTCGATCGCGCTATCATCGGCGCAAAACGTCGCATTAACCCCCGCAACTCGATGATCGAATATACCCGTATCCCGTCGAACGGCGGCCAACCGAACAAACCAGCTCAGGAGTCGGTACTGTATAGGATTGATCCTGTACGAGAAAGGGGCAAATTGATTTTCCAACTGGGCACCGCAAATCCGTCGTTAGCAGTGGAAGCCGCAAAAGTCGTTGCGGCGGACGTCTCGGGCATCGACGTAAACTCCGGCTGTCCAAAACCCTTCAGCACGAGCGGTGGGATGGGCGCCGCACTCCTGCAAACTCCGGACCGCCTTGTTTCGATTCTTGAAGCGTTAGTCGAGGAGATAGGGAAGCCCTATGAAATCGGAATTTCCGTAAAGATCCGCCTCCTCGCGGAGCCCGAGCGGACCGAAGCTCTCGTTACTCGAGTTTGTAGAACTGGAATTACTGGTCTTACTGTGCACTGCCGGACGACGCCCATGCGTCCTCGTGAGGCCGCCATCCGTGAACAGTTGCCAATGATTGCCTCCATTTGCCGAAAAGCAGGCGTGGCATGCCTGATGAACGGAGATGTGAGATCCCGAGACGAGGCAATGAAGCTTATCCGCGAGTACGGTGTCGACGGCGCCATGATTGCCACCTCTGCAGAGTCCAACTTTTCATGTTTTCGCTCACAGGCCGACGGTGGCCTGGAGCACTGGCGAGATCTCGTCCGATCCTACATGGAGGCTGCGCTCCAATGTGAAAATAGATGGGGAAACACCAAGTATCTGCTTAATCAGCTCGTTCCCGGTAAAGACAAAGCCTTTGCGGAGTCGAAAAGATCCAAAACGTACGAAGATTGTGTAACGGTGCTAGGATTTGAAGATCTAATCCCCATGGCGAAACATGTTGACGAGATAATCGGAACCGCCAAACGTGCCGCCGAAAGAGCCGAGTCGAACAAAAGCCTAGCTGTCCTGAAAGCTATCGAAGGAAATACCGCAAAGGCCGCCGGCGGCGGAGGAATTGGGAAGGGCAACAGTCCAAAGCTGTCCACTCAGGTTAACGTAGCCGGTGGAACCGGCCCTATTCGGACAGGCTCGTCTGTCTCTAAACCCACCTCTTCCGCTTCGGTGTCCGCGGAATCGGCGGTTGCGGAAGTTGTGGCCAAAGTGGCAGATGGCACGCATGTTCCCCCCAGCCCGCTGACCGTATAACATCCTCCTTACATTGACCCATGGCATGCCTTGAAACCTTGCCTTTGGCGTCGTGTGCTATTCTCCCGCTACCCCTATGGTGATTCGTCTACTCAGCATATCATAAGCGTTGGTTGATGGTCTTAAAAATTTCTTAATTGTTCAATATTCCATGATTGTTTCAAGGCGCAGTGGAACGCATATACTTTGGGATATACTCATTCTAGATTCGTGTTTATTGCATTTTCGAGGGAATATTTATTGTTCGGATTGAAGCTGGTTGGCTACATAACTACATATCTACCGGTGCTGAGTCACTTTATGAAAAGAAGGTAGCATCTAAGCATGATCCTCGAAACTATCCTGGAAAAGGAGATAGAGGATAAAAGAAATGTTTCTTTTGAAATAATATCTCTGTTATTTCTTGTATTCATTGTATTGGAATTATATACAGCGCTGGATAAGGGGGCGAAAGCGGGCCTGTCTTAACGAAAAGACGGCGACCCAACCCAACTACAAAAGTTCCAGCTGTTGAAATCTCAATCAAGGACAATTCTTATATATCCGGATCCCAACATGGAGAGGTGGAGATTGAAACCAGCTCCAATTAAAAGATTTGTGACTTTGCGGAGGGCGCGTTAAAATAAAGAAAAGGAAAGGAAACAAAGAAACTGTTTAGTAGTTGCAAGCCTTGTGCTCGCACATGCCGAGAAGGTCACCACCGTATCCCTTGAGCTTAGTCTCAGCTCGCTTGGCGTTGGGGATGGCCTCCTTTGGTGGGAGGGCCTTGGTGCTTCGGGCATACTCAGCAGCAGCGTAAGCAGCGCCACGGGTGTTCAACAAGAAGGCACCCTTGTGGATGTTGTCGACGGTGTCGCCAGCGGCATGGTAGTTGGGGTCGAAGGACTTGCCGGCCTCACCGCCAAAGAGTTTAGCCTGCTCCTCAGTCTTGACGACTTCGGCACCGGTGAAGAGACCGCCAGCTGGGATCTTCTTCTGAATGAAAGCATCGTAGTCGGAGCGGCCGGTGAAGGCGGTGGGGATATGAGGCCAGCCGAGGTCGTCGAAGTACTTCTCGAAGAGATGCTCGATCTCGGCGGAGCCAGCAGGACCGGTGAGGTTGTGGGCGTTGCCGTCGCCGTCGTAGATACCGTTAACGTAGTTGGGGGAGCCGACCATGTCAAAGTTCATGTAGAGGCGGATCTTCTCGAGTTCGGAGTTGCTGAGGTGAGAGACGTAGTATTCGGAGCCGAGGAGGCCGAATTCTTCGGCGGTCCACCAGCCGAAGCGGACGGCGTTGTGGACGCGGAAGTTGGTGAGGGCCTTGGCGATGGTGAGGAGGGCAATGGAGCCAGAGCCATTGTCGTTGATACCTGGACCAGCATCAACGGAGTCGGAGTGGGCGCCGAGCATGATGACGTTCTTTGCGTTGCCACGCTTGGTCTGGGCGAGGACGTTCCAGCTAAACACGAGTTAGATATGCACTTCGCAGAGGCCTGGGAGATTGTGGCTTGACTTACGTTGTCCGGTTCTCTCTGCGGGATTCAACGAACAAATCAGCACTGACAGTTCCTGCCTTCAACTTGTCGACGAGCTCGAGACCATCCTCTCTAGAGATGCCAACAACCGGGACAGTGTTGTCATAAACACCGCCGAGGGTGCCACGGAGTTCACCGGGGACACTGTTGTAAATGATTGCGGCAGAAGCGCCGGCTGCGTGCGCCATCATGTTCTTATCGGCGAAGGAGCAATCACCACGTTCAGCGACGACGATTTTGCCCTTCGTCCCTTCTGGATAATCCTCCTGCATAAAAGATTAGCAAAAACTGTCCAGCTGGGTCAATCATGCTGGAGAAACATACAGCTGCGCAGCCAAGGTTGTTAGCCAAGACGAGCTCTCCCTCAACCTTGCCAGAAGGGCTGTAGGTCATGGCAGCGGAGTTGATCTCAGCACCATCGATGGTGAGGGACTGGTCGGAGCGAGTCCACAAGTGCTGTTGCTCCTGCTTGGTCACATCGTAGTAACCAGTCTTCTTGAGCTCGTTGTAGATGTAATCAACGGTGGCCTTGTGGCCGGGCTCGCCGAATACACGAGTCTTGCCATTGGCATCAGCAAAGCTCTGCAACTTTCCGATGCCCTCTTCCAGGTCCTTTAGCTTGATTTTAGCCAACAAGGCATCCTATGCAAAGCAAATGTTAGTACAATTAACACTCCTGGGCCCGCTAGCCCGTTCTGCGCATCAATTGGCAACGTACGTGTGAGACAAGGTCCTTGAAGATATATGGCACTCTCTTTCCCAATTCTGGTTTCTCGAGTCCGGCCGCAGAGGCGGACGAGACGAGGGCAGCGCCCAAAGCAAGGTAACCAGTGGTCTTCATTGTGATCTGTTGTGGCTTCGACCCAAACACAGTCCTGGAGCAGAGAGGAAAGGGAAGCGAAAGGGGAGAATTGACAGTCCAGGCTTTACTCTGATCACACAGAAGTAAGGGGAAAGGATCGACCAACAGAAAAATTCCGGTGGGAACAGCTCCCCTTTAAGTTCTTCCTTGAGGAGCTCGCTGACAGCGCTGGCCGCGTTTGTTCATAGACCGGAGTAGGAATTTTGGAATAACCGGCCGCCGAATATGGCCGCGACCTACCGCCTGGGGCCCATATCAGATCCCAACCTGCCAACGAGCAAAGCCTCTATTTTGACAATGCTACCCCGGTTCTCCGCAAAAGTTCTGGGTCCCTGAGAGAAGGAAGGACCCCGTTTACCGTTTGATCCTGATAATAATATGGACAAGCCCTCGTTAGCTTGGATCATGGGGTTAAGGGTTCCCTGGCGCCCACAGATACGAGCCAACATTGCCGGCACATCAGTCGAATAGGCGTCTTGGCGGTTGGAATGATACCTCGAAAGGTAAAAAGTATATGAGAATAATGGCGGCACTGAGAGGGACAAAATCCTACCCTGCTCCTCTTCGAAGCTTCTTGGCAGGCCCGGTCATTAACCGGAAAATAAAAAGCGGAATTTGGTCTGCCAGCGGGCTGAACTTGATAGGCAGATTCAGGATAAAATTAATTAGACTCCCGTATTCCGGTCCCCGTCGCCTGAAAGGAAGGCGAGAGAACAGCGAGAGAAGAAGTGGGACTGTTCTTCCAGAATCCTTCATGCATTGGTTAGTTAGTCTGGAAGAAATGCACGAAAAAAACCACAGTTGGTCTTGTGGCCAAATACAAGTGGTTGGAGGAAAATGTTTCCGAAGGCTGAATGTCGGTCTGTCCCAGAGATCAGGCGGCCCGCGAGAGGGGATCTTCCCCCAGGTCTCCATGTCGATCAAGAAAAAAGAAAAGAGGCGAAAAGGGGGAAAGAAAAGAAAAGAAAAGAAAAAAGCAAGGAGAGACAGCAAGCAAATTGAACGGGCAGACAAACGCAGCAATACGAGAACAGGCATAAATATCGTCACTGACGATTGCAATCCTAACCAACTCAAACCAGCACACAGGCGAGGTTGGAAGCAGACGAGAGACACAGCTCGGAGTCCATGATCCCTCGACGAGAACGTTAGCATGGATGCCCTTTGAAAGAGCACTCCCCCGGACCCATCGTCTTGGAAAATGCAAACGAGAGGTTGGACGGGACGGCACACCAGGACTGGACGGCTCGACAATTTCCCCAAATGCCAAGGCGCAACGTTTCATCGCCGTCCAGCAGCTCGAGAGACGCGGGCTCGAGGAAGAGCCAGTCAGCCAGCCTATCACCGGAGGCGGATCGGCGCCATAATGCACGTTATTGATCTAGCCCGGCGCCAGCGACGCGCTCAGCGGCTTCTTAAAAGGCTGGAGGATCAACGCTGTGGATCACGATCACGCCCAGAGCGCATCATGGAGTCCCCGCGAAATGAAAAATGGTTCAGGGATTCATATCATTAACTCGTTAACAGAACGAGCTGTCATCTCAGTCGGCACTGGTGCTGTGGAGCGGACAAGGCCGAGGTATCATCGCGGACATGTGTTGCCTGCCCTCGCGAGCTAAGGCTCCGCAGAAACTAATAACAAAGTGAAAGTAATCATAATAATTCACTCAGTCAGCAACCGAGCATGATACGGGTGTCTGCTGGCTGCGTGTCGGATGGATGCGCCGGCTGATTGGGCAGCGTTGTTCTGTTTGTCGTCGAACTCGGATGGTTAAAAAAGCTCAACAGGCGAAAACGGGCGACCGAACGTGGGAAATTAAGATTCCCCGCCGCCAACCACCCAGATCGCAATGCTTGTCGCTTGTTTGCTTGCAAGTGAGGCCATCCCCATGCAAGAAACTCCACGGGCGATCCCTGGACAGAGACCAGGCGGGCTTCCTCCTCCGGCCGAGTGGTGAATCCAGCCTGCAATCCCGGTCTGCGTCTCTCTCTTTTCCTCTCTCCGTCACGGCGATCTCCCGCTGAGAAGGCGATGGCTCTCTCCACCCCAGCTGAACGGACGCTCTCGACTGCTGCTCCACCGGCTGGCTATTAATAAAATTCATTGATATACATGGCATCATGCTGTGATAGCCTCTGGATCCGTGGATCGCTGCTCATCGGGTCGTCCGATCCTTTCGTGGTCATGGTCAGCGCTCCCCGGATGAATGCTCCCAGGCGAACACAATCAGCTTGTTCTACACTATCTCCAAAGACACAAAGCTAGAACGGACCAGGAAGCTTCAGAAAAAAGCAACTTGTTCGAAACTGCCTTAAGCTCTCTTACGGTATATACTCAGTACAGTGGCAACTCTCAGGGCTTACCAGCGGCACAGACATCGACTCTTCCAACCCATTCTACGCCATCGTCACAGCAAACGCACCCAGATAGATACTCATGCGCAACTGGTGCCAGAACATCGCATAGGCAGACATTGCTTCTATCGTTTGTTCGCCGACCGGGAGAAAGGAGAACAAGAAAACAAAAATTATTGCTCGATCGTGATTCCCAGCGCAGCACGGCAGCAAACGGAAGGCATTGAGAACCATCTCAAAATGGCCACACGCATCTAAGGATCGTGACCGACTGGGGCGGGGAACGCCGCGAGCCCAATTGGAGCCCAACGGGGAGAGACCTCGAGAATATGGATGCTGTACGACGTGAATGTGCGCGCTATCACATGTCCAGCCCACTTTCCAGTGGCCTGAGAGGCTGGCAGGCTGATAGCGTAAGTAGCACAATGTGTGGGAAAAGCACAATAGGGGGCATAACGCCAAACCAGATGTGCTCTTATCATCCGGCCGGATTTATGGATGCCCGTTGGAGAGGAAGAAGCAAAGTGATCCTTCCGCGGCGAGAACACGTATTGAGCTCGAATCTACGAGAAACACTATCAAACGCCTTGGGGATGCTGTTGAATTTTGCGTGAGCCATCGAAGAATGCGGCTCATATTCACCGCATACACATGTATGTAGATATCCGGTTGGTATCGACTCTGTAGCACTTACATACAAGCTTAGCTATGGAGGGTAGGTCTATCACCCAGACTACCCAAAAACCCGCAGAAAGAGCACCGACAGTAAGCCAGAATACATAGAGTGTACATTATGATGTATGCACACACTTCGTACCTACCCACCACCCTCAAGCTTCGGAATAAAATCCAAGTATCCGCCTGCAATAGCACCAGAGAGGGGTACAGACTGAACTGTCAACCTACCCCGGAAGAATGAGGGGCGTCCATATCCCCGTCGCCATTGCCATGAGAGCTCCACAAGACCGGGGGCGCTGAGTGGATGGGTGGGCAATGCGTGCAGCTGGCCATCTAGCCGAAAAGGACAAAAAAAATAAGGGACCAGGAGCAGACGACGGAGACGGGGTTCGGATGGCGCCTTAGCGAGAGGGGGTTCCTGAGGAAGAAATGCTCGTGCAGCTAGGTAGGCAGGCATTGTAATGGCATACCATAATGCAGCACTCGCTAAACGTCTTCGCCGGAATACCTGCAAGATCCTCCAAAATCCTCCATTCGCATTCGCCCTGGACTAACAGCCCTGTGAGAGTAGGATGTCTACGCTTCACCTTTAGGCTTCGTAGCCTTACAAGGAAAAAATAAAAGGTCAGAGTCACTGCTACGTGTGCTTGACGATAGACCCATTGTACCTACAGGGCCGAAGGCCCGGTGTCTGGGTCGAGAGCTTTCGTTGTTCATTCCCAGCACCCAAACCGACAAGGCCGGATGCAGGCTCTTACACTCAGTCCACAAAGGCCATCGCACAGGCTAGTTCAAGGAAACATGGGCAAGGGTACAAGAAAAGACCCTCAGGGGTACGAAATGCTTTCGGCCTGTTTGCATGGTAAACGAGAACGAGGCCTTAGAGTCCGGAAAAGCGTGGACAGAACACGAGGTATTTCAAGGGGTAAAGCACTTATGCCATGCAACGTAAATCGCAGATTTGTCTAAGATCTATGTGAGCAAGCGAGTCTAGCATGATGTGAAAGTTAAAAAAAAAGTGTCTCGTTGGAACCAGAAACTCCAGCATGGGTCTAACAGCGCACAATGGGTAGTCATCCGGAGCCCTTAGTCTTTAGCAACTGCAGGGAAAACATTTTGAAAAGATAGAACTCGGAAACCAAAGGAAGCAAGAAAAAGGAAATCAGAAACGAGAAACAGGACCTAACACTTGAAGGGAACACTCCCAAAATAAGACGAACAATGCTAGGCCCAAATCCACACCCGAACACCGAGCCGATTTAAGACACCGAGACATTAGGCCGCTTCCGCCGCATGGATCTTTTCGGCTTCATCGGCATTGAGCTCACCCTTCCCTTCGCCATCCCTGTTCTCCTTCTTCTCACCCTCCAGCTTCGCAATCACCATCTCTTCCACGACTTTCATCCCCGCCTCTTCACCCTTCTTGCCTCCTTCCTCCTCACCGGCAACACGTTGATCAAGCGCCAGCTTCGTCTGACCTAGAGCATAAATTTGTTCCTCAATTGTACCTTTCGTGACAAGTCTCACGACCTCAACCTCTCTCGTCTGGCCCACACGGTGGGCCCGATTCTCCGCCTGGATATCATCCTGCGGATTGAAGCTCGAGTCAAAGATAATAACCTTATTAGCGCAAGCTAGGTTGATTCCGGCACCGCCTGCCTTTGTCGAGAGCATGAATACGGGGACATCAACTTGTTCGTAGAACGCATCGAGGATTGACTGCCGGTCTTCGACAGAGGTGGTGCCGTCCAGGCGGAAAAATCGGATCTCCAAAGTCTCTAAAACTTGCTCCAGGATGTCCATGACCATCGTGAACTGCGAGAATATCAAAATTCGGTCTCCGTTCTCCGTATATTGCTTGAGCAGTTCGCACAGCTTCTCAACTTTACCAGAGTTCATCCACTCGTCGTTCTTCAGAGCGAATTTACCCAAAGAATCGGAGTTGTTTGCGCACAAAGTATGACACTCGAAATCATTATATGGTATTAACTCTTCATAGATCGCATCCGGATCCGACATCGCCCACTTTGGATCCTTTAAGCAAGCCTTTGAGATCCGACTTAGTGTCTTGTCATCGTAGTGACGACGATAAAACAACGGGTGAATCGCAGCCTGTCGCAGTTTCATAAGAATATTTGTTGATTTGTTTCCAACCTTCTTGCCAGCTGCGCGTTCAGCAATGATACGACGAACTGTTTCCGTCTCGTTTTGGTAAATCTCTTGCTGCGCATCATTCATTGTGCAATATTCAACCCGAGTAATTTTAGGCGGCAAATCAATCACTTGATGTTTCTTGCGGCGAAGGACAAAAGGAGTAAGCATGGACTTTGCTCTTGCGATTCGCTGTGCTGATAGTAGAGCGGAATGGGTGTCAATCGTTTTGGCTTTTGCGCTGAAAATATATTCAAGATCATCTTTCCGTTCCTTGAACACACGAGGTAGAATGAATCCCAATAGGGAAGCCAGCTCCTGGAGATTGTTTTGCAGTGGAGTTCCTGTGAGAAGGAGGCGAAACTGCGCAGGAATGCGAATAAGTTTGTTGTAAAGCTGGGATTTGCTGCTCTTCAGCATATGTCCTTCATCGTACACACAAGCGCAGAAATCCATTGAAGCGAGAAACGCTGCGTCAACCTTGGCTTTGGCAATGGTGTATGTAGTGATGACAACATTGATATTATCACGGTTTGTTTCGATTTCATCGCGGATAAATGCTCGTTCCTTTAGACCGGCGTAGTATGGCATGACATTCAGCTTTGGACAAAAGACTGAAAATTCGCGAAGCCAATTCTCCAGAGTAGACGATGGGACAACAACAAGATGAGGACCGTTGACACCCTTTTCGAAAAGATGAGCGAGGAAAGCGATGACCTGACAAGTTTTCCCCAAGCCCATGTCATCAGCAAGAATGCAGCTTAGTTTCTGTTCGAAAAGCAGGCTTAGCCAATTGATCCCCACGATCTGATAATCCTTCATTTTAATGTTCTCGCTCATGATGGAAGGCTGTCCAATGAACTTCTTCCCGCCAGATTCACTGCTTTGACTGGAAGGAGTGCCAACGCCGGAATCGTGAGAAGAACGCGGTTTGTCCAAGGAAACCAACTCCAACTCTCCCGCTGTCTTAGCACCGAAGATATCGACGCCCCATTTTTTCATCTCATCAGCAATGGGTTTGCCCAAAGCTTCGCATTGCTTGACAAGTGCATCAACGGCTTCATAGCCAGTCCACATGTCGATACACTTGTCAACGACTTTGTCGCCCAGCGGCTTCTTCGGTTTCCGGCTTTTCGTTACTTTGGGCTGAGCTTCTTCAACGGAAATTTTGCGCACTTGATCCAGAGAGGTGAACGGACGTTTGGACATAAAATGGGTAGTAAGATCAGGAGTAAGTTCGGCAATATCGGCAAGGTCATCTGCAGAGCAGGTGTTGAAGAATTTTAAGACCTTGTCTTGAAGCGAGCCGTCGTCCTCCGATTCCTCGGGAGCGGAATCTGATGAATCGGACTCCACAAGAGATAACGCAGAAGACTCTGATTGAGAGGGAGAACGGTTCCTTCTACCTCTAATGAGCCGCCCGGGTTTCTTAGTAACCCCAGCATTAGTCGGTCGAATAGGAGAAGAAATAGGAGAAATTTGACGAGACCTAGTTCCTCTAATCAATCGACGGCGTGACTGGGCAGGTTCAGCATTGTTTGGCTTTTGACCCATTCGCTGACCAGCCGCCCACTTATCTTGGATACGAGTTCTTGCTTTGATCTGCTGTTTGGCGGGGACAGCTGCTGGGGCACGTTTGTGGTCGAGACTAAGCTCATCTTCAGAGGTAATAATGTTAGGAGCAGAATCTTCCAATTTCCCCATATAATCCACTGCGTCTTCATAATTTCCTTTTTTCTCAAGCAACGCATCTAAGCATGTTTGGATGGACTTGTTTGGAAAAACGTTGCGAATCCGTTCGACCTTGATTCGAATATTGAAATCTTCTATGTCCGCAAGCTTGAGGGCGTTAGGAACAGGCGAGCTGGGGTGGCTTCGCGGTCGTTTCGCTGAAGGACCTTGAGGGGCACTAGTATCTGCCTGTCGCTTGACGGGGGGTTTGTTCGTGGCGCTTGGGTTGTAGAATGCCGCAGCGGTGATCTCTTTGAACTTTGCCGAGCTGCTTGCAGCCACGGGCGATTCAGCCACACGTTCTTTCTCAAGGGTTTTAGAGGCTTTAATGAAAGTAGAGGGCTTGATATCAGTCGCTCCGAGGTGTTCGTCATCATCTGAGGAGCCACCGCGGTAGGTAGGCCCATCGTCCTCCAAATCAATCACGGGTGTTCTCTTCACCGGAGCCGCCATGGCTGGAGGGCGAAAACGAGTACCACTGGGTGCGATGGAGGTAGATAGCGTTCCGGGTTTAGGGTAGAGAGTAGAGGTAGACGGAGCCAGGGGGGAGGAGGTAGCAACTTGGACGACGGGAGGATTGCGAAGAGGAGAACTTTGTGGAGAGGTTGCACGTTCGATTAATTGTGTGGGTTGAGTCATTCTTTGAGTGTACAATGGGGCTTGTGCGGGTATTGTGGACGATTGTGTTGCTGGCGCTTGGAGGTGTGGATAGAGCGGGACGGTCGCAATAGTCTCATCTTCGGAAGAATCCGATTCTGGAGGTATTGACTCGCCAGCAAGGGCGCCCTTGCGAATGGGAGTATCAAGAATGCGGTCTATCATGGTGAATAGAGTTCCGCTTTGGGCAGTAGATTCAGCAGTTAGGGAGATGGGAGGACGCAATTATCTGCAGAACATTTGGGTATCAAATACTCTGTACATAATATGGAATAAAAAAGACCATTGAAAAGTGTGAATGGAAGCAGATCTGACAAAGCTCAGGTCTGCACTGCCTGAGGGGTCACTGGACAGTGCACCTGTCCTTGCTGGGTAGGGATGAGGTGAGGTTGAAGTCAGACTGACTGCAGCGGAAAAGATATGGCTGGTGCTGCTCTCCACAATTTTCACGTTCTGCACGGCCGCTTCTGCCGCTGCTCTGCGGTGAGTGGCGCGTGGAAATGGAGCCGCAAGACGCGCCGCCACCAAAACACGCAGTCACGTGGTATTAAAGTGGTCTTTTTTTGTTTTTCATTCAAAAGGCATTGATTGGGCTTGACGTAGAGGAAGAGTCCCAATCACCACTGGTAACAGTAGTATTGGGATGAAAGATGATGTCCAGAGCATTGATTCACACTTTGTTGTTACTGTTGGCTGCACAATATCAATTGAAAAAAAGAAAAAAAGAAAAAAAGAGGTAGCTAGGCTTGCTATGGAGTAACTACGTCTGCATTCATGTGCTACATATCCATTCTCAGCTGAACATACCCTGTAGATAGTACTGTATGTATTGTAGTGGCAGTAGGCAGTGGACTCCGCAAAGTCTTCTAGGATGTGACATTCATACGGAGTAGTGGGCTTCTAATATCTATGTGCTTGTAATCCTGGCTCTCTACTCCGTAGTGATGAAGGCGATCTGCCCGGATTCCTTGTAGCTGTGCTGACAGCAGCCTTGAGAGGTCAGCACCTATAATTTCAATGCAGCTATAAGAAGACGAGCTACATGTAACTGCTACATATCGTCAATTGGATCTGAGCGCGGGCTGTCCGGCGGGATAATGACCACGATGGTGATATCCCGTTCGTGATGCCATTCGACGGGTGATGTTTCTGGATCCGGCGCCGAGAGCTGGGGCCCAAGCAGCGCCTAGACCCAATGAAGCTAGCGACACCCGCGGCGCCCAGGCCCGCCCGGATGGAGCTTCCAAGATCCCCCAACTTCTAGGCTCCACCAGCACCAACAGTTAGTTCCAACGCCAGCAACTCGTTGCGACGGTAAACGAAAATACCACCTTGTTGAGAAAAAAAATTCCCCGAACACCTTTCCACCCTCCCTCCCTTCTCTCCAAGTTAACAACCAGATCTTTAGAATAACTAACCTGCCACTCACCCCAATCCCGTCCAAGCCGCCCAGCAATCCAAAGCAATCGCATAGCAAAAGAAACAACAGCGAAAAATGGCAACCCGCCGCAACCCCACCAAAGAATCCATCACCACCTCTCCTCCTCCCGACCAGCAACCACGACAGCCTGGCGAACTAGAGCACCGCGAGGCGATCCAACTCCGCGACCTCCCCGGCTACCCTCAGTAACGTTCTCCTCTTCCCTTTCAAGACAAAGGTTCCCTACTCTTCCCTCTAACTGGCCCGCCCCTTCAGACAAGTCCTCTGGAAACTCATTATCTATTCCATCGCCGTCCTTGTCCTCCCCCTCTCCGCCTATTTCTACAGCGTCAATTATGTCTTTGATGGGAACACAACTTACGCCGGTGCCACGGCCGCGATCACGGCCAATCTCATCTTGTTCTCGTATATCGTTGTCGCGATGAGGGAGGATAAGGGGGATCAAGAGCAACTGCGGGAGCAGCAACAATTACGGGGAAACAAGGAAGAGACGAAGAAGATGAAGTGAACCGAAGATACGAGATGCCATTTTTTATATCTCTGTCTTTCCTTTTTTTTTTTTTTTTTTTTTTTTTTTTTTGCTGTGTAATATTGCAGAGTATGTACTTGATCATGGGAATGGATGGAATGGGCGCGTATATATTTTGGAATAATTGACGGTCTGTTGCATTCTTGGTGTCTCTTTGATAACTTTCGAGTATAACTTGAACATGAGCTCTTGATAGCTAAGGAATTGAGACATTTGAATCGCAAGGGAAAATTGACAAACCCCATGTTCAATGTTTGTTGGTCTCATAGTACAATCTTCATTAGCAAATAGGTACATTCTCATGCGTCAAAAGCCGTATAACCATCTCCCTCGCAAACGATCCCAGATAGCTCAAGTCTCAAATGCCGCCGATGCACCAATGTGTTTTAAAACGAGTCACCTTTGAAAAGATACCCTTGGAAAGCAATTTCAACAAATTCATAACCCCCCCCCCCCCCAACCCTAATAGTCGTTTCCCCCGAAAAGCAAAACAACGCAGAAGAAAAAAAAAAAGTACATAGTCATCGTGAAATCCAGCTCTCCAAACCCCGAACCCAGGCCATTCCGGACGCAAAATGAAAGGCATCAACAAAGATATGTAAAAGGAATTGAGTGGCAATTATCCCATACTCTCAAGAAGGCATAAACATCAGGAAAGAGAACACAAGAAAAACAAAAACACAAAGAAAGGCAAAAAAGGATCACAGCGGAGAATAACTCAGAAAAATTCGAATACCCATTCTTTCGCTATTTCCCCGAATCCACCCACCCGAGCAATAGCATTTGATCAGATTCATCACGCATCAAGTAGGAAAAGAAAAGAAATCGTATCTCGTGAGATTAAAAAAGCAGATAATAATCTTCAGCCCAAAGTTAAGATGGCAACACCTCTGTCAAGATCTTGGTTACCTCACATTTAGCCCTTGCTAAGTCGTTTGAACCAGCTCTTCCGCTTCTCGGTCGATATCTTTGCTTTCTGCATGAAAGAGTCCTTGCGAGCAGGTTCGACGGTGACTTGGGTTGTCTGCTTTGGCGGAGGTGCAGGGGCGAGTGCTTCGCTGGCATAACCATCTCTCTGCGTAACCCCATTCGTGTGGTTTGCACTAGATGATCCGTTGCTCAAAGATTGGAAAGGTGGCTGCGAGTTGTTCAACTGGGGATCAGTGCCGAATCCTGTAAATCCGTAAGCTTCTCCAATTTGTGCCTCGATTTTCTTCTGTTGCTGCTGTTGTAACTGCTGTTGGAGGTGCTGTAGCTGCGGTGGTTGCGATGGCTGCTGTTGATATGGTTGCTGCTGCAGGCCGTCTCTAGAGCTACTCAGGGAACTCGGGTCGGTAGACTGAGCTAAATGGTCCATGGAATGGTTTCCGGAGCCGGAGGCAGATCCACTATCGTACGACTGATATTGACCTTGCTGCTGTACGTAACCGTTTTGTGGGGGTCCCCATTGGTCGTTGTGCGGGCGTCCCGCGTGACGTGGGCGGCGAGGCTGGGCGTCATGGTAGCTATTGTACTGGTTATGGCCAGAGTCACCGTATGCATCGACATAACTATCCCGTCTTGACTGAAAACCGCGAGTGTTATAGTGATTGTTTTGGTCGCTGTAGCCGCGTGTTGGGAGTGTAAGATTGCCGCGAGGATCTGTGACGGCATTCAAGTTAATTTAGGACACACAGGCGATGTCGAAACCGCCTCCAGCAGCAGCAAACATACCTCCGAAATAGCTAGTTGGGCGACTCTGACCATTCACACTGTCATCTATAGGGACGTTAGTACCCTGTATTCTTCCCCAATTCATCGTCATATTACCTCTGGCGTAAGAGAGTCTACGGCTGTTGTAAGTTCCATCGATTGCCGCCTCAAATGCCCGGATGGTATCAAGAGGACGCTCGAAGCGATGGCGCGTAGGATTCGAAAGGTCAGGATCCGCTAGAATCACAAAGAAAAAGAAGTCTCACGTCAGCAGCCCTATCTCGGCAGAAACCCATATCTCTCGCCATACACGCGTAGAGCACACTCACTGATGACGTTGCCAAATCGATCTTTATGCTGGATACCACGCAGAGACTCCAAGTTCGACTTCTCCAATGCAATCGCCGCTGGCCGCGCGTTAGCATCATATACCAATGAGATACGGAAAGAAAAAAAATAAAAAATAAAAAAATAAAAAAGAAGAAGGCAATAAGAAGAAAAGTGCTTCTCGACATACATGGCTGAGCTTCACTGATTGCGCGAGTGGGATCGGCATGAGTATGGATTCTATTTGCTTCTTTCTCCCTGTGACTCTCGATCAGGGTAACTTTAGGCTTAGAGTCACGGCTCTTATGCGTCTTGGAGCTCTTTTCCGACTTGTTGCTGGTAAAGCTCATCATACGATTATGCCTGGTAGTTCGGTCCGGGGGTGCAGCCATGGTTGATGGGCGCAAGGGCGAAAGATGGGAATGAAGATGATGAGTTTACAAAGTTGATATGGCCAACAACAAAAAGAATGTTTGTGGATGGAACCAAGAGGAAGAAACTGAATGAATGATGAAACAAGTGAAAATGTTATCCTTGGTGAAAGCTGTGAAAAAGAGTTCACGACCCCAGCAACGAGCGAGCGTGCGGCAAAGAATGATGCAAAGACAAGCCGCAGGCAGGATCAAGCCGCAAGTGACCACAACCGGGGGAAATCAGCCCAATGTGTGGTTATCTGGATGTGATAGGATGAGCGGTAGCGCCGGCATGGTACTGTGTGGCATCTGTCTCAGATATCGGATGGAGAGGGAGGGGGCTCCAAACTTGGCCGATACTAGGAACCAGTCGGGGAAGAACCAGACGTCAAAAAAGTCAGATAACTAGCTAAGAGGCCCAGGGGCAAACAGAGAGGTTGCTGTTGGTCAGCAATTCTGGAAACATCAAACTGAACCAGAATTGGGTCAATTGCATGGTTATGTGCGACATTTTATATTATTTCTTGTTGACCAGCACACATGGCTGGGTGTATGCGTGTATGTGTGGAGGTTGGCGATGAAAGAGACGATCCCCAGCCCACGGATAAGCACAATCAGCGACCAAAAAATCAGGCCAGCATCCCTGGAACACGTAAGCGGCGGACTTGACAGCTTCGACACAGGTTGCGAGCGCCCGCCAAAAATTGGCAGCGCTGCCAGGTCCAGGGCGTCGCCCGTTGTGGTTGGCCGCTGCACACACACAAACCAGCCAAACATGCCAGCCCGGAACCTGCCAAGGCCGAGGGTTGCCTCGCTGGGAGTCTGGAGCGTTACAGGCGCCGTACGGGTAGAAGACACCCCGACGCCCCTCCCCATAGGTGCTGTTCTAAAGGCATCCCCAGCGCCTATAAGGCCCCGACGCGCGCCCCTCCCCCCTCCCCCCCCCGGGCGGGGCGGCTGTCGGGGACCGCATCGACGTCACGTCCTCAGATTTCAGCCAAGCTTACGGAGGACTAGCGTGCAGGAACGCCGATCGGTCGCCAAGTGAAGTTTCCGAGCGCATCCTGGCCTCGACGAATGGTTCGAGCACATCAACCAGATCGTCTGCAGGCCGTTAATTGTGAGATCGCCGACGCATCCGCCGACTTTCACTGTGAGTACCTAACCTTCTCACTTAGCCACGTGTTTGGATGAGCGCGTACGGAACGGCAGGACTTGGGGTCTCGCGCATGCCCCAGTACGGAACCTTACGGAGTACCTTCACAACGTTGCGCAGCTTCTCCGCCGTGCACGTTCGCATTTCCTCTCTTTTAACTCTTATTTTTGATGATATTAGTGCTCTCGGTGGGGTGAGCAAAGCCCAGACTATCTCCAGGCGTGCAGGAGTGAAAATAAAACAGTGGGCTGGGAACCCAGGGTTCACCATCAAGCAATACCCGACTGACGAGTCGTCCCCCACCGTCCCGACGCCAAATGTTTGCAGCACACCTATCCGACCAGGACAGCGGAGGGAAAGATCGGCGATCGAACATATGAGTGTCCGAGTCCTGAAAAATCTCCGAAGCATGAAGTCCATAGCTACTCCGTACATTTTGCGTATACTCCGTACGCGCGTTACAGTGCCTGGCACATTACGTACAGCACCTGTGGATCTTGTCTACACCTGTTATCTATATTAATTCGCGCATCCACCGCTATTGATTCAAATTGAGAGCGGAAATTTGCTTATCAACGAGACTTATATCACGCGTAAAGCAGACACACAGGGCTTAGGTTTTTTCAAAAGAGTGACATATCAAATAGTGAAGGACGAAGGCACCTCACGCATCAACCTAACTCCGACAGCTTGTGTGACAGGTAGAGTTGGACATAACCACAACATGGAAAGCAAATCAAATACTTTGATGTCCCTGCAAAACCGCAGGGTGCTCATTTACCAGCCGTGAAAGTCCCGGATGAAGGCCTCCGGAAGGGTAGAAAATTGCATTAGCTGAGTGGCTTCTTTGATTTCTTCAAATGTATTCGGTTTGTTCTTTTCTTTATTGACACATGGATCTCGTCAAATTAAAAAAAAAGAAATGGAGTCTGGGTAAAGACCAGACCCAAAGGGGAAAGAGATAATAAAGCGGAGAAAGAGAGGAACAACAATCATAGCCAGAGGAAAATGCAATCACATCGGGCATTATGGCCCCGTTTGATTTCATTAAAACATCAACAAATAGACGGCGCCACCCATTTCCATCTAGGGGACTGACTCCTCGTCGATGCTTCTTAGCCCGGAGGAAGAGGGACAAGATAGAGACAAAACTGATACCCATATAAACCGGAAAAATTGCGAGCGTGGAAAAAAAATAAATCCCTATTTGGTCCTGACTTCAGACGGGTTGTGTCTCCTGATGCCGTTCTTTTTTGCGCTTTTTCTCAAACTATGTAGTCTGGTCCCTTTTTCGCCCCGCAGGTCTGTCTGCTCCACCCTAATCAGGACTGTGTCGATTTACCAAACAAACCCCTTTTCAACCACCCACACCTCCGCCCGGCAGCCGATCGATTTAGATGGAAGAAGGGTAGAGCATGACTCTGACGGAAGCACCGAAGGTCTTGGGGGGGAGATTGTGTCTGAACTGAGCACGGACAACGCCGGAGTTTCCTGGACATGGCTCTTAGTACCGAGGATGGAATATTGGATCAATCACGAATTAGTGGGCAGTGACGTACCGTGTGGCCGGGTGACCTTGCCCCAGATGACTCTGATCTTGGATCCCTGCACCTCACGCTTTGCCCGGTAGACGAATGCGACCTTCTTGCCCGCATAGAAGCTAACAAACGAAACAAATCTGTTTAGCAACCCAATCTTTCTTTCTTTAATCTGTACAAAATGCGTGTGGATGTATTTACCTGGCAGCCTTGGAGTCATCAACACCCTCAAGCTTGATAAGGCTGGTGTTGGGGTTGGTGTTGCGCTTGCCGCGCTGGTAGCTCAGGTGCCGGCCCCTATTCAACATCACCACCCGTCAGCACATGCTCTTCACATATATCCTCGCAATCCACATGTCATTCGTGTCGTCTTCATTTCCTGCACCCTAGCCGATCAACCCTTGAAAAAGGGAGCACGAAGGGTCGCTTACTTCACATATACTAGACACGCAGAAACAGAATATGTTAGCGCACAGATCTCCAATTGAAAAAGAGGAAAGACTCCTCCGGAATGTATCTTTCCCAGTTCCAATCTCATCGCACACGATCCATCGGCGATATCCAATTGCATCCGCAAACCCCCATCCCCACCAAAACACCCCAGCACAATCAAACAAGCGGGGAAAGGAAAATGCATCCAAAAGGGGCGCACTCACATCTGTGTCCGTGAGCGGAAGGCATCTTGACTGTCTTGTTTCCTCTGGCGCGCAAGGAACGAAACAACTGGCAGATCCGGGGAGGAGTGTATCCAGCAAGAGGCAAGTCTTTCTCACGCCTGCTGAATATTAATCCGTTCGAGGAGAACCGCGGGGAGGCGTGGTCGTTGGGTGAGAAGCAAAGGTCGTCGCTGCGTCGTCGAACGTCCAACACACAAGTTCGGCGAAGGTCGAAATGCAGTTGTGGTGCTTTCGGTGCGGCACGCCTAAACCCAATTAGGAGATTAGCGAAGCCCTAATTATGTAATCAGAGCGTTGCCCACGGGACCCGCTGTATGATTGGCTGGACTTTGGGGTAACCGTTGTTTGCTCTGTTTGCATGCTACACTCGTTCGCTTCTATTTAAAGCTGCCCAAAACGTTACTTGTCCTGGTGTGTTTAAAACAGTGCTGGTGATGGAATACATTTGGCAGTCAATTGAGGCGCTGGTGGTCTTTTGCTTTACTGAACTTTGCTTTCTTTTTGATTTAGCAGACGCGGTCCTTGGCCATTTTCTGCTAATTTACTGAAGCAAAACGCAGTGGAGGTCTCGTCTCCTCGTTCCGTTGCCTACCACTAAAGCAGGTGGCAGAGGCTTCAAGAGTAGAGAGGGTTTCATTTCATCTTTAGGAACAATTTTTCTCTCATTTTCCTAGGCATGTCCAACTTAGCAGGCTGATACCTTGTCTCTATGTTACTCTCCCGGATCGCAAATTCTTTTGGGATGCGATGCTTTGTCCCTAGCAAACTTGGCCCCGTTTTGAAGGCCTTTGCCATTGTCGTCTGAGGCTGCACTTCTTGCTCACTCTCAAGCTTGGATATCGCTCTGCTGCAGACCACCAGAGCAGCTCAGGGTTTATGAAAACCCCCCTTCCCATTTAACTCATCTTTCCTTTAGATATCTGGCGCATGATTCTCCTTCATTCCAGGCTCCTTTTCAGATAACGTCATCGCTAGGCCCCCCCCAAACAAAAAAAACCAGATTTCCCACATCCAGATTTCCGTTGCTGCCTGTTGTCATTACAAGGGCACCAGCTGAGTTTCAAGGAAAACCTCGCTGCGGAGGCCTACTACTACTACCACCACCACCACCACCACAGTTTGTTCCCTTTGCTAGAAGCCGCCGCTAGTAGTATTCTTCCTCGTCAGGACTTCGTACCACCGGCCTCGACGAGCAGATATAACACCGGCGGACGGGGCTTCATAACACATCACAGAACTCACAACCCACCTCTCTCGCTCAACTACGGCAGCTGGACCTGAATCAAACCACCGATCATCAACGGTCTACTGAACTATGTGTCGTGTCGCCTGGAACTCACGTCAGTCCTGAGATGCCACACACCGCTCCTCCTCGAGCAAAATTGGCCCATGAGTTAACTGCTATGATAGTTCCATCGCTGCGGGTTGGAAATTGCGCGTCTTGGTACAAGTTCGGGAGGGGTGCAAGTGTTGTCTTCGGGACTTCTGACGTGTGGCCCTTGAATAGAGAGGGTTGCCAATATGTCGGCGGAAGCTTCAACATCCCCCAGTGGGCTCCGGATGGGGGTTTTAATTATTTGGGAATATGTATATACACATGTATATATATATCCCAAGAAGTTGATCAGGCATTAGATTTTAAAACAATTTTTATTTTAATCTCGATCCAAGAGATGGTTTAGTTACATGCGTGCCAAAATGTCTCGTGTGCAGGCCTCCCTTTCCACCAGACGCACGTAACAAAGCCGATAGTTAAAACAAAAAAAGAGAAAACGACATCGCACGTAAGTCGAAGATGGAAAATGATTCAGAACGCCGAAGGAAAATGGTATCCACAGAAGAAGGAAATAGGAAAGAAAGAAAGCAAAAAAAAAAAAAAGGCAAAATAACCCAAGCCAAATGACGGATTTTAGATCGTACAGTTTCACACGAACAACGTTGAAAAAACATGGGGCGAGCAGATATGAGAGCAGAGAGAGATATTCCAGTGCCAAGTAACCCCGAAGAGTGCCTAATTACTCTGTACCGCGGGCGGGGAGTTACCCATCCAGAGAGGAATGCACCCTTACCTCCTTGCCGAATAAACAAAACCAGAACGAGGGACTTTACCACGCCCGATATCCGGAGAATAACAATTCCGAAAACGCCAGTGAAACATAACCCCCAATGTGACCCAATTCAAAGTGCGAAATGCAGTTGGAAAAAAGGGAAAAAAAAAAAAAAAAAAAAAAAAAAAAGAGGTACAACAGAACGTTGTAAATATGTATATAAAGAATTAAAAATGTTCTTTCAGATCATTGACATTACTCAACTCTGAGTCTCTTTCCCGCGCCAACGGGTTCTGCTATGGCAGATCCGTTGTCGGGACTTTTCCGTTTCCGGTCCTGCTCTTCCCCTTCCTTGACCAGTCCCGGGCCAGACTGCATCACGGGTGTTGGGAACGTAAGCGGACTGGGTAACATATTACTATCTGGACCCGTTCGTCCAAAGCCCCATTCGGGATAGAAGCTCGACGGCGACGGTAGCAGAGCGTCGGAAACGAAGCGGCTTGGTAGGGCAGATACGGGAGTTTCGATGTTATTAGTGTTGCCATTATATGCGGCACCGCCTTGCGGGACAGCGCCTGGGGGTGGTGGTCTCGCGAACGGGTTTGGCGGGCCATGTGCACCAGCGCTCAATAAAGCGCTGGCGGACGGCGACGGTGGAGGAAGCACGACCGATGGGTGTCCTGTATCAGAGCCACCTTTCGCTGGAGTAGTTCCGTTAGCACCAGATTCACGGGCGGATTCCTCTGTGCCTTCCCCTGTGTCGGAATGTTCGCTGGGAATCTGGACCGTCAACCGTGGTCGTTCTTTGACACTGGTTATGCTGTCATTTCTGGTCATCGGGGGAATATCTGGGATTGAAGATAACGAGTGTGTCCTCTGCGGGTTGGGAAGCGATCTCGGGGGAATCGGGGCTGTAGGCACCCTCGGTGGTGGAGCAGACGACTTTCCAAGTTTCTCGGAGTCATGCTTGATGGCTTGTGTTTCGCTCTTTGGTGATTCGACGGGTGGCGCAAATCCGAATTGCTGAGCTAAGATAGACCCTCGATCATCAATTGGGGTGAATATGCTTCTGGACTTGGTTGGCTGCGGTCTTGGGGGCGGAGACGACCCACGCTCGACCTTCGTTTCAGGATGATGCTGAGGTAATTGCTGGTCAGCGTGAGACGGGCCATGCCGTTCCTGTTGCGGGAAAGCGGGGGGCATCGATTGTCTCCGTTGCTGCTCTTGCAGGTACGTATGATGAGGTAATGGGGGGTGCTGCGCGGGTGGATGTGGATGGTGTTGAGCATGAGGATGAGGATGGGAATGCTGAGGATGCTGAGGATGCTGGGGATGCTGGGAATGTTGTGGATGTTGTGGGTGCTGTGGGTGCTGTGGGTGCTGCGGATGCTGGTGGTGTTGTTGCGGTATTTGGGGCGGCATGTGTTGGTGTGGCGGGTGATGAGGTGCCGCTGGCGGAGGGTGTCCTTGGTGTTGTGTCACAGATGATGGTGGTGGTGGCGGCGGGGGGAGTGGTCTTGCATATTGGTACTGTCCTGGTCTAGGTGGGTGTTGCGGCATATTGGAGTTTGCTTGTGGGTTATAAACGGGTCCATTCGGCATATATGCATAGCCGTTTTGGGATTGGGGAGGAGGAGGAGGTGGTGGTGTAGCATGGTGATGTTGTGGAGGAACCAAACTGGAAGTGACTGCAGGAACAGTATTCCGAGACGAAGGCCTCGAGCCGACACTGGCGGGCTGGGGGGTCGCGTTCCGTGCATGATATTGGACGCCGTTCGGTATGGGAGGAGACACGGACGGAGTGTGATTTACATGTTGAAAAGCTGGCTGATGCGGTTGGGGAGGAATTCCATTGTTGTGGGGTTGTTGAGGCTGGGACTCATCCGGTGGTGGCGAAACATCCTCTTCATCGTCATCGTCAACGTTCTGCTTACCTGCAAAGTCGGCAGGCCCCTTGTGTTCATGTGCCTGGCCATACTGCAAGAAATATTTTAAAGGGTCAGCGCGAACTCCCGCAGGGAACGCAGTCGAGTAAGGAAAAGCAAAGCAGCTCACGTATTGGTATCGTCCTAAGGTCTCTTGGATATCTCCGGACGAAAACTCGTAGAGCTTCTTATTATGACCGAAGATGATGACGGTGACGTCGACGGAGCAGAGAACGGAGAGCTCGTGGGCTTTCTTGAACAGACCGCCCTTGCGCTTGAGGAATGTTCTGAGAGCAGGAACCCGAGAGTCAGCAACCCGTATGAAGCACAAGGCCCTTTTTTTTTTTTTTTTTTAATTTTGTTTAGTTTTTTGGATGGCACCTACACAGATCGATTGCGGTCATCCTTGATAGCTTTGATTTCAATCTTTCTTCGGCCCATTTTCTTGCTTCTTCTTCTTTGGCGTGCCTCGAGACCTCAACAGGCCTTTGAGCTCTGTAGCTAGTCCCCTATGCACTAGAGCTTGGAAGAGGGACACCCTAGGGTTTATGTGGCGAGCAAGAGGAAGTGGCGAGGAATTAAGGGAGTCAAGCAGCTGTAAAAGTTGACGGAGAGAGCCAGACAGGATTACAATGATTAGGGAAGACTGGAGGTGGAGAGGGGGTTGAGTGAATCTCCAGAGAGGGTTTGGGGAGCACGATGCTGCGTTGTGAGCAAGGAGGTTGGGGGGAGGGAGATAAGATGATAGGACGAGATGATTAAAAGACACAAAAAAACAAAAAAAAAAAAAAAAAAAAAAAAAAAAGGAAAAGGAAAAATAGAAGCAAAGGGCTAAGCAACCGAACGACGGAGACGATCGCGTGGAGAGAGAGAGAGAGAGAGAGAGAGAGAAGAAAGCCAGTAATAGCAGCAGGAGCTTGGATTCGGCGGGGAGGGACGTGCCGTGGTGTTGGCGGTGGTAAACAGCGGTGGTCGCAGCGGTGGTGGTTGTGGTGGTGGTGGGCGATGGAGATGGAATGGGGGGTTTCGAAAAAAAGGTAGACGCGGGACGTTCTAAAGATAGATATAAGTAGTAGCCCAGCAGTCAGAAGGGACAAGAAAGAAATCCAGAACGGTGGGAGATTGCAACTCGACACTCAAATTAAAAGCGAAAATTCATCAGCAGCGCCGGATGTGGAGCAACCCGTTGGCTGAGGTAAGCTGGCCGCCGCCCAATCACGAATTTCCGCGTTTTCGATTGGCTGACTCTCGGCGCCGAGTCAAATACGACGGATCTCCGCGCAGTCACCCTCTGATTGGCCAATTTACACCATGGTCCCCCCCCCCTGCCCGACCGCCAATTGGACCATCGCGCGCTGGGCCCCGTTACGGTCTAGCGACGTTTCATGGGCCTGCAAATTGCCGTGCAAGATCGCATTCCGCGCCCTTCATTGGCCGGCCCTCGTGCGCCAAGCCTTTATCAAGTGGACGCTAAGGCCGGCATTAAGCGACGCCGCGCACGCTGACTGGCTGCTATTTATATCGCGTAATTTCCGGCCCTTTTCTGCAATCTGCCAGCTGGCCGTCCGCGTTTAAACCCAGGATCGCACAGAGATAGAGAGTGTGTATATGTGTGTATGTGTGTTGGGAGAGCTTGTTCTCTTTTTTTTTTTTCGCCCCCAGCTCCCTGCTCACTGCCCGGACTCCAGACTCCAAACTTCCAACCCTACCCAGGGAATGATTCTGTAACCAACCCGCATATCCCAGTAGGATGTGAAGAAGCTGTACGGAGTGCGGACGGAGTATGGAGTCCTCTGGATATACGGGAGGAGTACGGAGCACAAGGTACAGGTACGGACAGCGAGAGCAAGAGTGCGTGCGTGCGTGCGTGTTTGTGTTTTTCATCCGCCAGACCTCGAGAAGGGGGGGGCGCATGTGGAGTTTCTCCAAGGTGATCACCCGGATACGAGCCCCATTCTTTTCCAGAAAAAGAGGCAAACAAACCAGAATCACTTGCGAGCGTTTGTCCCTTTTTTGTGGTTTTGCTTTCTCTCTCTTGCCTGCTTCCCTGCATGCATGCTGCCACCAGCCCCAAACACGCATATCCTGAAACATCCGCATGAGCCGACGAAGATTGGAGGGCTCGAGCCGGCGGTACAGCCCGTATCGACTTTCCCCAGCAAATACATGGTCAAAACCGCCCATTGGTACGGAGTACTCCTGCCAAAATCACATTGCTCAGTCAGCAGCTCCCGGCCTCGGATCAACGTTTGGCCGTTTCTCAACTTCTCACATCATCTTCCTCTTCTTCTTCTTTCAGGGTTCATGGTATTTTTCCTTTTTCTTTATTGCTATTGCTATTGAGAAGACATCCAGGTGGCATCCGCATTCTCAAGCAAAGTTGCACAGTGCTTAGCGGTGACCCCCTACTCGCTCCGTTCTTTGAATCGATCAAACTCCAGCCAAAAGCATCTTTCTCGCCTTTGACCTTACCTCTTCTTCTTCCTTCTCCGAGTCATTTAGTCTCGACCCCCGTCTTGTGGCCACACAGGCACCCTTTGTTGCCTTTATACACTTGACACTACATGGATATGCAGATATCGTCTACCGTCAGCCTAAAGGAGGCCGGATGCGTAGCGAGCAATTGAAGACGAATGGTCTGCATTTCCTTTCGAAGGCTTTCCCCATGACTAGGCAGTGTTAGCTTGAGTTTGTAAGATCAGCGGTATCAGCTACTTCATCTACGGAAGACTTTCCATTTGAATTCTCCTGTCGAGGTCATCAAAGACTAGAATAGCTACCATAGCTTGATCGGCACCTTCAATCACACGACCAGCCGACATTCATTGCGACAAAACGATTAGAAATGTGCTTTCCGCCTGTACTTCGTGCATGAATGGATGTTTGGAGATGTACTTCTTGGCTCTGACTCGGAACAGTGTGTTCAAAGATCTGATGCCTAAACCCCGTACTCAGTAGGCTGTGGTTCTGTCGAGCTTGACCGGGGGGTCCTCGCACTACTGAGATGCAGGGTGTAATTCGTAATGTGCTCCGGAAACATTCCATGTATGTATGTTAAGTACACGACATAGTAGCGCGTGAGACTTGAGCGTGTAGGGCCTGCAGTCCTCCCCTGCCTGCGAATGGGACCCTTTGCATATTCACAACACGCCCACATATATCTATGTATGTATTCACGTACATAATGTACGCAAGGGCAGGCCACATGTACCCGTCCACGGACCTGGAAAACCTTCTTGCTCTCTCACATTCTGCGAACCGTCCAGCGGAGACAAGAAACTCCACAACTATCTATGTTCCCTGTCCTATGTTAAAACCAGTGTTGTTGCTGCTGCTGCTGCTACTACTAGCCCCGAAAAATACCCCGGTCGCCGGGCAATGTATGGCTCCATACGTTCCTGCTTGCTCCCATGTGCCTTTCGAGAGGCTTCGTCTCCTTGACCCTCGGCAAAAGAGCCCCAAGGAAGGACGGGAAGGGGAGCTCACCCTGGCCGACCGACAAAAGAGGTTCGCGACAATCCCCGACAAAACCACGCCCTCCCTTGTCCAGCCTAAACCCCCCTTTGGCAAACCTGTGTCACTCCCATACATGCGCTAAATATCGATCGTCTTTGAGAAGTTCGGCCTTTTTTTTTTTTTTTCTTTTTTTCCAAAAAATGAAAGAGAAAAAGAGATTAAAATTCAAGAACGAACATGGGATAGTTAAATATAGTAGCAAAAACATCCCATCCCCACAACATGCCCCGGATCTCACATAGATGCATACATCCATCCATCCATCGATCAAGGACCCCCTCCTCACTAACTAACTACCCGCTCGCTTGCATGGTTAGATTACTTAACCTCCAACATTCACCGAAAACACCTCCATCATCACTGTCACCAACAACAAGCTCCACCGCGCATACTTGATATGTATGTAAATCATGATGTAGCTAGGAACTCTATATCCTCACCCTTGCTAGTCAAGTGCACAGAGCTCCCTCTCTCATCCTTTTTTGCCCCGTGCGTGCGATTCCGGCCGTGCCACCTTGGCCTGGCAGTTAAAAGGGACGGCAGAATATTCCCCTTGCCGATGTTTGTCCGGGAACTCGAAGACTATGTTACAAGTATAAGCAGACCCCCCGGTCGACGAGGAGCAAACAGACATTCAGGCCATGATTGATGCCTGGAAAAGGAGCCAAACCATTATCCAACCAATGATGGCAACGGACTTGCCTTCCACTCATGCCGTTGCGAATGCGACTGCCAGTATTCATTCTCATATGGCGGCTACGAGGGAGCGAAGAGTTGAAGGCATCAATGGGTTGCTCTCCCGCTTCCGTAACCAGAAGATGGAAGTTGTCACGGAGGTACTGCAGGGAATCCGGGCAGTGGCTCGATATCGACTCCGTTGACTGAGACGAATCTGCCCTTGGCTAGGTCTTTAATAGCAGCGAGAGCTGCATGGACAGTCTCATCTCTCTCGGTTTGTTGGAGGATGGTGTTGATTTTCAACTCCAGTTCAGCGAATATGTTGTTTTGGTCCATAGTAGTATTCAACTATAGATATAGTGTCAGAGCAAAAAGCAATCGGGACCACTCGTCCTGGTACGTCGTCTACCTAAGCCAATATCTTTGGTATTGTGAACGGAGATGAAGCAGGGTTTCTTCGTAGCGATAGGAGCTAAGAGGAAACGGAAAGCAGAGAGGGATATATAGGGATATATTTTGAGAAAAGCCTGGATCAATGACGCTGCTTGATGGTTCTAGCTTTGGCCTCTTGGTGACGTTGGTACTTGGTTTTTTTTTTTTTTTTTTTTTTTTTTTTTTTTGCTGGGTTCTCTGTCGGACCAAAGCCCTGAAACCCTAGAGTCTCCAAGCAAGCGCCAGAAGAGGATAAGCGGCGGTGGTAGCCCATTTTATCCCATCCTAACGGAGTTTCCCATGTTGGATGGGGAGAGTGATGCGTCGTACACTATTTCTCTGGTTCTTGATGTGCTAATGCATGATGGTGGTGGTGATTAGCTCGAAGAACCCGAAACACAAGCAGCGACAGGGGAAATAAACGATTTATTTGATGATGTGGTCTGGGTTATAGGGGGAGATTGACTGATGACCCGAAATCTCTGAATCCTTGGTATGTGAAAGATCTGCGTCATTGTGGAAGAGGCCAGAATGGAAGTTTGGTCTCTCGCGAGGTTCGGTCGTAATATCTCGTCTCTTCTCGTTGAGCCGGGATAAAGTTAAAGATCTTGTACATTAGCATTGATGGTTTGTATATGATTAACGAGGGAGCTCAGGAGGTGTTTGACCAATTTGGCATACCTTGGCGTGCTATGCCGGAAACAGCATGGTGGCATTCTTTGGAGTGGGTCCGCGTGGGACCGGCGGCTAACGCGACGGGAGCCGCCAAAGCCAAGCAAACCACAATTGGAACCATCTCCCAAGGACCAATGAACGGCTGCATCATTGTTCAAGCTCTTCCACCAGGCGCCATTGATTTCCTGTCGATTCTGCTCTTTGCGTTGGACTTCCTACTTAATGCCATAGACTAGCTTATTTGAATAAGACTAGTACAGAGGACCTGCTATGCAAACTCTGCGAAAACTGCAAGTTCCCAATATCCGGCCATCTCGTCTCTTCCTGCAGTCTTATCAGAGCCCTCCAATGGGGTCCAGGCTTCTGAGCTTTTTGAAAAAGTTTCGTCCCAACGTATCTCCAAGAGAAAACGAGAACGAGGAGTTTTTCCGGTATACGACCGGACGATGGCTCTGGCAAGAGAAGGAGCAAATGCTTCAGCGATATCGAAAGTTCGATGTCAACGAACTGAAAGTTCTCGCAGCACGGACACTGGGCTTAACTAATAAATGCATTAAAATGTCCAAAATCGGGGAAGGGAACTACAATAAGGTTTTTCGTCTCCAGATGGAAGATGGGACGACGGTAATCGCCAGAATACCTCACCCGAACGCTGGCCCAGCAACATACACTACGGCATCCGAGGTGGCAACTATGGAGTTTGTATGACCTCCAAATGACTCGACTGCCGAGAAAACAGGGTTTCTAACATTCGCTCCTAGGCACGATCTGTCCTAGGGATTCCCGTACCCAAGGTCTTGACCTGGTGCGCGACATCTGAAAACCCTGTGGGCTCCGAATATATTCTTATGGAGGAGGCAAAAGGCAGACAGCTTACCGAGGTTTGGGGTGATATGGAATTGGAGGACAAGAAAATCATCATAGAAGATATCGTGGCCCTGGAGCAAAAACTGCTTTCGGTTTCGTTCAGTTTGTGAGGCACAGCGAGAGCCCTTAGATCGGAATATGTTTGACCTGGAGGATTCGACTGACATCCTTGTGTAGGCTTGGTTCCCTCTATTTTGCAGAAGACTCCTTCCCCGGATGCGAAGCTGCGGAGGTGTCGAGTGACGTCCCGATCGACCTTAAAGACGACGTGAGGCGAAGATTTGTGATTGGACCTACTGCATTGAGAGAATTCTGGGAGAATGAGAGATCGCAACTGTCGATAGACCGTGGCCCTTGTAAGTTGGACGAGACTGTCCTGTGGATGTCTTTTTTCTATGACACTAAGCTCATTTATCTTTTGATTAGGGAAGTCCGCAAGGGACTATGTGGAAGCTATTGCCCACCGAGAAATAGCGTATATCAGCCAATATTCATCCTCCGCCGCAACCTCAGTACCTGGCTATTTGAAACAATCAAAAGCTCAACTATCGCCTGAAGAGCATATCAAACTGCTCAATAGGTATCTCGCTGCAATCTACTATCTCATCCCAAGCGATCCAGACCTAGTCCGTCCGGTGCTCTGGCATCCCGATATTCACGATGGCAATATTTTTGTCCATCAAGGCAAAATATCCAGTGTGATCGACTGGCAATCTACCTGGGCAGGGCCTTTAATCTTGCAAGCCCGTACCCCCCGACTAATTGATTACCACGGGGAAATAAAGTTAAAGCTTCCGGAAAATTTCAAGGAGCTAGACAAAGATGAGAGATCGCGGGTGAGAGACCAAGTCTCTAGGTCTATCCAAGTGTATCTTTATGAACAGAAGACGGCCAAAGACAACCCACTGCTCAATAGAGCAATCAGACAACCATTTGGAAAGTCATTGGGCCAACTTGTCGATTTTGCTGGTAACTCTTGGGACGACGATATCCTTCGCATTCGTGAATGTCTCATAAAACTCGAAAAGTAATGTTCACCACCTTCATTGCAGCGCACACGACTGCTATATTTCCGTTACCTTGTTCCACTTACTAATAATTTCTCACAGGGACTGGCCAATACTTGGTTCGGAACACCCATGCCCATATCACTTTTCACCGGAAGAGCTTCACCAACATTGGGTGGATGGAGAAGGGTTCAACGAGACACAAGATTTCTGGGATCAGGTTGAGGGACTAATGGATAGAAGCGGTTGGACTACGAACGAAGATTTTGAGGAAGCAGTGGACTATTTCTGGAATTTACGGCAAATTGGTTTGGAGAACCTGGCTGGAGATGAACGAAAAGAGTTTGAGCAGCAGACTCGTTGGGTTCTCGATCATCGTGCCGATTCCTGAGGGCCTCTGGCGAGGCGATGTGATGAAGCTGGTCATTTCCGCCGTGTCGATGTAGGCCTGTCGATCGATGTAGGCCTACGGACTAGGTCCATAGTATAGTGCGCGGGCGAATGGGGGCAATTGGGAACATGAACAGCGATTGGTATTTTTGAATATCACAAGCACGAACACCAAGTCTTCAGGAATGCAAGATCTGACCCAAACCCCCGGAATCTCGCACCGTAGTCCCGAGTCAGTGTCCCGAGATCGTGGGGGAACTCTCCGATTGGACAATTGTTCGGTTTTGACGAGCAAGTATCGTGCGCAAAAGGCCCAAAGGAGAGAGGAGAGAGTGGAGAGGGGAGAGTGGAGAGCGTATTTCGTATTTCGTATGAAGTCCAGAGAGAAATAGTGGGCGCTACCAGATGAGTTGGTCTGGCCATTCTGGACGATAGTGGACATACATATTCAGGACGCAGGCCCATTGTCTCTGCAAAACAATATGCTTTTAGCCTCCATTCCAGCAGCTGCCAATATCTCAGGAGGCCACTACTTGCCTGTTATTCAACATGCTTGTCGAAAACCCCCAGCAAACGGTGAGCTTGCAAGTTGAAGTGCTGCTCTACCCTCCTGAGTACAGCAGATACTAACTGCCTTATAGACTAACGAGGCTGAAAGCCAGTCAATGGCAAGCAGCAGCCCCGAGGATACCTTCGTCAGGGCTTTAGAAAAGGAGCCTCCAAAAGCCTTTACCAAAATAGGGTCCAAGCTCTACGCTGCCTCCCTTATCGGGTGCTTCTGTGCCACAATGGACGGGTACAATGGCTCTTTGATCAACAATCTGCTAGCGAACAAAAATTTCCTGGATTGCTATGGTGGTTCGAATTCCGGGCTTTGGTCTGGCCTTGTTACGGCCATGTACCAGATCGGGGCCGTTGCTGCTTTCCCCTTCGTCGGGCCAGCTGTTGATACTTGGGGCCGCAGAGCTGGAATGATAATCGCTTCCATATTGACCATTGTTGGAGCCGTGGTCCAAGGTGCGGGGACCAATATTCAGTCCTTCATGGGCGGATCGTTTTTGCTGGGGTTTGGGATATCAATTGCGGTTACTGCTGGGCCAACGTATGTGGTGGAAATCTGTCATCCGCCATATCGAGGAGTGGTAACTGCAATTTACCACACTTTTTGGTAGGAGCCCGTTCCCTTCACTCCGAGTCTTGCTGTTTTTGGTTTCATTGTATGCTAATATCAGACCGTGATGGAGGTTCACTGGTTCGATTATCGCGGCCGGTGCGGCGAGAGGTGCACTTGATATTGGCGGTAACGGATCTTGGAGGATCATAATTTGGCTGCAAGTACTCTTTGCAGGCATCATCGTCGTCGTTGCACTGTTTCTACCAGAATCACCTCGTTGGCTCTATGTCAATAGCAAACAAACCGCAGCCACCGAGATGTTGATCAAGTTCCACGGGGATGGAAATCCAGACTCAGAGTGGGTTAAACTGCAGCTTAACGAGTACGAAGAGTACCTCGAGTTAGATGGAGCGGATAAGAGATGGTGGGATTACCGTGCTTTGTTCCGTAACAAGGCATCGATATATCGTCTGTATTGCAACGTCTGCATTTCTATTTTTGCTCAGTGGATGGGGAACGGTACGTACAACCAGAGTCTCTCCCAGGGCCTTTATGCTGAACATAACTGATCGAGTCTAGCCGTCATCACCTACTTCATGTCTGCTGTCCTTGATACAGCAGGATACAAAGGCACTGTTGCACAGCACAATCTCATCCTCATTAACAACTGTCAGGGATTCGCCTGGTCGATTCTTGGTGCGAGCCTGGTTGACAAATTTGGACGCCGCCCCTTGCTTCTCTTCTCCAATATAGGATGCAGCCTCGCTTGGGTTGGCATGACAGTTGCAACATCTAAATTCGCTAACGAGCAGAACCAAGCTGCTGGACAAGCTGCATGCTCTTCATTTTCAACGCCATTTACGCTGTGGGAATCACACCACTGCAAGCGTTGTACCCCGTTGAGGTACTAAGCTTCGAGATGAGAGCCAAGGGAATGGCATTCAGTAGTCTTGCAACAGGCGCAGCTGGGCTACTGAACAAGTTTGCTTGGCCAGTGAGTATCGAAAGAATCGCCTGGAGGACCTACATCATTTTTGCGGTCTGGGACGCAATACAAGCCATTGTGATTTACTTCACAATAGTCGAAACAAAGAATAGGACCGTAAGTATTATGGCCTCTGGAATGTCTGTTTTCTATTCGCTACTGACTGACGTTCGATAGCTTGAGGAACTGGATGAGATCTTCAAGGCTCCTAATCCAGTCATGGCCTCAATAAAAAGGAAGAAGAGTGTCGCTGGAGTGTTCCCTAATTCCCTCGAAGCGCTCATCCCCTGAGCCAGTACAGAGATGCACATGGAATTTGTATTCGATGTGCAAAAATTCATGCCTTGAAATAAGAGACGTTCTAGGCTAGATTGCACTGGTGCTCAGGGGGGTTGAATCGCCTCCGTAGCTATTTTCCGCTTTTCGTAACAAAGCTTCAAGTTGAGGGCTTTGCAACGCAAATTAGACAATGGATAATATTTTTGTCTAGATTAAAGAACCCGAGGTACTGCAGCATCCTAGAAAAAAGTTTGTAACTTCGAACACTTAAGCATCACTAACGAAGCCATGACGGAGTCATTTTCTCACTAGGCACTGTTGAAAAAGCTAGATGTAAATGCATTGGAATTGAATTAGCCCGTCATCTTGAAGCGATCCGCGTGTGCATCGACCAGAAGTTTCAACTTCAGCATTATTCCAATTCCAACTCCGCAAGAGAAGACGTCCACTAGTGATTATTCCTCTCCATCAGGGTGTGGTAGACCCGAATCCTCGTGAAGGGGGAGAGAATAATTAAGCTCTGTGGCTCGGCCTGGTCTCCCAACACCAACCCAGTCAGGTGCTACCTGTGCTTGCAAGAGGTGGCATAAAGTAGTTGCTCGAGATACTTGTGCAACTATAACAAAGAAATACAGAATCCGCAAAGAGTTGTTTCATCGATGGAATCCTGAGATTGGAGAGGACTGCAAGTCTTTATGGAAAGGTTATTATGTCTGTGTTAAGGCTTGAGACGTGTACTCATTCATGAACCTAGAAGGGTGTTTGAGTAATGAGAATATGTTAGGAGAGTAGTGCTGGTAGTACAGAGTAGGGAGTGGATAATTACAATTAATGTTAACACCATACTTAAAATAGTGAGTAAACAGTCATCTGGCGAGTGCGGCCTCAGGCTCGCCAGCCCGCCCGCATCCGGTCTAGCACCGCGCCGCCATTTCAGGTACTTATGGTCTGGCAACCCTCACCACCCTGACATCCAGCCGGCCCATGTGCCTTGCCTCACCGCGATTATAAAAGGGACGTCCATCCTCCCTCCATTGCACACACACTTCATCTTCCTTTCCCTCTTGCTTCTACCCCTCCCTGACTCCATCCGCCTGCCCTTCTTGTGTTCCCCTCTGCACCTCAACCCACCGCAGACCTCCCTGGTGCGCCCCGTTGGTTTCAGCTCACTTCACAATGCACTCCATCCATCGCGTCTGCTTCTGGCCCAGTGATGATGCTCTCGCTCATGGCAGGTTCTGGCTCCGTGAGCATACTGGTTCTCCTTTCCCTTTTGGATTGCCTGAGTGAATGTCTCTGCTACATGAAAAGCCAGTCCCTCTCCAATACCTCTTGCAATGGCATTCTCCATCTCACAGTTCTCCCGCCCTTTCGTTCTCCTGCTGCCTTCTGGGTGTTCCCCCCCCCCCCCGCGGCCGCCCGGGGCAGCAGCGCTAGCAGAGACTTCCAGCCTTGGACCACCGGTGATTCGCAGTGCGTCCCCACCAATGGCAAAATTGCCTCATACCGGGGAGACCGAAAAGTGCATGGATGGTCCTCTTAGACCACACACCCACATCCTCCTATTTCTCTTTACGGCGCAGTGAGTTGCCGTGCTTCCTGAGTCTTTTCAACCATGAGCAGGGGGTGGTTTACAGCTTTGCCAGAGTGTGCCATGGTGTCATGGTGCTGGCCAGCAGGCATCCTGTCACCTGCAACCCGCAACACTGTGCGGCGGAGGACACAGATAGGTTGGTGTCTTTGGCTTGAGGTTGCACTAGGATGATCATGGAGAGCTGATGTGTTCGCCTGCATGTGCTGTGGCATGTGATGGCATTGGAACAGTGTCCATTGCATTTTTTGATTACAGACAGGGCGCCACCCTCAATATTCTGTTCCCATCAGTGAATTAACTTGGGAGATCAGCATTGGCCCCAGGCAGGGAGCAGCAGTGGAAGGAATGCTCAGGGAGGAAGTGCAGTCACCATGCATTGTCACCTTCTTTGTATTATATCCTCATCACATTCTCCGCCTGTACCCTCTCAGCTGGGCTGGATTGAGGAGTCCTCACCACAGCAGAATTGTGATGGAGGGTGTGTCCCCTGGCTGGACCAGGTTGGGTTACATGTGCTCATTACATCAAGTGGCATTGTGGAGTGGATTTCAGTTGGAGATGGCATGGGATGGGTTTGCCTGACAAGGTGCTTTTTTGGCTGCATTGGCAGTGTCCCCTTCCTCCCCCCGGGGGGGGGGCTCAGTGAGGGGTGGGAGCTTCTGCACATGCCTTGCTCTATATAGAGGCCCATCTCCGCGTGAATTCGTGAGGAACAATATATCACACCACAGGTAAAGCACAACTGCAAGAGTACACAATGGCTTCTGTTGATCTTGACAACATCCAATTCTACTTTTCACCTCCATCATCTCCAGGCTACAGACTCTCAAGACCCAACATGGCCCACTCTTCCGCGGGCATTCTCATGCTTAACAGCTCAGATTGCACTGAACTCTCTACAGCTGCAGTTTCCATTACCACACCATCTCCAGAACAACCACACCCTCTTGAGAACCTTCACCACCTGCCACCCTTCCATCCCGCACAGGCAGCTTGGGCGCCCACAACATCCAGCTTGCTGCAACAAAAACAACAAGAATCAACATCAACCTGGGTGGTCTCAAAGAATTTCAGTCAGGTGCTAGAGGCATTTGGAATTGCTGAAATCAAAACTGTTGATTTGACCAGTGATGATTCTACCAGTCAAGCATCCTTGCCCAGCATGAGCTTGTCTAATCTTGAATGTCTGCTCCTCCTTTCGTACCTCACCTTATCACTGGCGCTCTCCTCTGTGTATCCAGACTGATCAGTGACACCTCAGCAGGCAATTTTGATGATAAGAGCTCCTACATTCCACAGTCACCTAACAGCAATTCCATGGTATCAACCAGGCTTGCGAGCCCAGCAGGTCTGTTGGACATGACTCTAGATAAGCCACACAGCAGTAGTCAACGCGAGCACTTCCATGCATCAAAGTCTTACACCACTGAGCCCCTATTCCCACATTCTGGTGCAGGTGACCCGGTCAAAGTGGGCTCAAGCTGCAATATTGACACAGCAGACACTCAGCTTTATGGGCTTCCTGATGTCTCTGTACCTTCCTTGTCACAGCCAGATACTGAGGCTGTTGCTGCCAGCACCATTGACAGTCCCGCCCATATTTCCCAGAAGCAACCACCAACCAGCCCACAACTGCCCAGGTACCCCAGGGTTGAAGTGGTGATTCCTACTGGCTTTCACACTCGCAATCTGCCAACCCTTGATATCACAGACAATCATGGGCCAACCTCAGTATATGACTGCAAATGCCATGGCAGTGCAGATGCTGAGCATGAGTCTTCAGCACCACCTGCAAAGCAGCAAAGAGTGTCACTGCAGCCATCCATGTGTTATAATTACAGTCAGTCTACAGTATCTGCAGCAAACCCACCAACACAGATCCAACAACAAGCCACCACTGAAAATGCCCATGCACATGACAACAACACTGAAGAAAAGGGCAGTGAAGAAGCTGGCACTGGTTTTGTCCAAACAGCTCATGAAGAGAGTGGCAGGGAGCCTGGACAAGCAGGTCACACATGCCTATGCCAGGCAGGTCACGCTCCGCTACCCCCAGAGGAGGCAATGACGCTGGCTTCTGCCGTTGTGCTTGAACTCTACTCGCTCCTCAGTCCAAGTTTGAGGAGTTGTTGGCTCTTATCAAAACCGGATATCAAACCTCGAAATGGCAGTTCAAGTTTCCCTTTGAAGACTCGGAGGTTATTCTCGACGCTGCCCGTCTGATGATTTGCTGGATCGACCACAATGCGTCTTCGATTGCGCAAGATCCTCAGCGGTTGGTGGTGTTCATCAAAGACTTCGTCATTATTCTCTTTGGGTTGGATCGTGAGTCAGCGACCAAATACCTCACTGAGATCTACGACAGCAGCCCCGCAGCTAGCGAAGCGGGTGACGAAGATGCCATGATGGTCGAGGAACCAAGCGCACCTCCTTCGCGGCGTGCTGGCAATAGCAAGAGGCATGTGCTCTTAGTATTCAAGCTTTTAAGACGCTTCGCAACGCCGCTGACCTCCCATTTCATGCAGCAGGACGAAGCAACCGGACGGAAACGAAAGTAGACAATGCGGGGTCTGTAGAAAGTGCCACGATTTCAACAGGAGTTTCCCATTCTCCAGTCCTCTCACTGTCCTAGATTGCACACTACCGCCAAAAATATCTCCGGCGTGCGCCCTTTGGCAACGTAACTGGTGTGAATAGGTTGCCAAAATCTGGCCGTGGTACATTAGGCTCGAATTTTGTGAGTGGGCGCTGCCTATCCAGGAAAGGAAAATGTACTTCCTGCCTCCAGCGCCGTCACGCCTCGCAGTACGGGTCAAGGCGATAATCCTTGGAGGAGAATGCCTGGTCCAGCCAGCGCGCATCTGTGGGAGACTTGAGGCGGCCGTAATGGCGCCTGATGTCAAACCTGACGTGGTCTGTCCTAAAATTCAAGGAGACTCTTGTTTTGCAACCCTTACACCTGAAGCTGAACCATATCTTGAAACCCTTCTCGACTCGCTCGGCGGATTCAAGATGCTTCTCGATACGCCCAGCACTGACATATGCTTAGATAAAGTCCGCAATCAGTTCAGGCAAGATGGCCAGGGAAAACTCGATCGACGCGAAAACGGACATCGTGGTAAAAGCAACCTTCTAACATACAGAGTATACATATGTATGTATATATGTACATAGCTATTTGCAAACCTCACCACCAACAAAAAGGCCTCCGTCAACATATTCCCTCTATCCTCTGTAGTTGGAGCATTGCCGAACATGTCCCCCCCCAGTGATACACACACATACCCATCTTTCTCTCTCTCTCTCACTCTCTGTGTCGCCCAAAATGGGAATAACAACAGTTGGGGTTCTTATATCCTCAAAACAAATTTCAAACAAGGGTAACCCATAACCCGCTGTAAATCTGTAGGCGAGATGTTTGATGCTCAAAAAGCCTCTCTTACCTTTCTTTTTTTTCATGGGTCCTGAAACGCGCATCGGAATATTTTCTCTCTCTCCCCCTTTACATTACAACCCCTTGCATATGTAGTTAACTAGGTAGGATGCAAAACACAACACTTCAGTCTATATTTACGATGCATAGATATGGATTCATATCATAATTCTTTCTTTTCTTTCTCCTCTTTTTTTTTTTTTTTTTTTTTTTTTTTGATGATGTGCGAGGAAAGCTCCCGTATCTTGTAGTAGGAGGTGTGTAAATGAGTTTTGAAAAAAATAAAAAAAGAGAATCCAGATCCGCAGAGGATCAATATCTGGAGGAGGAGCGCGATTGGGAACAGTCTGGATGAAGCCGGCATCTTTCACTTCTTGACACGCAACTTTGTAATCTTCATCCCACCGGATCAGTATGCTCGCCTGCAGAGAAAGTTCACACCTTGGCAATGCATTCTGTAGTTACTTTACGGGCACTCTGCAACCCCTACCGGCCCTATCATGAGAGGCGTGGAAAGGGTTAGCATTAACGTTTCTGATCGTTGTCTTCACTTTGCTATTGGATCCTATTATGGGATGATAGGAATCTATCAAGGTCCTGTTTGTTGGGCCATGTGCTTAGGGGCTTGACTGTATCCCTGACAGAAGGTTCAAACCCCTGTGGGCCTTAACCTGGAAAGTTTACACGGAGGTTTGCTCTTCAACACCCAAATCCGGGTCTAGTATGGAAAGGGCATTTTCATTGAATCAATATCTTCCTCTGACTTATGCATGCATGTGTCGAAACCGTTCGGTCTCCAGCTTTCTCTCATCCCTGATACCCCAATCCCCCACCCGACGACGCCCCTGGAGCGGGGGGAGGCGGCGGCGGCACGCCACCCCCATTCCTATCGGGCGTCCAGACGTCTTCCGCCGTAACACCGCCCGCGGTCGTGTAATCGCGTGGAAACTGAGGATCCCAAAATGCACCCTAAATCATATCGAAAAAGAGACACGGACAAGGAAGGTAAGAAAAAGAGAATAGACCCAATATATGACTAGGAGGAGAAACAGAAGGGGGAGTTTTACTTACCCAGCCAAATTGCACCGGCGCATCGATCATCGTCTCCATCACTTTGTACGCCGGGTTGGACGACATCCCCGCCGCCGCCGCAGCAGCTGCCATCGCCTCCATCGATCCTCTGCTGGTCTCCTGCGCCATCATGGCGTCCGGCTGCTGATACATCATCGCATCGGGTCTATACTGGAGCTGCTCTGCTTGCTGTTGTTGCTGCGCCTGATTTTCCGGTATTTCACCGATCACGCCATATTGATGATGGCTCCCCTCGCCACCGCCATGGGGCATACCAATCATGTACTGTGCTGCCGCTGCCTCTGCTGCCACCGCCGCCGCCGCCGCCGTCGTAGTTACTGAATAGTCCATGGCGCTGCCAGCAAACTGTTCGCCCTGCAGACTCTGTACTGGGCTGGTAGAGTTTGATGTTCCAGATCCGAAACTACCTTCAGAAACATCGCGCGAGGCGCACACGGCCTTTGCCTTGCGAATAGTTAATTGCACAACGTGCGCTGCCGTCGATGCCTCCTTGGACATGGAGCGGTATTCCTGCCAGATACCAAAAGACTGCTCCAAAGCTTGGATCTTACTCTCCAGGGACAGAGCTGGATTACTTAGTGGGGCGGTTGGATTGCTCGATGCGCCGATATTCCTGAGCGCCTGGTCGACGTCGAGGCAAACAATCATTGCCGCCAAGAGATTCTCACGGTTTAGATAGGTAAGAAGTTTCCACCTCTGCGGGAACAGCTTTTTGCCTGGTTGACTCTCCCGGTGCATGTACCGTTGCTGCGCGAGCATGTTCATCGCCGCATCCACGCATGCCTCTCGCGAATAGGCGTATCGCGGGTCCTGTTTAGTAAGGTATTTCCGATGCAGCGTGCACCGCGCCTGTTCATACAGAGATTCAAACGACAGTCGCTGAAGGAACGTCAGAGAATCTTGCGTATCCGGACCTTCTCCCAGCTTGTAAAATGTCGGCAATTGTCCGTATATATTAGAGAGCTCTCGATCAAACTCCAGGACCGTCTCGTACCGCGGTGGAACAGTAGCATTTGCGAGATCGGTAGTCTTCCCCAGGAACCTGATAAGCTTTAGCCTGGCGAGCACGTACGTCACCACCGTAGGATCGGCCAACGGTCTCGGCGGCGGTAGTTCCGCCGAATCTTCTGAGAAATCTTCCTCACGGAGGTTTCGCGGAGGTGAATTGTCGGTTTTGGAGTCATCAATCAATCTGGGAACGCCCACCTACACCAATGGTTAGCTGTGAGACCCTTTCAGTTTTCCTTCATCGACCCTCAAACCGGCACAAATTCATACTGCAACAGATATCATCTGATCAAGCTGCACGACGACAGCCCAAAGGCGCCGGCGTATTTCCCCGGCAAAAGGAGATAGATTGGGATAGTGGCTCGCGTCACGGTGATAGCCCATGCGCAGGGCCAGGCTGACGATCATCGCAAACAGAATGGGAAGACCGTAGTCAAATTCCTCCTTCCGCATGCGTTCGCAGGCGAGATATATTATTAGGGCCGGTAGATTGTATTTTCCCGGTTTCGTATAATTTCCTGATATGAGACACTGGGCGCATCTCTCTCTGTAGTCTCGAACGTCCATCCTCAGCGATTCCTCGCGCTCAGGGTCAACGTTGGAGAGCAGAAGGAAACTTGACGAGAGGGACATCATGCCAAACACCATGCTGAGCCATATGATCGACGCTGTCGTAGGGTCGCGCCGAAAATTTTCATACTTACGTTTGGGTCAGCAAGCTCAGATTATGGATAGCACATCTGGGTTGAATTTGCAGGCGGGAAAAGGGGGGAGAGAGTTTGGGGTTGGGGTTTGATCCTCACTTCTTTCCGGAACGTTGGTGAATGCAAGATCACTGTTATGTTAGTCAGGTGTCTCCGCAGTCTCAGGATCTGCAAAACTTCACAATCCAAGGAAAACTTACAAGGGGAGATTTCCATATTCTCAAAGAAGTGGCAGATCAGCGGGTCAACCACGGAGCGGGGTGGCACACTGTTGAATAATTCTCCCGGTTCAAAATACTTTCTAGCTTCCATCAGTAGATCAAGGCCATCGTCTTCCTCGAGGTCCCTTGGGCGGTCCGTGAAAGGAGAGTCAGTGCTCTCCGGAATAAGATCTTTCATATACTCGATCTATTAAAGCCCGGGGGAGGGTAAGATAAGCTCCCGTCCGATAACACCCAATAAGCAGCAGCAGCAAACCCCAGTAAGGAAAGGAAAGAGGAGCATTGAAATCACACCTCGTTCAAGATCGCCTGCCACGTCGAGCTCCCAAAATAGCTCGTCCCGTTGTCTTCGATACTGAGGCGACCCACGGACTCGACCACCTGCGGCTCAGTCGGGGCATCCTGACTCTGACTCTCGGGCAGGCCCGGGTGACCCTGGGCAGTCTCCTTGTTATTGACCAGGTTCAAGACCACGCCCTCGAGGTGGCGAATGCGTTCGTGCAGGCTATTCAGATAGGCCGGGTACTGGCGCCCGGTCTGTCCCGATTTGGCCTGACTTGGGGAGTTGACGTATATACATGACTGACCCCTCTTCGCGCAATTCTGACAGGGCTGGGAACGATCGCATCGCAACCTGTAGCGAGGGACAAGCAGCGTGTGTTAGGAAACAATAGCTAGTAGATAGTAGGGTAGCAGGGAGAGAGATAGTGTGCACCGTACTTTCTGTGCCTGCATAGCATGCACGACAGCTGGGCCTTGTCGCGCCGTCGGCCATTGGGAGGCAATGGCTTGGAGGGATGGAGCTCAGTCGCACGCAACGGCGAGGCGGAGGCGGGACTCGTCATGGTTCACGGAGCTCGAGTGCAATGCGACGCAGTCAGGGAAAAAAAAAAAGAAATATTACAGAGGAGTGAAAAAAGAAAAAAAAAAAAAAAAAAAGGAGGGGGGGCCGCCACTTTCCTCTCTTCTGCTATAGCCACATTCTAGCAGCAGGCCAACCGACAAGCTCCCAAGCAATGTGCGGATGGCATTTGAAGATAAGAGAAGAAGAGCCAGACGATGGGCGATTCTGGGGAGCTGAATAGATTTTAATTATTCCTTCTCCTTCGTCTCTTTTCCTTTTTTTTTTTTTTTTTTCTTTTTTTTTACACTTTTAACTACTTGTCATGAGAGAACTGGGGGATGGGGGGAGGAGGGGATGGCGAATCGACGAAGCAAAAGAGAGCGACGAACGAACGGGCAAGCTTGGGCGAAGTTGCAACTTGCAGACCCAAAGCAGAGTTTCACAGGAGTTGCCATGATTCACGTGCAGGGAAGAGCTTGTGCCAAAGAGCGGGCAGCAAATCTAGACGGCCCTGGGGAGGGTTTGACAGTCGATTGGGTGCTGAGAGGTCAGGATTGGCGGCATTAGGGTTTGGTGTTCGAGCAATGGGACGCGTCCAAATCAGCGCCACCCGCCGATCGGCCGTTGTGACGGGAGTCTGAAGAGAAGTTTAGTGAATCCTGAAGAAAAGTTGGTGAGCCTGAAGAGAGTTAGTTGATGGGAGCAAAAAAAAAGGAAGAGACCAGACATGGACAAGACCGGGAGAGCGAGACACGAGACAAAGACACACAAAGAGAAAAAGAGAGACAGAGAAAAGAGAAGAAGATTTTTGCTGACATCATCGATCGGCCCAATCAGCACCCGGACTTGCCCAACTAGGAAACATCTCGGGTTCCGCACAGTCCCGCCTTCCGATTTGGATGGTCCTTTTTGATGCCGAGACTGGACTTGTGTACATAAATTAGCCAGTGCCGGCCAATCAGCGCCCAGGAAACCCCGCAAAAACCCGCGGTCTGTGGAAATTAAGTTTATGCACGTTCCCAAAACTCTCCCCACACAGAACTGGACCGGTTGAAGCTCCAAGAAACGACCGTCGAAGGCAGCGAATCCTGTTGCCGCGCTGGAGAATCCTGCTGCGAAAAAGATGGCCACGCGTGAAACAACCCACCGTCCTCGAGCCAGTTCCACACCCGAAAACTAAAACTAAAAAAAAAAAAAAAAGAAGGAGAGCCGTCCCGCGTAACCCATCCTTGAGGCGGGGTGGTTGTACGGCGTAAATACAGACAGAAAAGTAAGCTCGCACCGAACCAACCACAAGCGACGGAGTTTGGCCTCTCCTGAGTGGCCAGTGCTGGCGCTTGACGCGCGCTTAATCGGGCCATGCCAAGCCCGCCAAGCCGCCTGAGTGGATCGAGACACGCGAGCCCCGTTCCCAAGCGTCAAGCGCCTTCAAGTCTATATGTACTCCAGCCATAGCCTTCCCGCGAGGGGGCGAGCCAATTCTAGTCCAACACATGTTGCCCCAGGAGATCTACATGGTCATCGCCAACGGCGTACAAGCGGTGGATGGATGGGATGTGGGGGCACTTGGAAACAGTACTACAATGGCCCGCCAGCTGACGCATGGGCCTTGTGAAACTGCGCTGTTAATGCAATAGGTAACAACAAAAGGAATGGTCAGCAGGATGAACCAGAGTCAAGTAGAAACCCAGGAGAAAAAAAAAAAGGTAAAAGAAAAAAGAGTCAAGTAGAAATCCAGGAGAGAAAAAAAAAAAAAAAAGAAGAAAAAGAAAAAGAAAAAGAAAAGGGAAAAGGAAGCTTTCCTGGAACCCAGCACCCACCATCATCAATGGAACCAGGCCCCCCCCATCGAAAAGGTACGGGAGGTGCGGGAGTGCAGGGTCAGTTTTGATATGCTGCTGAAGCTGTCGTCAGGGGTAAGAAGACATCCTGTAGCGGAAAACCCTGTCCAATGGTGTCCATATTAGTCCATCTTAGGATCCATCTTCCTAGGACCTGGAACCTTGCTTCAGGTTATAGCCGAACAACCTGTGAACCATCATAACAAGGCAGTAGTGCTGTTTCAAAAGAAAAAGCAAAAAAAAAAGGAAGAAGAAAAAGAGGTCATCTTAGTGGCCAGGACTGCTTGCACAGCTTATGCATATCGACCATCAATCCACCAAAACCTTTGAGACTCTCGCCGTTCTTGCAGAGGACTGGGCTTCCTGGCAACACTGACTATTCAGCCACAAAAGGATAAATTAAAACATTATCTGGAAGGCATTACCAGAAGAAGTAATGCTTCTGGGTTCACAAGACAAAAGGAAACATAAAAACTTGTGGCCCCCTTTGCATATCGGCCTGTTGGGGAAGCAGTAAATCACTCAACAAAAGTGCCCTCTCTTCCTCTGGCTGACGAAAGAATATTGGATGGGGAGAGACGGATCGCGAATTGCCACGTCACGACATGGGGACATAGACCTCCCCGGCATGTAGCGCTCCCCCTGATCTCGGCTACTCTGATTCTCCGAGGATCGACGGTGTTACACGTCCCGAGTGTGAAGGTTGTCCACAGACTCCTAACCGGACGACTGGAGGCATTCTGCCATCAGTCCGAGACAGGAGCAGAAATGGATATTTTCTGGCTGGACACCAGGCTAATGATTGGGAGGGGGTGGGGGGTGGTTTATGTGGCCTCAATTTGCTGTTTGTGAAGCACAAGGCCTGATGGGCGAGTGAAGATCGCAGGGGCCGGGCACCCGAGTAGACGGATGCTCTGAACACCATTGGTGGGCAGCTCAAAGGAGTTAGTCACGAATGTCGGCATCTGCTGCTCCCAGAACGTTTAAAAAAAAAAAAAAAAAAAAAAAAAAAAAAAAAAAACCTGTAGGCTGGTGAGAAGAAGAAGAAGATGGTATTCTGATTTTTAGAAGGGCAGGTCGGAAGAACTCCAGGTTGGATGGAGTGAAGAAGAAGAAGAAGACCGGAGCTGAGCAGCCTTCCGGTCAAATTCGGAGCAGGTCCCGGGCCATTCTCCCAGCGGCGGCAACTTGTCAGCTTCTTTGCCTCCTGCTGCTGCTGCTCTTCTTCTCTCGTAGTAGTCCTCATAGTCACTGACTGCATAAGACTAGTTATAATGAATAATAATAATAATAATAAATTCTTCTCTCGTCGGAAAAAGCCCACGTGGAACAACGTCGAGCGAGATTGGTCGGATCAGACCAGATCGGCCAGGGTTGTTGAACTCCCAACAACAACAACAACCACGACGACGACGACGACATCATCTTTATCAGGGCTCAGACTCCTTCGCACAGTCCGCTGAGGAATCAAAAAAAAAAAAAAAAGAAAAGAAAAAAAGACAAAAGAAAACAGGAGGCGTCTGTCTGTTGGATCGTGGCTTTTTTCGCGGCGGTCTCTTTACGGTGTGATTGTACTGTTACAGCGAAACGCGAGGGGCTGCCCATTCGCCGAACGCTGCCAATACGCGTCCCATACCGCGTGTGACCAGACAAACCCGCAATTCCTGCCGTACCCGCCCGTCACACCAGAACCGCGCTGCCTGTAATTTTTTGTTTTTTTGTTTTTTTGTTTTTTTGTTTTTTCGTTTTTTTCTTCAGTTAAATTTTTCGATTCCACGGATCAAACAATGACCACCAGGACCAGCTACCAGAACCGTCCCCCGGCTGCTGCAGACAGCGGCTTCTCCTGGCACTTGCGGGTGGTGACTTGACTTAATGATGCAGATATGATAGTACTCTGAAGATAAAAGGGAACCCTTTTCTTGGGGCTTTTTGGGTCATAATTCTCCGCAAGGATCGGGAACGGTGTGTGTCAAAACCCCAGCACGTCGCTGGGAGACCCAAGTGACCCCCTTCTAGTTTATATAGCTCCTGGATGCGACGTGAAGGTTCAATAATATTAATAGCTTTTTGCGGCCTTTTAGCTAATGACACTCATTGCGAACTCTCAGGGGGGTGGAAGAGTAAAAAAAAAAGGGCAAGGGGACTCGGAGAGCGATGATCCCACGTTGAATGAATGCGTCTCCGCCCACTGGGTCGATTGGAAATTGTCACGATAATATATTATATCTTCAATTTTCTTATTTTCTTATTTTTTTATTAATTACTTGGTTACCTGTTCAAATTTTCTCTTTACTGTTCACTTCTTCTTCCGAGTTTTACTCTTGATCAACTCCTCTATTCTTATTTCTTATTTCTTATTTCTTTTCTTTTCTTTTCTTTTTTTCCCCCCTTTGGTTCATTGGAGCTCTTCATTTCAAGCGCGACGGCCGACACCCGGCTTCGCTTCATCACTAGAAATCAACCTCATATCTCTACTCCTGCTCCGCCATGTTCGTTTGACTCTGTTTTGCATTTTCACACTCCCCACTGATCTGCCGCAGCTGGCACTTCCCATGGTTCTAAATCTCTCCTGAGCCTGCGCCCGCCACCCGCATTGCCTCCCTTGCCTCCGCCATCCGCGGTTAACTTTTAGCTACATATTAAGCTCGATGCAAAACAGAAAAATTCCCCAACTACCATTCCAATCAAGATCTGAGACATACATACAGCCTCTCTGGTTCTCTGCGGCTCAGCCCTATGACGTTCCCACTATCCACGTTCCTTAGCTGCAGATACAGTCACCTTTGAGGTTATCCGCTCGTCAGGCACAGGCCTTATCTATCGCCTGCCGCGCAGTTTAAAATTTTTTTCTCCGCGCAAACTAAAACCCTTCCCCCATTTGAACTCGTCCCTCTCCCTTTCTCCCTGCAACTTCTCTCTTCTTAGCCACGCGCTGTCTTGCTCCCCAATGCAACTTGGCAGCGGAACTCCGGCGGACGGCCGTCAAGCTCTGGCGGTCAAGACTCCGGCCGATGCCAAGACCGCCAATCCACCAACTCTGGCGCTGTCGACGAATCCCACTCCGCCCTTGACACCTGTTCTCGCCGACGATGGCGATGCCTCGCCCATCGCTTTCGCTGGGCTCCAGGCGTCCAGGCCTGACCTCTCGTCTGCTCTCGCCAGCCCGTCTGCGAGCCTGGCTGATGTTCCAGCCATTGCCACTCCCCGTGAGTTTGAACATGACCTGGAGATACGCCGCGATTCTCGTGGCCAGACGGTTGAATTCGGCCACGGCGCATGGAGCGTTGTGTACAGCGCCGTGTGCCCGGAAGCTGCGCCAGCGTCCCCCGTGGGAAGTGAGTCGCCAGCCACGACCAACATGTCCGATCGCGTCTTCGCGGTCAAAACGCCGCTGCGGCGCGATGCGCATCACATACTGAAGGCGGAAGCCCTCCTGTTAACTCGCCTATCGAGGATACCCGGCCAGGAGGACCATCTGGTCCCCTTCCACGGCTATGTCTCAGCGTCTCATTCGTTGGTGATGGATGCGTTGCCGCTGACTCTTGCGAACTACATCACCTCACAGGCTGCCGCCACCCGAGAGAACTTCTCCACGAGCACCATGTTCGACCCCGTTCTCGGCATGTCGAAGTGGCTGGGACTATCCGAGCGTCTCGTCAAGGGACTCGCCTGGCTGCACGACACCGCCCAAGTCGTCCATGGAGACATAAAGCCACAGAACATCCTGCTACGACCGCACAATCCAGCGCATGAAGAGGCTCTGCCCCACGACCTGGTCTATGTCGACTTTACCTCGTCACACGACTTGTCTTCGTCGACTGCCGGTTCGAACAGCCACGGGCTCGGTCTGTCGGCCCTGACTCCTCCCTTCGCGGCCCCTGAGCTGCTCACGATCTCGGCCCTGACGTCATCAACCCTTGCTCCGTCGAAAGCATCAGACACGTTCTCTCTTGCCGTGACGCTACTGACAGCCGTCACCGGCGACTTGCAACTCTACCCCGGTGCAGGCAGCATGCAGTGCCTGGCCATGTCGCGGGACGGGCACCGTGTGCTTGACTTCGTGCGGAGCGGCGTCAATTGCTCGAGAGTACCCAGAAAAGGGACGGTCGAGCGCCTATTGTCTCCGGCCGTCGTGAAAGATCCGGACAGCAGGATTCACCCTGCTGCGTGGTTCGATTTGATTAAATCTGAAGCGAAGACCTTGCTGTCAGCGGCGTCATCGTGACTGCATTCTTTTTTCTTCCCTTTTTACCTTTTTTTTTTTTTCTTTTTTTTTTTCTTTTTTTTTTTTTCCATTTCGCGTACGGAAATCGTGTTGATTGACGATGATAAGCGCAGTGACGATTTATGGTGGCCGGACCGACCAACTGACGTTTTTATTTAGACTTTGCCCATTAAAATATTTTGCATTTGTATAACATGCTTTATGCGTTTTATCATCAGCAGAGGTGTGATTGAGATGGTGTTGCGTTTTTCTCCTCCTTGTGCTTAACCACAGGTTCGTCCTTTTTTTCTCTTTTTACTTTTATCATCTTTTCTTGCCACTGTACTAGAAAAGATTCATGACCTCTTCTTTTCTTTTCTTTTCATTTCCTTTCTCTTCATTTCACTTTCAACTTTTCTTATACAGGATACATTTGATATGACGACTCCTAGACATACTCTTTGATACCATGTTTGCTAGAATGCCTTCAACTGTTATGTATGCCAATATCGGAAAATGAATGCTATTCTACATCAAGACTTGAAATTTTTTGGGTACATGACTCGAGTTAAGATAGACGCTGCATGGCGACTTGCCGGGGTTCGTCTGTCTTCATCGCGCTTTCACAGATTGACAGGAAGCAGGGCCATCGCAGAGGGACATGGCTTCCGTCCCGCATGCATATATATGTGTGTGTGTGTGTGTGTGGTTGATTGCCTAGTTCCTGCCTCTGGGTCCAGCACACTCTTTGTTCCTTTCTGCTAAGTATAAATATCTTGCAAAGACGGCACATTCGATGATGGAAACAAGCAGTTTTTCTCTTCTTCTCATCCGTTCTCTGGTGTCCTATCCTTGCCAGCACTCATCTACATTCGCTCCCTGAAAAGAGTGTATTCTTACATCTTACTGTATCTATTTAATCAATAATATCCCTTTGTTTCTTTTCTTTCCTTCAATTTTTTTTTGTCTTGCTTGCTTTTCTTTTCCTGAACGATTATCTAATCTACAAGATGGAGTCGAAGAAGACTGCTTCGTCCTGGTCCCCGTCAGGCAGAAGCAACAATAACAACTCAGACAGCAACGCCAACCAAAATGACTCAGACTTCGGGGATCAAGACAAATGCCCGGAAATTGAAAATAGCACAGTCTCTGAGCCTTCGATGTCGGGATGCGGAACTCCGGCTCCCAGTTTCGCCTCTAGTCCCTCCTTGAATCTGGCGTTGAGTTCAGCTCCGAGTCCATCCTTGAGTCGAGTCTCAAGCCCAGGCTCAAGTCGATCAAGAAGTCCCAATCAGGGTGAACAGAGCCCAAATGTCGATCACGAAGCGCATCGTCCGGTCGAGCCCATGATCGTATCTTCCGACCAAGTCGGCCAACCTTCCCCTCCGAGACCGGCGGACCTGCGGCCTGAGTTTTTCATATATCGCCCTAATCTGACGCGAGTGCCGCTCATCGCGGTCGATGAGTTACCCCCTGAGATTATCCTCGGAGGACGAACGGACTGGGTGTCCAATGAGACCTTGTTGGCGGATATGGCTCCTGTTAGTAACTGGACAGTCCCATGGTCTGGGGTGTATAATGTTCAATTTGTTGCAAATGCACATGGGAGAAGCGCTGCCTATGACCATGGAGGAAGGGAATGTCAACCAGAACCAGTCCCTGTGCCAATGGTAAATGGAACGGAAGAATATACGGCGTTAGAGGATTCGTCAAACAATTCATGGCAGGGGCTCGGGGTTTTGCTGGACACGGCATACTACGACGAAGCCCCCCAAGAAGGATTCCCTCCTATCTATTATGATAATTATCAAGATTGGGCTGAACAATCGATGGAGGTAAATTTACCTTCGTCTTCAACACTGGCACCGCAGTTCGGGAGTCCCGGGCAGCCTGAGACAACTTATATCATACACGATTCACCAGCAACAAGCACAATGCCAGAAACTTTGCAGGGAACCGGCGTCAGCGATCCCCTAGTCAATCAAGTTACGGAAGCTCCTATGCAAGATGATGCCGGACATGATGATTTGGGCCCTTCACGCCATCGGCGCTACTCTATGTAAGATCGACGCATGAGGAATTTGCAGGGCTCAAAAAGGGGCTCTTTGGGGTGTAACTCGGGGATTGAGTGGCTCCATCTCGGTGACGTCGCCTTCAAGAAGTTTCTACCTGTTTGGATTTTCTATATCAGTGTTGCTATATATATTTATGTTCCTCTTCCTTTCTTTACATAATATTAATAGCACTCCGGCGAGATACAGATCTCGCCGAGCCGCAGCACCACCATCCAACCCCCTGTCACTCCTTTTGCTGATGCTATTGAAACTTTCATATATTGATATTGGTTACCTGTAATAATCACTATTGTATAATCAATAGATTAAGTGGCTTTTAAGAGTCTATCAAACTAAGACGCACTTTCAGTTCGCCTCCTTCATTTCTAGCCAAATAAGAAATTTCGAGTTTATGCGTTAAATGAACACGTATATCTGTACAGAACAAGATTGCAAGCATTCACCGAAGCACCCTTGCACGACTCCGTCCCTGTAAATCCGCTGCAAAAAGTACAAGACAAAATATATGCAGTTTCATTCAATTTTTCCGCGAGACAAACGTCGCCTCTATTCTCTGCACACCACCGCCTCCCAGCACCTTCCACAGGTCCTGCGCAGTTATCATTCGCATGGGCCACCTATTCCATTCCAGCGCAATATCCCAGAGCACAGAGATAGGAAGTTCCCGCAAATACGTTCCAGACAGACAATCCTCGGCAAACGTAAGCTGGAGGTCTTTCGCGGATCTGATGGTGGAGCCTGGCGGATATGTCGCTGTGACCCTTGCGAATTTGCGCAGGGACGGGATGGCCTCGACAAGGTCTGTCACGGGGCGGCCGGGGAACAAGGGGTGAAGGAGGGAGCGGTCGACGGCGGTGGCGTTGCCGCGTGAGATGATGCGGATCAGTTGCTTGAAGAGGGAGATCATGTCGAGATAGTCTTCGCGGGATTTGTTGGCGGATGTGTATTCTTGGAGGGTGCGGAGCATGGGCGAGGATGGGTTGGGGTGGAAGTCGATGATGCCGCAGGGGATAGGGGGTTGGAGCTCTTCCTGCTTGATGCGTAAGGGTTCGGCGACACGTCGGTCCCAGAGGAGGAGTGGGGTGTGGCAGTCTGTGGAATCGGTGTTGTTGTTGTAGGCGCGGACTTCTTGGATGTGCTGGACGGCGCGAAGTTTGGAGAGCATTGAGAGTTGGGAGAAGACCGCGCCGTACTTGGACGTGAGGGCTTCTAGTTTTGAGACGAGGTCCGGAGTGCTCACGGGATATGGTTTGCCCTTCTGCATGATGGAGCGAAGCTGGGCGTGGACATCATCGATGGCGAGCGCCTTTTCAAGGCAGTCCGCGATTATGTGTGATTCTCTATTTTCAAGAAGGAGGCGCTTTCGCTGTACCATGAAAAGGCTCTCCTTCTGGGGATCCGGGAGCTTTGTGGATCCGGGATTATCTTTGGCGTTTTGTTTATACTCTTCGTATAGCTCGAGAAAGCCGTTGTGCCAATCTTGTCTGGGGCGTTTGAAATGCGGTATATCACTGGGACGTAGCGCCAATGCCTCGGGGGCCAGTTCTATTGGCTTCGGCTTTCGATCTCGCGGAGTAGTGATCCCGGCATTCTTCGCGCGAGCTGCAGTTGCTCTTGCGGATCGATCCCAGATATCACCTCCCTTGAGTGCGGCATTGTTACTCTCATTGGTGCCACCAGCAACCTGTATGACTTCTGACGCCGTTGCATCTGCAAGCACCGCCAACCTCCGGCGCCCAAAGAGCTTTCTGGGGAGAACATTTTCAGCGTCCGCAGCAGAAAATAACGAGATCATTCGCACCAGCCCGCGCTGGTGGAAAAGTGTCTGATCAAAGCAGGACTCGAGGTGTCGGAGAAAAGTGAATATCTTCTTCGAGTAGGAGTTCCGATGGCGTGTCATATTTGCAAGGATCAGCAAGGACGGGTTGACCTGGATGCGGCCCTGCGGCCCCAAAACGCGCTTGAGCTGCTCGGGGAGGTAATTCTCGGAGAATAGGGTGGCCAGCTTCCTTTCGTCGAGCGGTTCCCACGGCAGCAATCTGTAGTTTGGGCTACGGTCGAGAAGGGGTCGTAGATGGGGTAGATAGTCTTTCTCGTTAGGTTCGAGTAGGATATGGCGTCGTGGCTTGAGGAGCTCGTTGACCTTCCTCGACCAGAGCCCGATGCCGGGATACAAGTCGATGATGTCGATTGGACCCGTGTTGTGGAACGTGGGAGCGAGTCTTTCGAGCACATCATCTTCATAAAACCAAAGACAAAAAGAAAGAAAAATAAGAGTCAGAATACAGAGCGACAGGATACTATTTCTTTGGCATTCAGGGCTTCATGGACCACTCACCGCATAGTTTCTCGCTGTTGATGTGGATGGCATGATCCCTAGAGGCGGCGGAGAGAGAAGGGGATCGGGAATAATGCCGGACAGGCGTCCATACCAGGTGTATGGGCCTGAGCCCAAGGTACCTCCGCATCAGGAGAGGCCGTCGTTGCGTGTCGATTGAGCTACGTTGGCTGGACGCTGGATTTGTCCGTCGCGTCAAAAAAGAGACGAACAAGCTCCCTTGGCGCCGGTGAGGTGACATCAGCGAGTGCGTGAAAAGAAAGACGGCGGCCTGGACCGACAGCCAGAACACAGACACAAGGACTGGCACTAGACACTGTGACCCCGAGCGAGCAGACAATGGGAATGGCCGTCAGCGCACGGCTCATCCCCCGTCGCCGGCGCTGTTGAAACAAGTTCAGTAGATTCGATCCCCGCCCCATCGTGTGGCAGTTCACCACCTCATCGCCAAACCTTGGGAGAGACAAGCTCGCAACTTTCCGGCGCCACAACAACCTTTAAATCCTCAGTGGTTGGGCTATTTTAAGACGGTTGTGTGTTTTACACCTCCTCGTGCGGTTTGCCTACGGACCTAGCTGCATGTCAGTTTGCTGCTCACGTCCAAACGGCAGCCATGATTCCGCCGCTCAACGTCGCGGAAATCGCTCGCCAGGCCGCAGCGTACGAGTACAGCCCCAGCACGAAGCTGCAATACTGGCTGAGGACCGCTGCGTCTTTGGTGAAAGAGGTTCGTTTCCCTCCGTAGCAACATTCCGGTTGATACTGACTGTCGTCCCATTCAGGCAGATGTCTACGAGCGCGAAGGAAACGACCAGCAGGCATACCTCCTCCTTTTCAGACATGCACAGCTCGTCCTTGTCAATCTTATTATGCACCCCCAGGCCCAGGACCCGAGTTGCCGGCGTGGCCTGGCCGAAGCGCAGCGGGAGGTGCAGAATTCGCTGAAAAGATTGGAGGTCCTGAAGCCCCGGATAAATCAGCGATACAAGCAGTATCAAGAGGCAAGAGATATTGAGTTTAGGAAGACTATAGCCGCTCAGCTGGACGACCACGCAGACCTCCTTCGTGATCGCGAGTCTCATGACCCTGCGATAGCTGGACGACCACAGCCCCTCGCTGCTGCAGAGAACAAGGACCTAGCCGTGAAACTGGCCCAAAAAGAGCTGAAACGCAGAGCAGCGGCTAAATTGGGGCACTACCTGAGCGAGAATCTTCACCCGCACAAGCAACGGAAACTGCTCGCGCCTGTTCAAGGTCAATCAACGCAGGAGCAGCACGGCGTGTCCGACCAGGACGATCTTGCCAGCCGACTACAGGAAGTGCGAGCCAGAGTTGAAGGGGACCAGACTCACAGGACAAGCATCCAGGAATCTCAACCTGCGAGTTCTGAGGTTCAAACAATACTACGGCGGCCTGAGCCGAACCGTTCAGCGACAGGCTACAAGTATCCCGCTGTTCCTGCACAGAGCATCTTCACAATCACGGAAACAGTGCCGCCACTTCCAAGTAAAGGGCTGCTTCAGCCTCTGCCATTGCGGCCGCCAGCAATTCCAGCTAAAATCCCTGAACCTCCCTCCAGACCAATATCTGCTACACCTCCTTCCGCCCCGCCAGTTCCTAGTAAAGTCGCGCCTAACACCACAAGTATCACCCCTCCCGAGCCACCTCGCCAACCCGACTACATCACCCCGTCTTCATCCGACCTTCAACCGTCCACATTCACCTTCAAACCATCTTCCTACCTCGAGAATGGCAACCCGCTCCGCACAATCTTCATTTCCCCTGACCTCCGCCAACGCTTCCTCGAAATCGCCTACCCCAACACCCGTCGCAACCTTGAAACATGCGGCATCCTGTGCGGCTCCCTGATCTCCAACGCCTTTTTCATCTCCAAGCTCCTTATCCCCGAACAAGAATCCACACCAGACACCTGCGAAATGGTCAACGAAGGCGCCGTCTTCGAGTACTGTGACGCCGAGGACCTCATGGTCCTGGGCTGGATACACACCCACCCAACGCAGACCTGTTTCATGAGCTCGCGTGATCTGCACACTCAGTCGGGATACCAGGTCATGCTCGCTGAGAGTATCGCTATCGTCTGTGCGCCCAGCAGGACGCCGGACTGGGGTGTGTTTAGATTGACCGATCCACCGGGATTGAAGACCGTCCTAGCGTGTACGAAGCAGGGACTCTTCCACCCACATGAAGAGACTGATATCTATACGGATGCATTGAGGCCAGGACATGTGTTTGAGGCAAAGGGTTTGGAGTTCGAGACAGTGGATTTGAGGAATAAAAGGTGATCCTAAATTCATTTTCATAACAATTTAAACTGCATAGATAGGTACCTCTTTTTTTTCCCCTTATCTCCCCTCCCTCTCTACTAATGTTACATGCTAGAGAGCGTATTTCTATCAGCGCTTTTTATAATGGTGCTGGGAGTGCTGTCTATGTTTAAATGATTGATGAGTTATACCGAAACAGCTTTGCTACTTGTTATGTGCTTTTTCCCCCCCGAATTCAAAACCCTAATGATATCACAGAAGATCATTGCAGTCACTGCTGATCTAAGCAAATAGATTTATTGCTATATGTGTAGTTAATTGTATCTATAACTCTGTGTGTTTTTGTGAGTGTGTTGGGGAGGGGGGTTGGTCTGTCTCTTCTCATAACAACAACCAAGTATTGTGATAGCCCCCCTTTTAATTGTGTATAAAACATCCACCTCCTGCCTTGTTCCTTATCACAGAGGAACCATTTGTTCCAATAACACGCACTGGTCATGAGGGCCTTTGTTTTCGCTATACAAGCAAGCCACTGGCCATATCCTCAATCACAAACTGACTATATTGTATATCAAATAAAAAATCTTCTTGAAGATTATGCACGCAATCAATTTCACAAAGGCACACCATCTTTTGCCTCATTGAGATTTTATAGGCTTAGGAGGTAAGGGAAACTGCTTCCAATGATTGCTGGCCATTGTTGCCGCACAGGCCTTTCCATATATGATCCGGATCGAACTCCTTTTCGTCTGCAACCCTCCAGTTAGGGCTATGGCCCATCTTGAGCCAACTGAAGTCATCTACATGGGACCAAGAATCCTTTATTGTAAAAGGAACCGGGCTTCGAAGCTACATATTACATTAGTTATTGCTCTAAGATCAGTGAATGGTAACTTTTGAAACAAAACTTACAAAAGGACTTGGGATATGAGTGAAGCGAATATTGTGACAATTCTCGATGATGGGAGTGCTCGAGCACCCAAGATAGACGGTGACATTATCGCAATCATGCATACGGAACTGATGGCAGGATACGGCAATCACTGAATGTCCCACACCGGTGATGTGCGCCGCTCCCGTTACTTCGCCGCACATGAGTAAACTGTCGGTAATATTCTTGACCGAAAGAGCAGCAAATGGGTATCCATCGAGTAGATCAATCACAGAGCGTGTCACTGAAGTGATAGAGATTGGAACTGATTTATGTAACGTAGGACGCGGCAGGGTGAACCGCACATTGGACTGCGAGTTCACGGATATCGGCGAAATTTCGTTCTTTGTAGACTGCCCGTTGCCTATCTCTGATGTATCCCGTGTAGTAAAAGAGGAGAGAGAGCCATCCGCGAAGCCGTTGCTTGGACTTTCTGGACCTCCAGGATCGTTAGGCGTCAGAGCATGAAGGGGTGTTGTGTTCAGGGACGATTCCACAGATGAGTTGTCCCCAGACCGATAACCGGGGATATGGCGACGGCCTTGCGCGTCTAGTTCGGCTACATCTGCAAGAGATATCGCGGAGGGATTTTTGCGGGCGGTTTTGAAGGTGAACTTTTGCCGGGGAGCAATAGCCGCTTGGGTCTCTGCTAGCTTTTCTTGAAGAGCTTTGATCGCCTAGAAAGTGTAAGAAGCGGGCCAAAAAAAGAATAAAACAGAGGGATCCAGCGTGCTTCTCGGAAACATACTTCAGCATATATCCGCTGATCATATGGTGGTACGTAGCTAGAGGCGTCCTTAACTTCACTTGACAACCTCGATATCCCAGCAAGACAGTGGTCAACGGCATCTCGGCTTTCTCCGCCGGCCGTCGAGGTATCGGCGAGACGGTCCATCTGGTCTTGCAAAGCTGGAGCACGAGTGGATTAGCGGCGAAGTACTAAGCTGCTGAAGAAATTCGTACCCGTGATCTCTTGTTGAAAGTAGCGGAAGAAGCGGTCGTTCAGCGATTGCTCTTGCTTATTCCTGGGAGCAACTTCTGAGGGCGCACCACCAGGTGCATCGTGTGCTCGTGACGCCATAGTTGTTTCGAAGAGCTCCTGGCTTTGACACGCAGAGTCTTCAAGGAACAAAGGGTCGGGGAGAGGGGATAGATGGATGAGCGGCAAGTGGGATATGATGAAATCTGCTTAAGGAAATACCCCGTGACTGCAGAACGGCGTAACCTATGAGATAAATCTGAGCTCGTCAGAACAAGAATTTGCTTTGAAGAGCGAGGAGGATTGGAAAGGTCCACAGCCTCTGCCGTACCACGATCCGTAGCCGACTTCAAGCGTTGCTCGTTTTTGCTGTCTGAGCAGAGCCTGATTCAGTGGTCGAGGGCTGTCGCAAGGACGAGGCCCAGGAGTTGGATTGGCGGGTGTCGAGGAGTGGCGGGACTGCCGTCCAGGAAGACATCGCGTGCTCGCCTGCCAGAGCTGCTTGGCTTTGAGCACGTTGCGAACGACGGGCGGTCGGCGATGCGCTTGCCGGGCGGGCTGCGGCTCCGGACTGCGGGGCGCGCACGGACCATGCAGAGGGGATGATCACGTGGGAGGGGCAGCTTATGTAAGTGACATGTTTTGTTTGTTCTGTTTGCTATGTTTGACGAGTTACCCCGGATTGGTTGCATGTTTGCTCTGTTTGTGTAATATCTAAAGGGATGGAGTTTGCGATGCTTGGAATTTAAAGTGCGCAATGGTATGAAACAAGCAGTAATACTCGATATGTATCAATGTACGGAGTATATACATTCAAAAAAAAAAAAAAAAAAAAGGAAAAAAAGCCCTATCCTCTTACACTTGCCGAAGCCGCTGGATTTCGATACCCGAACCTCTCGTTCAGCTGCCATGCCGTGGTTCGTACCCATTCGTTCGAGCTACCCGTCCAAGCCTGCACCATAAATTTGGCTTCCTCACTCTGTGCCACGGCCACCACATTGAGTCTATCCAACAGCTCTGCGGCTAGCTGAATTCGAAGATTTTGAACCAGCTCACCACATGCGTCGCCGGAAAGTCGACCTAGTCGTAAAGCGCAGGCAAGCTTGTCCTTCGTGCGGACCTTGGCCATTGCCTTTTCTAGATGCCTAAAATCATCGATGAAAGATGAAGACAGGGTGCAGTTAGAAGTCAACTCGAAAACGCGACCGGCGAATGTATCATAACGATCTTGCGATGATTCTTCAAGATGCGGGAACGGAAGTAGAAGAGCCTGGATCTCCATGCAAGACGGAAGGATTGCTGGATGCCGATTGGGATCACCCAGCCAAGACTGTGTGCGAAGCCTATCCACCTCAGCCGCGATGCCTGCAAGTACCTGCCGAGCCGCCAATTCCCGGGATACGCTATTTTGTAACGAGGAAAATAGGTTGTGGATCAGGGCCCGAATTGGCGCCAGGGACAGGTGGGCTTTCCTGTCATTTCCAATATGGATTGGATTGTGGAGAACTATCTGGCATCGTTGATATACCTCATTTGCCAAATCATCTTGTGTGATACCATCCCCCACCTTTGGAGCAATTTGACCTGCGTTGAATACCTTGCAAGTGCTGTAGTTCTCCATGAATCTGGACCAGTGTCCACCGGAGTCTGTATATTTCCAGTTGGGGTTTTGAGCGGTCAACTTTTCCTCCACAAAAGTAACCTTGCAGCAATCCATGTAACGCAACGCCCATGCGCGGTGAAGGAGGAGATAATCTTTCTGAAGGTATGGTAGCCAGTTCACGAAAACCTTGTTTTCCACCTCGTTGTCAAACGGGCCAAAGTTGGAAATCGGAATGGACTCTTCTGACAATCCAACCTTCTTGAGAAACATTCGTATCCAGCGGTTATGCTTTCTTGTGGACTCGGCCAGGAGGGGTAGGATAGTATTCTTAACATAGTCTTCACGTAGATTGTGCGGAATACTATGACGGGCTCTTTCAATGAATAGCTGAAGCAACGGTCGGTTTTCGTTGACGCTTGGAAGAGGACCACCCTTGTCAGCATTGTCCCAGTCCGCCTCGGAAAGAGTTATCCGTTCACTAGGCGCAGCTGCAGCGGTATAAAACGATGTAACTATGCCATAAACTTCATCAGATAGGTTACCGTCCAAACCCATGCTCTTGCGCAACAATTGGAATAACGCGGTGATCACAGCATCTCGCACGTCAATGTGATGGCTAGCATGAAACAGTGACTGAAGGGTATGGAGAGCAGTTTTGCTTGAGAAGAACCCCCCATCTCCAATCAGTCTCGCTAGCAGTTTGATCGTCGAGATCTTAATGTGTTCTGGTTTCTTACCCAGTTCTGTATCCGAGGGAGCAACTAGGTGTTCGATTTCATCGCAGAGGATAGCGTCGTCAAGATCTTCCTCCTCAACAAGGTCGTTCTCCGGTGTTCTCGCCAAAAATTCGAGCACCACCGACGCGAACTTGGCCAACATGCGTTCTGCAACCGCAAAATCCAAACGCTGAATCAAGCCCAAGGAGACGACATCTCGATGCCATGACGAAGCACCCGGCATGTGCTCGATAACGTGTAAACTAAGATCAACTGCCAGCTCTGGTTGATCGGCTTTGCCAACCAACTTGATCAAGTCGAATGCCGCTCTTTCGACAAGCCAAAGTTTACTCTTCACCTGCGGGAGTTTTTTCAGCAACGAAGCCGAGAGCTTGCAAAGCAGCTCAGCTGGTATCATGTGTCTCAACTTGTTCAGAATACTCAACGCAGCCGTGACGGCCTCTGACTCATTTTCGATAGACGAAAGGAAGTCGTAATCCAGGTATAAAGGCGGATAACGTGGGGAACCGCTATTTTCAGGGAATGACGTAGAGAATATGCCTGAAGATTCACCTCCAAGGGTGTCCAAAAATAGCATAGCGGATACAATAATAATTTCCTTGTCCACCAAAGAAAGCTCACAAAAATTGCACTTGGGCTGCCATATATCTAGTGCGCATGGCTTCGGTTCCTCTATATCTGTACTGGGTTCTTCAAATGTAGCGTAAAAATCATTGGTAATATGAAAGAACCAATATGTCGACAACCGGCATTCAAGCAGAGTGGCGGGACCCTCATCGTCCATCTCAATATCTGACGAAGCGTCCAAAATGGCAGAGTAAGGATTCCATTCCGACGGTTCAGAAGCAGTAGAATTCTCCAATCCAGGCAGCGCACCCAATATCAGCGGATCTAGTATTTGCACCGCTTTTCGAGGTCTTGGCTTTGCGCAAGCGTAGTTTTGAAGAAGATATTGCTTGATGTGCCTGGTATACTTGCTTTGTGCGGGAAAGATGCGTGTATAATGTTCCCAAACCTGAATTATCCTCTCAGACTGTTCGACCTCTGACTTGCATGCGCAAAATGCAGTAATCACGTAAGGTAAGCTATCCACAAACCCACCGATTCCCCGAGTGCTTCGAGGAATCGGTGAAAGAACTGTTTTGGAATTGCAAAATAATATTTCGTCAAGCCGCTTTGCCACAAATGGTGCAGCACTCTTGTCCTTAAACACAGCTGATGCCCAGTCAATAGATGGCAAAAGCGCCTGAACCGGCAAGCCCTTTGGCCAGCCAAGTTTCAACGCTGCCGATTGTGGCTGCCTAATACGTCTCTGTTTAGCCCACAACTCGTCGCGTTGGAGAGCTAGTTTGTCGAGGAACCTCAAGGCATATCCTGGCGTTGGGGTGGGACAGTTCAAGTCGTCGAGAGGACCTCCCATGGCATGCCAGTGAAGCATTTCATTCCCTTCCGTGACTGCGATCGTTTCATACAGCAGTAAAACTGGGATCATAGAATCTAGCAAAACTTCAACTAGGGAATCTTTATCGGCAAGCCCCAATTTGCTAAATTGGTTTACTCCATCAATTCGCATTGAAACCACCTCAGTGAGTTGGGTGCTCGGATTGCGCAAAGGATGGTTTTTGAAACTTGGCTCTTGCAAAGCTGACAATGCAACGTTGACATGATACGAAAGAACGGCGTTTGCCTCTTGTACAAGTTCCGCAAGAGCAGTAAGAGAAGTCGGCCGATGGGGTAGTTTCGTACATGATAGGAGATCTGCACTCTCCGAACCAAACAAGGAGTCAACCAAATAACGGTAGACCAACTATTAACCGACAGTCAGTTTTGATTGATAGACCAAGCCAGAGAGAAGAAAGCAGGCCAATATGCGGGCTTCACTCACAGGATCGCGTAAATATCTAGAAGTCCAACGGCTGACTTCCTTGAAAAGCGGTATACTTTTACTTTCACAGGCAGCTTCAATGGCTCTCATAGCCCAATCTCTTCGCACGTCGCTCTCGCGCTGGGTCTCGGCCTCCGCTTTGATCTCCTCAATAACTATGACAGGTCATTAGGGCTCCATTCCTTGCAGGTAACTTTTTCCTTTTCTTTCTTTCTTGCTTTCTTTTTTGGAATGCATAGGTAGTTTACTTACATTGAAATGTTGTTGAGCCATCATTTCCAGGTACTGGATCTGCTGCTGCCCATTTTACTTTTAACAATCCTTTGTTATACCAAGTAGGCTTAGAGCTGTCGGACGCAGAAAACAGGATGGTGTCATCCACCAGCCCCAAACTCTCGATCTGTGAGAAAAGCCATCTCGCATCTTTTGCAGGAAGAGTGTTAAAAACATTGATGCCCCAACGGAAACGACGCCAATCTTTCTCGGAAGCGGGGAGCGCGTCCAAATCGATTTGGACACCCGGAGAATGTAGAGATAAAAGTTTTATAACCCCTAGCTTAGATCCCAGCGGAAAAGCTGAACCGTCGACCTTCTTTTCCAGCGTCAAAAATGTCGATGCGATATCAAGAGGGGTAAGATTGTCCTGCGGAATAACCTGAATAAAGCGTACAAGCAGATTCTCCAAGCTTTGCTTGTGTTTAGCGTTTGGTCGAGAAGGGTGACTTCGGGTTCTTCGACGACCAAAGATGATAATGCTTGTATCAAGGTCGCCGGCCGCTTCATCTGCAAAGGCCCATAACTGCGCCAGGTGTGCAGGGAATGCATGCAATGATTGTCCCAGCCCTTCATTCCGATCCGAAGCAAAATCCGTAACTGTTTGGATTAACCGCAAGATATCATCAAATGATGCTTTTTTATCAGCAGCAGCTGTGATAGCCGTGAGAGCCCAACCAAAAACCGTAGAATTTGAGAGTGAGATGGGCTGGCTGCGGAGACAGTCAACCAAGTCCAAGCAAAAGCGCAATCCCGGCGGAGCAGATTCGGAAATTTGGAAATCAGAAGTTGACCGGATAGAGTAAGGCTCGTTTGAAGAGAAGAGATTCTTCGGCAACCGGTTCACTATCTCTTGTCGAACCGATGTATCCACGGGTGTGGCACCAACCGAAAT